GGGTGAGCAGCTTGTGGAGTAGTTATCGTCCATTTATCATTAACAGGGTGAACTGATCAATATATTGTGATATTGATTTAAGGCCATATTGCCCAGCCCTAATATGAAAGTCTTTGTTATGGACATAATAGACCTTATACGATGTTTATAAACACTTATAAGTGTAAATAAAACAATAATTAAAAAATTTATAATATATGAACTGTAAACGAGTTCCCAATTAAAGCCTTTAAGTGTTTAATAAAAGTGTTGATTAAGCTCCTTTAAAAGTTGATTTACTCTTATAAATGCACTTTTTTATAGTGTCAATACTTCCGATCACATGTTCACTCGTCAATGTTCCTAATATCAGAACATTGATCAGGATCGATTATATCATCGGGTAAATTCGATGTTACGGCGCCTCTGTCCTCATACGTGTCCGCTCGCCCAGCTGAACACACACTGAATCAGCAAAAGTGAGTCATCGCATTTAATTAGTGATGCAATGGCATGAGAGCCAACACACACACACACACACACACACACACACACACACACACACACACACACACACACACACACACACACATAATCCCTGCCTCATTAGGTGTATTGTGGGGATGCTGATGTAATGCAAGTTAATCTCTTGGCCTCTGGTTGGCTCTGCGGCCCAGCGGGAGCTCTTTGTGTGGGACATTACCCTGGCCCCGCCCCCCGGAGACAGGTTCATTAAGACTGACGCTGATACCCAAGTACCCCGGCCTTTTGTGACTATCTGTGTGTGTGTGTGTTTGAGTGTGTGTGTGTGTGTTACGGTCAGATATACCAGAGACAATGCAGTGAGGAGGTTGGTTGCTGTCTCAGCATGTGCCTGAGAGCACGTAGGCCAGAAACCTCCTTGATTGGCACGCAAAAGTGTGTGTTAATGTGTGTTTGTGTGTGTTAATGAAATAGCTGGAGGCATGATATGAGTGTGTGAACTTCTTGAAAGCGTGCCAAACACACAAACGCTCAGAGTCTCTGATACCTTCACGTGCCGTGGACGTATTTCTGCTGTGCGTTCAGGTGCCTCAGTCAGAAATGAGTTTCTCGGTGGCGTTGAGAAACACTGACTGACCTCCTGAGGTCAGGAACCAGCGGGAGCTTAAACGTCAAATAACCACGCAGGAATGTCCTCTTGGCTCGGCGTGTGATCCAGAGGTCCTGTAAATCAAATCAAACTTAACGATCCGATAAAACCAGTAACCCTAAAGAACGAGATTCCTAGAAACAAACTCGACAAAATATGATTTTATGACTTAGCTAGTCATATAGTCAAACCTTAACTCCCAGCAAAGTAACCAGAGATATTTGGAAAGGGTCAAAGGTTATAAATCAGCACGTATGAACCTTTTGTGTTTGTTAGAGTCAGTTTTTGGCTTTCAGACCAGGAGTTAAATGTCTTATTTAGAAACAGGCAGCAGCACAAAAATCTGAGGAGACTCTTCAGATATAAACATCGACCATTTCCTCTGAGTTTGGGACTTTTGGTAAGAAGAGAAGTGGATCCATGTAAGGCTGGATTCACCTTAATCCTAGAACACTATCGCAAAACACCAAACATGTTTGTTTCCCTGATCCCAAACCCGCTTTTTCCCACAGGCACGATGGAGGATAAAGTAGGTTTGTGTGGATTTGAAAGCTGCATGTAGGGAATAAGGTCAGTAAGAGTGGTCCTGGAATTTACATGCTATCTTTATTTAGCGCAGTGGTCATGAATAACTATCACAAAGTAGTGATTTCAAGGGGATTCATATGGAGATAAGAAATATTTGAGTCAGCTGGTCATTTTTACTCACTCAGAATCTGACATATTTTGGTTTTCTCTCCAAGGACCCTGAGTCTTCACCAGGGAAGACTCACACGCCCCAGGAATGGACGCTTTGACCATCGAGGTCAAAATGGGAAGCACCTCCCAAGGTGATGGAGAATGACAAAATGGTGATGGCCAACCAACTGGACATTGTAACCATAGACAAACAGCAGAGTAAAGCCGTTGTGGTAGATGTCACCATCCCAAGCGATACCAACATCAGAAAGAAGGAACACGAGAAACTAGAGAAGTACCAACGGCTCAAAGAGGAGATACAGAAAGTCTGGAAGGTGAAGGCAACAGTGGTGCCTGCGGTCATCGGGGCACTCGGGGCACTAACCCCCACACTGGAGAAGTGGCTCCAGCAGATCCCTGAGGAAACATCAGACATCTCACTCCAGACAGACACTTCAGACATCGTACGAGAACAGATAAAGGATCTGGACCTGAAGGCAAAATCTTTGACCGAGCTGCAGATCTGCGCTCAAACTAAAGTGGATCACATCTGGGGTCAGGATCCCTTCTTGACGAGGACCCCCTTGAATACCGTAGAGGAAGAGGGTCTGGATTGACTTGAATCCCCCTCATGTTACCGTCACAGGATGATATTTAAATTAGCAGGAAACTGACCCTGAAAGTCAAAGTGATTAAGTATTCAAAGTCCAGATGGTCCAGAGGCTTCCAGTGGTCCACGGTGCGCCCTCAGAAACAGTCCCTATACGCCCCTTATAAACAATCCCTCACACAGATGAAAACTAATGGTTTAAACACAGCGTCAACAAGCGGAAGTACAAATTGGTTTGGACCAATCAGAATCAAGAATTCAACACAGCTGGGTTTTCAGTGATAAACTTGACTTCACCGTCTTAAAGATTTGACCAAATTCCCGGTTTCAAACCGACATCAAGCTTGACTTACAGTAAGGTCACTGCGCCGAGCGAAGGTTCAATCCTCTGCAGGTGAAACTGATCAGCAAAGACTAAATATAGATTTAAAACTCTGATTGTCGACCTCTTTCACTGTATCCATGATCAAAATATGACACACCCTGAGTTTCTACATTCAGCGAACAGAATTACTCGTCTCTATATCGTCTTATCTCAGAGTTGGAACCATATTTGGTGCGGCGACAAAGCAGCTCACAACAAAAATAAAGATTTTGCGCGCCTGGTCACAGTCCGCCCTGCAGGCTGTGTCCCCTCAGCCCACCAAATTAAAAATAGGAGAGGGATTATTTGTGGGCTGGTGTGGTTTTAGTGTGTGAGATGGAGTGTGTGTGTTTGTGTGTGTGTTTGCAGCAGCAGGGCGGCGGCGGCAGCAGCAGCAGCGCACTTAGCATGGGCTTTAAATAGCTAACTCAAATAAAGTGAGAGGAGGCCGGGGATCAGAGGCTGAGAGGGACTCTGTGAGGGAGGCATTCCCGAACGGAAGCCGGCCTTTGGATTTCTAAACAGCGTTCGCAGCGAGCAATTCCAGGAATGTGATGTCGTCCGGTAGCAGCAGCAGCAGCAGCAGCAGCAGCGACGGCGGCGACAGCACCAGGTGCCTGACAGGAAGTGCGAGCAAAGGTCCAGCTGAGGGACAAAATGGCGGCAGGTGACTCAGCAAAGAAGGGAAGTGGAGGTTTCTACTTTGAGCAGAGTCTCAGCAGAGCCGCTATCAACCCCGAGAATCAGCGAAGAGGACTCCCCCTCCGTCTGCGGAGGAGCCTCTTCTTTCTCTTCCTCACGGCGCTTTTTTACACACTGTGTTAAATTTCTATTCTTTTTCATCCTTTTTACCTTTTGACGGCCTTCTTTGTGTGCAGGCTGTGGGAAAGTTTCCCGTAATGGTGAGGTCATCCACCACCGACAACCCCCCTCACCACCATCACCCCCACCCCCCACTCACACAAACCATCTCCACACACACCCCCCACTCTTCATGCTGTCCCTCTTTTCTCCAGGACTGCAGGACTCTGATGTGTCCCCGTGTCTCTGTCCCACTTCCAGTTCCTGGGCTCGCCCCGCAGAGACCGGGAGCCTGAATAGAGAGTCTCATTCAGACCCGGTATCTGTCGATCTGGCCTCTTAAAGTCTGAGGCGGCACAGAGACGCTGGAGACAGACGCATCAGCAGATCTATGAGGCACCTGGAGGCCCGTCAGGCGTCTGTCCTCTGTCATTTGTACATCATGAGATACTGTGAGAGACACACACAGACACACTCACACACAAACTCACACACACACAAGAGCCGAGTCTGTTCAGTGGACCTGCGGTGGATCTGAGTGTCATGGTCGGCTGTTTCCCGGGGTCAAACGTCAAAACGATTAAAAAGAAAAAAAATAAATATAAATTAAAAAATTAACAAACAGAAACTGGAAAAAAACTTTAATTTTTGTGGCTAAACTCATCCACACTGAGATACAGCCTATAGGATGAAAAATCACAGCTCATTACTGCCATCTATTGGCAGAACTGTGTACTGCAAATACTTTTTTTTTTTTTTAAAGGGATAGTTCGCCACAAATTTCAAATTACAAACTCAAACTTTTAGGACTATATATTATTTTCTTCAATACTGTGATGATGTTTTAGCAGGTAAGACAAACAGAAATAAAGATTAACTCTTGAACTATGGAGACGCTGTAAACACACGCAACTGCTTCTGTTTTGAAGATAGTGGATATAATAGAGGCTGTGTTTGTTTTATTACACTCGCCAATTAAGACGGCAATTAACCCTTAAAGGCACACGTCACTTAACTCCTTTTAAATGGACTCAGAAATTAGAAATACCTTTAAAACCGTAGCGTGCTTTGAGTGTTTTCATTTTCTCATTTTGTGGGAGGAGTTAAAACAAGTATCGCAATCTGTAACATGCAAATCCTGCTTCGTTTAAGGTCTAAAATCATACCTTTTTTTCCTTTTCATTATGTACTCTTTCACGCCTCTCATTTCCCTGCAGCTGTCTGATGAAAAATAACACTTCTTAATGTCACATTTGTCACCTGACAAGTAAATATTTATGTGCATTTTGTGTCAAATGGAAATAAAATATCAGAGTACTTTGAGTTTGAGCTTCTACCCTTTACCTGCAGATCTCTGTTTAAACTACAAGGATTAGCTGCTGTTTAAAAGTTGTTAGATTGTCTATTTTGTCTGATAATCTCCACATGTGACACAGTAAAGAGGTACACTTCCTTTAATCTTAATGTACAGTTTGTGTTAATATACAAAAATATATGACAGTGAAAAAAAAGGACTTTTACACATCTGTAAAAAGGGATAAATACTATAAACAACACGATAAATCCATCTGAAGAACAGGGCGACCACGTCACAGGCTTTGTCAGGAGACCACATGGTTTTAAAGTTTTGATTTGTACATTTTTACTAAGAAGGAAGTTAAAACATTTCATTTTTCTCCAGAAGTAAATGTGTTATATTTGACAGTTTTTATATGAGATCCTTTAAAGATAAACGTCTTTTCATTTGAACTTTTTTTACAAATTCTCCGATGATGCTTTTGGAAGTTTACTCATCCTCCTGGTTTAGATTTTTATTAACTCCACACATGACAGTCTTGGCTCCCTCTGCTGGCAGCTCCCTGCAGTGCAGTCAGTTCATTCTGCAGGACAGTCCACCAATCAGAGCGGGTTCTGGAGTGTGTGTGCTGCACAGTTTTTGGCTGCTATTGTTGAAGTTTCTGGTCTCTTTCTCCTCACTTCTTGTGAGACCCGATCATGACTTTGGAGACAAAGTTGACGATGGCGCTCGCTGGCTGCTCGGGGTCGTGCTCGGCGAACAGATGGCACATGTTTTCAGTCTCACTCTGGGATTTTCTGGCTACGAATCCAAAGATCCTGAGAGGAGACGAACAGACGGAGACGAACAGGAATATTTATTCAAGAACAGTGAGAGTTTGGGTATTTCTAATGAATCCTAGATTATACAGACTGCACCTTTAAAAAGAGCGTTTACATCAAGAATACAGATGAAACAGAGAGTAGATTAAAGTTACTCACTTTGCAGTCGATCCGCTGTCTCTGGTCCATCTGTGGAGAGAAAATATAAACATGAATTTAACATCATTTAACATTAAAACTCTCCCTCTAACTGTGATGAACTAAAACTACAGTGTGGACTAAACCTGAGTTTGATGCTCTCATTCTGACAACTCTTTCTAATAAAACCATATAGACACAGACCTCATCGACAGGGACCCGATCCTGGTACCATCCCACCTGACCCACTCCTATACACTACTTAATAATTATATTTACAGTGTCACCAAGTCAGTCAGAAATGAGTCCATAAAATCAGTATTAAAACAGAAATATTTAATATTGTAAAAAAGTGTCTTAAATAGTAAAAATCTAATTATTGTGTTAGATAAACAAACATGCATCTAAATTTGTTAATATTTTTACTTTTACACTCATATCATCCTGTGACTTCCTGCACAAATATTGCACAAGTTTAGGTTTATGTAGTTTTATACTTTTTAATACTTTGATTCGGGGATAAAATACTTTTACCATGCATGAAGTATAAATATATTTATATATAAATATGTGCAGTTAGCATTCTTAATGTTTGTATATTTAAAGCAGCTGGACAGAGTTTTCATTTCCTGTTGACTTTGGCGACCACTGTGAACAAAAGCGGTCGTGTTTTAGCACGTATTGTTGTAACGACACTTATCAGGGTCCAGAAACTAACTCTTTTGTGAGCAGTTTGAGGAAACTTACTCTGTAAATGTTTTTAAACAGGAAGAAGCGAGTCGGAGTGTCAGACAGACGTGGAGCAGCAGGACTACTGAGGTTAGTGACACAGAGCTGCTCTGTCTGTCTCCAGTTTGGAGGAGCTTCAGCAGCTGTAGCATGATGCGGTCTCTGCAGGAGTCTTAAAAGTTCCTCACAGGACGTTTAATTTTTCTGGTTTTATTTTGTGTTTCATGCTGCAGCACCAAAACATGACGATTACCCTACTACGCAAAAACCTAATCTTCAAATTGAGCTGAAAAATGTTGAAAGTGGAGCATAAATCACCAAAAACATAATTATCAAGAATTTGAACAACAAGGTGATGGATCTCAAGTGTCTATTAAGTTTTTCATCAAAATAAACAAAAAGTGACTTTTTTAAACCGCAGGAACAGTTATTTAGGGTGTAGACTCTTAGACTAAATAATCACAATTCACAAACTGACGATTTTTTAACATGAGGCTTTTCAAAATAAAGCTTTTAACGAGATGAATAAGACACTTAATTAAAGCCTTTTCTGCTTGTAGACGTGATACTCACTTCCTGCCCTGTGGGTCCAGAGAGCAGAAGATGACGGTGTTGACGGCGTAATGTCGCCTGAAGAAGAGCCTAAAGGGACAAATACAGAAAAGATTAATCATTCTGCATAAAAATAAAACTTAAACTAAACTTAAACTAAACCTAAACTCAGGACTGAGGTGTCTGCATGTGAGCGTTTTTCTGTTTGAGGACTCACTTCCTCTGGTTGTCGGTGAGAGTGATCCCCTGTGCCGACACTTTGAAGTGGACCACGGTGGAGGCGGGCGGTGGATCCATGGACAGGGTCTGCGTGGTCGCCTTCTGGACCGCCTGGAGTCCGGTCAGAGACTCCAGAGCCACAGAGCCCAGGTACCAGACGTTACACGCTGCACAACAACAACACACAAAAAGACACACATGATGAAGAAACTGAATAACCTGCTGTAAATTTGTGCAGCATGCGTGTTTTTTCTGTTGTGTACCTGCTCCCTGTTTGAGGAGCTCTGCTGCAGAGTTTGTGGACGTCTGTGCGGACGAGTCGCTGAGATCCTCTACAGGGTCTGCAGAACGAGAAACACACAAATGAAGAATCTACACAACAAACCGGGTTCATGCTGGATTTCAGTCACAAGATAATAATAATAATAATAATAATAATGAATTTTATTTATAACATGCTTTCACAGGTGCTCAAAGATGCCAAAAGTATGAGGGTCTGTAGTCTCGGATGGGTTTGGGGAGTGAATTCGGAGTTTAATTACAAGGCTGAGAGTTAAAAATAAAGAGCTTACATACATCCACACTAAGCAGAGATATTATCAATGCAGAGTTAATATTATTGATTACTTTATAGTTTTTGTTCTAAATTATTAAAAGTTGAAAAAAAGGGTTTTCATGGAGCAGAAAAATGACAATTAAGGAATCTTAAATCTTATTTCAGATTTCCAGGATTAACTGTTTGAAAAAATGCAAAAACATCAGTGTGATGACAGTTTTAAGTGTTCAAAAACGTCATTCGTGTGGGTTTACCTTTGTCGGGCAGGATGAGTTTACAGGGCAGAGCCAGAGGGGTGATGGAGTGCTGACACACCAGAGCTGTGAGGCTTCCTGTTCGCAAAATCAAACAAAACATCCGTCATGATCCTCCTAAAACTCGACCCAAACACTCAGGCGGATCCAGCTGCACCTCAGATTATTGACCAGTAGAGGTCAGCAGAGAGTCAGCAGTGTGATCTCTATTCTCACCAAAGTACGGCTCGTTCGGACAACCCTTCAGACGGACGCCTTTCTGCGTACACTCGATCAGGAAGTGTCTGACCAGCTCGTTGGACAGATCTCCTCCTGAACACAAAAAAAAAACATCTTAGTGAATATTTCACAGCTGCAGTGGACGACATTCTCTCCTCCTAAATTAAGAAAACACACCCGACCTTTCTTACTCTGCTGGATCACAGACGGAGGCGGCGTGGCCACCTTCATAGCCAGACCGTACGCCCCTCTGAAGGAGTGACTGTCCCTGACGATGAAGGAGCCCGGCTCTTTGTCCTTCAACACGGCGATGGCTGAGAGAAGAGAGAGAGAGGAGAGGAGAGAGAGGAGAGAGAGAGGAGAGCAAACACACAGAGAGGATAAAGTTAGATCCCTCATGTCGGTGCTGTACGAGGAGCAAATCTTTGCACAAGCTCCGATTATCTGCTCCGAGAGCGAGTGCTCGTCTCTGCGGTCCAACACCAATATTTACCCTGGTCTCTGGAGATGTCGGGCTTGTACCAGAACTTGGAGGTGTCCTGAACAAACTTCACAGTGTCCTGCTTACTGCCGAAGTCTGTGAGAGACAGATTAGGACTCTGTGTGAGGTTTTCAGTCAAAGAGTGACAATGCACAAATGAGAACAGAGAGTTAAAGGGTCATTACACTCAAATAAATCCAGTTTGACCTTTTAAAAACATTCAACTCTCACTGAGATGATTCTGGTTTCAGGTCTGAGGTGTACCTGCTACAGGAGACGGGGCCCCACTGAGTCCTCTGAGGGGGTCAGGGGTCATGGGTGACGAGAACGGGATGCTGAGGCTGCTGCCGCTGTGAGGGCTGGAGAACCCGCTCACCGAGGGGGAGCGTGAGCCCAGCTCCCCCGCCTCACCCCCTCTCCTCTTCTCAGGCAGCAGCGGAGGAAGGACGCCCTCCTCGACCCCGATGTTCAGACTCCCCAGACCCTCGACGGCCTCCAGCAGGCTGTGCTCCAGGCCGCCGTTCCCGAACAACAAGGCGGATAAGTCTGCGCTGTCAGTCTCCGTCAGGACCCCCGGACCTCCTCGCTGGCCTCTCAGAGCGCCGCGGGGAGAGCTGTGGGCGTTGGGGGTGCTGAGGGAGAGGGGAGGGGAGGGCTGCGAGGAGTACGGCGAGTTTAGCGAGTTTGGAGTCCGGTCATGCCACACGGGGGGAGGAGTGGAGCTGAGGGAGAGAAAGGGGGAGGAGAAGAAGTGTCTGTATGATGGAGGGAGTCGTAGTCAAAGAAAAGAGGTCTGAGAGCGTCTCAGAGCTTCTGTTTGGACAAAATAAAAGCTTCAAACATGGCGAGAGTCCAAGACCTCGAAGTCAAGGAGGCTCTCAGGCTGATGGATTCACTCTGAACCAGGAGGAGGAACGTTCGAGAGTCTGATTCTGACTTTTACCGACGCTTTAAAGTGATTGTTGTACATTTTATTAACACAATCCTCAATCAACTCTCCGTACAGCAGGTGTGCGTACCTGTCCGTGTGTGTGAGGGGCCCGTCTGAAGACACGGAGCACATGGAGCCAAAGATCCTCTGACAGGAAGCAGGAGTGACCGACACGTCTGACCTGAACAGCTCCCCCTCCGCCGCGGGGCCGCCGCCGCCGCTGTGGTTCATGCCGTCCAGGAAACTCCGAGAATCTGAGGAAGACAAACAGAGTCAATCCTCGAAAATCCCAGAATGAGTCATGAGTCGGTGTGACAGGTGTTTGAAACGTTCACCTGAACCTTTGTTTGGTTTTATGGAGCCGTTCAATTATACATTAACTTATATTAACTTTACATTTGCAGAGTTTTAAAGTTAGGACTCCTACTGAGAGTCTTTAAGGGAATAAACCTTCGATAAACACATTTTGGTGTTTTAGTGTTGTGATTTTTTTCTTTTTTTGGGTGGGGGGTCTCTCGATGCGGCGTCCTGACATCCTGACATCCTGACAGCACAGTGTGTCATTCAGCAAACGCGCGGACGGGCCTGTGAAGTACGATGACTCACCGTGTAAAGAGTCAATCATTATAAAGAGCTCCTTGTTCAGCCAGCTGCCCTCACCCCTGCCCTCACCCCTCCCCTCCCCTTCCTCACCCTCATACCCCCCCTTCTCCTTCATTCAGAGACAGAGGAATTTGGACTCGACCAGCAGCTCTGTTGTTGATGAGCGAACTGGACCAGCAGCATCATCTGAGGGGGATTATATAATCTGTGTGTGATGGGGGTTTACATCACGCAAACACACGTAACCTAGAATAAGACGTTTTAAATGTTTTTAATGATATAAAGTTTATAAAGTATTTCCAATTTATACTTCTGATCAACAACTTTTCAGGACATAAATAGACACTTTTTTTTTATCAAACTTATCCCTACGATTTAATAAAATTAAATACAAATATGGACAAAAACAACTTGTGATTAAAGATTTAGCATAAAAGAGGACATGAGTAAAGAAATTAGCTCACCAGTTATGTTGAAACAGTATCAGACACTGCTATAAAACACCTAAATGGAGTATTATTTTACTTCTAGTGAGTAAAAACATCATAAAAATGTGAATTTTATCTTGTGCAATAAATATTATGATCAGATTTTCCCTCAGCAACTATACAGTTTGTCCAGTATTCATGTTGCATGTGCAGTAACTGTCTTTATTTGTGTTTTTTAATGTTTAAAATCTGTACCTGTATCCTAAAATCTCCTCATCATCTCTTCCCAGGCTCATCACTCGCTCATTTGTCGAGGAATTTCGCCCTCCTCATGTTCATTTCCTGAGTTATTTGCTCTGTTTCTGCTCTTTTTCATGCGTTTTAATGGAGTGTGTGTTCTCATTGTGACCTTTTTGTTTCTGCTTTTATTGAATAATGAAAAACTTCCTCCACAGTTTCGGGTTTCTCGTCGTTTTCCCAGGCCTGGATGTTTTTCCCACAAACTCTGGATCGAGTGTCCGTCAGTCTGATCCTGCAGCTGCTCAGTCTCATTAGGATCTCATTAGAAACAATGAAAGTCGAGTTTGATGCAGACGATTTTTCACTTCCTGTAGACCTTTTTATGCAAAGGCCTTTTTAGGAAGTGTGCTCTAATGACTTTAATGATTTATTTTATCATTTTCATTTTTAAAGATGTTTGAATTTAAAGATAAAATAAAAAAAGGTCAACAGTTCAGTCAATACGTGCTGAGTCAACCAAATTTCTGATTGGTTAACTCGTTTTTTTTCTGCGTCAATTAAGTCTCCGGTTAAATTTGACAAACAAATTTACAAAGTTGTCAGGACTAGTTTCTTCCAACTACGTCTCCTGGACAAGGTCAGGGAAAATTTTAGGGTTTTAGTCGACCAAGAATTTCTTCTTTCTTTCTTAGAAACTTAGTTAAAAGTAAGAAAACAGTAAAACTGTTAAATGTCCTGCAGGATGCTTTTACCCTTTGGACTGGAGAGACAGATCAGAACAAATCTGTTCTAATTTAAAGACAAAAATCTGATGGATGAGGAAGAAAACGCACAGATTATAATCCCAAATCACCGCACTGATCAATAATTTATGAATACAAAGTTTGATGATTGTGATTAAAAAGTGCTTTAAATCCAGGGGTGTAGCGGTCCAAGTGGGACCAGTACATAAAGGTTATAGTCCAAGAGATGAACTTTTGCTGCATGTCTTCTCTTTCTATCTGCACCCCACATTTCCTGTCTCTCTTCAGCCGTCGTGTCCAAAACATAAACTTTGAAATTCTTCTTTTTCTTTTTAAATTTGCTCTGAATCGACTCGGTCAGTCGGCGCCGCAGACAGAAACAACAGTCCTGAGAGCATCAGCCTCTATAGTTAAACTCTCTACATGTCCTAACAACATTTTCAGAGACACCGCAGACAGACACTTCCTCACATCGCCGCCCTGCATGCATGCCATGATACTTTGACATCTATATTCCTCTATTTCTATACTAACATGTTGATCAGCCCTGCCTGTGTTGTGTTATTAAAGTGTGTCATATCGTAGCATTTATCACTAAACGACTTCAACAAGTGAATCCATGATTAATGATGTGATGGTTTGGTGCCATCTGAGCCTTCACTGCGTTTCTGACAGTTCTCACACAGGCTCCTGACACCCAACTTGAACTCTCAGGGGTCAGAGGTCAAGAGTACAGAGTGTGTTCATGAAGGACTCATGAAGCTCAAAAATGGAAAATCTCTGTTGTGTACGCCGTTGTTGACATCCACAAACACAATCTGAGGAGGATGAGCAGACTCCTCAAACATTCCCACAGTCCCTGTCACATTCTCCCTCTCGGGACGATTCCCAGAGAGCAGCTGAGCCTCGTCTCCGTCTTTTCCCACGGCTGGCTCTCTCCTCCTCGCTGCGGTTCGTCACATCTGCTGCCGCTCTGATCATCCAGCTAATTACAGAACAACCCGACCTGTGGCAACAGCAGCTGACCCCGCCCTGACCTCTGAACTCAGGCCAGACTCGGCCTCCACACGGCCTGATTACAACCTCGCACACTTTCGGCCTCCGTATCCATGGAGACCGAGTGTCAGCTGGACGTGCGTTTAATGAAGAAACCTGCAGAGAGAGAGAGAAGAGTCTGCGCCCGGTGTGACAGGAGCGAATTCCTTTCATCGCTGTGAAAGTCTCCCCGATCCTGCATGAAAATAATCTGGAGTCTGTCCCAGATTTCAAAATAAAAGCCCTCTTAATAAAACCTGACAGTGCGAGAAGTAGAGAACCAAAAACTGAAACCTGTCGAGTCCTGAAAACAGCCACCAAACTAAATCTACATTCATGTGAACTTTGAGTATTTTATAGTTCGATGCTCTCTCTTCACTCTTCTAGGAAACTTCGCCGCTCATATTTCCTCCTCAAAATTTCAGATCATTTCCTGTTTGTGTTTTTTTTTGTTTCCAGCAGACTTGTGCAGACCCCGGAGCGTGCACAAAGCCTCTTCAGTTTGGGTCAAAACCATGCAAAACCAAATCCAGATGGCACAGACCCATGTGGGCACCACTGCTGCCAACCTCCACCAGCCAATAGCCTCCATAAAAACACACACACAAAGACACGCACACACACACACAGACACACACTGGTTGGTTGCAGAGAGTGGCAGTTTTATGGCGTGGAGTGAGAATGTCTGCATACCTTCATGCTTTTGTGTCGATAATCTAATTAATCAGAAAAACCACAGTGACGTAATCGGAGCTGAGATTTCTCCTCCAGAAAAACGCCGTCTGACGCAGGAGCGCAGCGAGGAGAAAAACAGTAGAAGAAGAAGAAGAAGAGTGCGGCGTGTTAAACATACAGAGCTACTGTTTAGTGACAAAGACGCATCTTTATTTCTGCCGCTCACGCTTTCAAACATTTACTCACTGAGCAGAAGTGAGAGGCTGCGCACGCACGCACGCACACACACAGAAAAACAATAATGCACAGGGAGTTATGCAGCACAGCAGTGGGTTTGCAGGCTCCCTACTGACCACAGGAATGTGAGTGCGAGGCCTTTGTTTGCACACACACACACACACACACACACACACACACACACACACACACACACACACACACACACACACACACACACACACACACACACACTCGCACAGTGACAGGTCTGAGGGTCTCTGGCATGTTACAGCTGTTCACAGCGCTCACAGGCTGCAGTGTCTCAGGGGGACGAAGGGAAAAGGAGGAAAAACACAGAGAGGAGGAAGAGGAGGAGGAAAACACCTGCTGAGATCATGAGGCCACGAAAAAAACGGAGTTATGATCATCAGAGAGGAGGAAAAAAACAGATATGAGGGAATAAAGCGTCCTCTTTTTATGATTTAGTGATTCAGGGTCAAAGATGTTGGGCTACTTTCAAATGAAACAAGCACAAAAAGCATATTAAATAATGAGAGAGGAAGTAAATATTATATATGCTGTTCAGTATTTGTCCTACATACTTGTCGCCACCTCTGCAAAAGTCAGTCCCTTACTTGGCCAACCCTGTAAAAGGACTCTGGCTGCAGGACCTGGACCTGAATCATAAATCAAACTTACTTGTAGGGCTGGGCGATATGGCCTCAAATCAATATCATGATATATTGATCAGTTCACCTTGATAACAATAAATAGACGATAACTACTCCACAAGCTGCTCAGCCCCTCCCACATTAACTCCGTCTACTTCAGCCGCTACAACTTTCTCTCCGTCCTCCATCTCCTCTCCTGTCTTTCCCTCTTTGTTACAGACTGGATGGGGTGGAGTCACGTCTCTGACGAAGGACAGCGTCTTAAAAGAGACATGAGACCATAGCCTACCTACACACATCCAAAACAAACTTTGATTTATTTGTTTATTTTGACACAGAATATACAGATATGTGCAAAATGACGTCAGTTATTGTCGTAAATTCCGGTATCTGTAAATTTTCAGTTTATCGCCCAGCCCTACTTACTCGTCTTGATAACTTTTTATCACAAAGTTTGGAAACAAGGAGCATAATGGTGTCAATTCAGAACCAAACATACAAACTACAATCAGATTTATATTTAAATCACTTAAATCTACCTGATCTAACTTCCTGGACAACATCTGAAACTCGTCAAGAGCTTATTTTTGGACTTTAATTTGATGCAGCTCTCCATAAAATCATAATCAGCTGACATCACTAATATAGCACAAGACTTATGAAACTATTATCATGTGCTTTGTTCTTTTTTCTTGAGGCGTTGGCCCTCTGATTCTATTCCTGTGTCTTCAAGAGTTCATGGAAGTCTCTATGAAAACGTCCATTTTACCTTTAAATAAATAAATTAAATCTTTAATGAAATTAACAATCAGTGCAAACTAAAGTGAGTTACACGTGTAGCTGCTCAACAACAGACGCTCTCAGATGTTTGATTTTGGTTTTCATGCAAGCTGGCGAACAGATTGTGGATTTCTGCCATCAGCCTACGCCAGATGAAGACAGGCCCTCAACTGGAGACAGGACCAGGTCTGCAGATGTCCGAGAACAGCCTTCAGACTCTGCAGACTGAGTCCAGCTGCAGAGTCTGGGAACTTTCTTCTCTGTTCCTCAGGATTATTAGCCGATCTGTGCCAGAGGACATGCTGCTTTCTCCTCGGTGTCACTCAGTGAAGCGTCAGAATGTGATCACCCTCCTTCCTCAGTAAAAATCCATCACCCTCAGACCCTGCTGTGTCCTCCTCCTCCTCCTCCTCCTCCTCCTCCGTTTCTCCTTCAGAAGCTCTGAGTGTCTCTCTCTGTAGAGGAGGACAGACTGGTAGGCGGCCGTCTGTAAATTTGATCCCTCTGTTCTTTCAGGGTGTTTGGACAGACAGCTTTATCGACTCCGTGAAGTAGGAGGAGGAGGAGGAGGAGGAGGAGAGGTTAATATACGAGCCGGCTGAGGAGGGAGTGAGGAACAACAATGCTGCAAACAACCCGGCAGAGTCTTGGTGGTGGAGGTGTTTATAGGCGCCTCAAGTCCTCTAGTAATGAGTAAAGACTTCATAAACTCCTGTCAGCTCTGTCCACTCTTCATCCTGAGGTTTTCCTCCAATCAAAGTGAATTTCATTTTCATGTTCGGTCCAAAAAGGAGCAGATATTGGATCATGTTTTGAAGCTGGAGTTGAATTCCTCAGACTTGGCCCATCTGGAGAAACGTTTACGGATCATAAGTAGTTTTCCTGACGGGTGCACAACAACATGTCGGTGGTTTTAACAGAACACAGAGCTGCAAGAAATGGCTGCAAACTTGTAGTAATGGAAAGATCTCTGCAAACACCAAGACTCGGTTTCATGCAGTCTATATTTGACCACAGACTTGGGCTTTGTTTTCCTGACTGTTTTATGACCCTCGGGAGCGATCGCCAAAGTCTGCGGTTCTCGTTAATAACAGGGAAATTTGGATGAAGAGAGAAAGTTGCACATCTCTGCAGCTACTGTTGACCCAGTCCCCCAGTCTGCATGTCTTTGTCCAGACTTTATTTCTTCTGAAGAGTCTCCATGGCACCAACATCAACAAACAAATCAAGACACTGTCGTTCTGGTCATGAGGTGACTGAGGTATCAATGAAAATGGACTAACAATAGTCGGGATACGGAGCTTCACTGTCATTAATTTTAGTTTTGCAGAATGGCAAATGATGAGAAGAGACTCTGAAAGCACAAAACCAGGAAACGACACGACTCCCAAAGTTTCAGGCGATCCTGCGCTCACATTTTTGAGAGACAATGAGGTCAGATGTGATCCTGTACGGTCCAGGAGAGTCTTCGGTTCTGCTTTACTGTTTGCAGAGTTACTAAGCTACATGGATCTGGTGTTTCAGCAGGTTGGGATCATAGACTGTATAAAGAATGGACGCCGTCTGTCTCCTCAGCACCCTCTGGTGACAGGCTGCAGTATAGATCATAAATCCCGCCTCCTCCAGCAATCCCTATGGAGCTGTGGACAAACTTACGAAATTCATCGCTCAGAATATAAATGTTTCTCCCCCTGGTTGAGATGTTGACATGTAGTTACTGTCAGACTGGTTTGAGCTCAAGTCCTCTTTTTTCGGTGCAGCTCCATTTTTAGAAGTTATTAGGGGGTTCATGTTTTCTTTGATTGACACTTGATACAGCCTATGAGTGTACGAAGATTGCGTAGCTCACCCGGGGGAAACGCTGTTTGAGCCAAGCATCATCACAGCGACTCTCCTGCTGAGTGTGTATAACACTACTGAGCAAGTGAAGAAAATCCCGGAAATACCGAGAGCGATTCGGCTTCAAATTCGTATAATGATGGAAGGCGGAGCCAAGTCGTCCATAATATATACAGTCTATGGTTGGGATGTTTCCAGCATGAATAACTTGTTACTAAATCTGCACATTTGGCCAACATTTATGCAACAGCAGTACAGCGTCTACACCAAACTATCTTAAAGTCAACGGGACAAACAAGTCACCTGCAGCCGGATGTTTCAAGCAAAAAATAACACACTAAGTCCTCCTCCTCAAACAAGATCAATCCCACCATAAATACGATTCGATACGATACAGTATGATACGGTACGGTACGGTAGGATACAATACAATATGATATAACTCTACATCTTCCTTCATCCTCTCGCTCTCACGCCGCCTGTTTTCTTTCCTGACTCCATGTTTCTGCTCTACTTCAGCTCTTTAACCGTCTATGTCCCACATTATAGTTTTATTACCTCCTGTGGTTTCAGGGCTCTTGCCATGTTATTGCACACTGTAATGCAGACCAGACGTCATTACGTCTCTTCTTCTCGACAAACTGAAGTTCTGGTACGTCTCACTCGGGCTGAGCTCGTGACACCACAGACCACATGCTGATTAATCCTCCGAGGAATAAAATCCTTGTTTCCTTCTTCTTTCCATCTCACTCTTCACCCCGAACTGACTTTTCGTCTTTTTGTCGACATTTTCCGTCTCTGTGGTTCGTATTTTCTGCCTTTTTGCTCTTAATTCGGTTCTGTCAAATACGAGCATGTCGACTACTGACGTTTAGTCTTCAATAACTCTCCAATGTCTTCAACCTTCTTAGAAATGGTCCAAAACTGTTGGAGGTTGCATGTTTCATCGTCTTGTACTCTGAATTGATCGAATAAGACGAAAACTAACTTAGAGGAGCGTTGGCATCGACTTCTGGAGAGATGGACAGAAACATCAAATCATTTTCCTCGTCTTACTGCAAGGGGTTCAGTGACAGCATGCAGAGCGGGTCAGTCTAGACGTCCCTCTTTCCAACATTATTCAGTGTGTCTGGATTGTGGATCCAGAGGAGCTTCTTCGTCAGCATGAGCTGGGGTCTGTACTCGCAGAAAACCTCAAAGAGAGAGACGTCCAAATGGGACAAAGTACTCAACTCCATGATGTGAGTCAGAGTGCAGATTCTCCTGGTTAGATGTTACTCCAATACTTGAGTTTAAGTAAAAATACTTATTAGAAGAATCTCAAATACTGCTTTTTCATAATTCACGAGTACTACTTCGACACTATTCATATTTTCAAAGCTTACGACCGACAGATTTGCAGCTACAAACAACAACAACAACAACAGGAACACTATTTAGAGAATATTTAGTTGCACACCTCTGTATGATTTCAGGTTGGAAGTTCACAGGAAACAGAGTGAGCTTTTACAAGTAAAGGTTGAAGATAGGAGGACCATGGCTGAACAAACTGTCTGATCCGAGTGACTTTTCCCTCAATGATAAAACCAAAGTTTGGTAGAAATACTCAAAAAGAAAGTAGATCACTCTCCACCTCTGCAGGTGTCAGACGGCAGCATTACACCATCCACAGATGTTTTCTATCAGGCAACAGCTTTAGTTTCATTATTATAAGAGTCATAATGAAACCATTTATGAAGCCCTCAGCGATGCCATACTTTAGAGATCAGAGGAGAAACGTTACCTCATGAGATAAAGATGATCTCTAAAGATTATAGTTCCCAATAAAAGAGATGAGTGATCACAAACTACGCAAATAAAAACACGACTGAGGCTCATATCCTTCAGCTGCAGGAGTCAAAGGTTTATTTCCTTCGATTCTTCACCTGATTATTGTTGGGAAATTCTTCTTCTACCCGCTGAATTCTGAGTTTATTCCAGAAAACAACTTTGTATGAGTTACAGTAACTTACTGACAGAAGAATACCAGTAAGTTAATGTTAAAAACTTTACAGTACTACTGTATTTTAATTTACTGTATTCTACAGTAATTTACTGCAGAAAAATGTTAGAGTTGTATTACAGTATTTTAATTTACAGCATTGTTTCTGTATTTTACAGTAACAATACTGTAAAAAAAATACAGTTATACTACTGTAAAAAAATTTACGGTAACTTACTGTTGCCAGTAACAATGCTTAAAATCAAAACACAGTTATATGACTGTAAAGTTTTTTACAACTTACTGGAAGCAGGATACCAGTAAGTTACTGTTAAAAAAAAACTTAACAGTATTACTGTATTTTAATTCACTGTATTTTACAGTAACTTACTGTAGAAAAACTTTACTGTACTTTAATTTACAGCTATGTTTCTGTACTTTACAGTAACAAAGCTGTAAATAAAATAGTTATAATACTGTAAAATATTTTTTATGGTAACAGCGTCCTGTTGCCAGTAAGTTACCATAAAAATTTTAACAGTAGTATCACTATATTTCAATTTTCAGCATTGTTACTGTATTTGACAGTAACAATGCTGAAAATTAAAAAAACAGTAATACAACGGTAAAGTTCTCCTACAGTAAGTTACTGTAAAAAAAACTTTACAGTAGTATTACTGCATTTTAATTTGCAGCATTGTTTCTGTATTTTACAGTAACTTTTTATTCGCTTTCTTGAACTTCTTGTGAAATAAACACGTCGTAGTTTTAGCAGAAGTCAAAGTTGTCATCTTGACCCAAAACTGACCGTAAATCAGAGCGAATCACGACTCATAGAAATCTGCAAACCAACAAACAGAGAAGTAAAGCCGAACTTTATACTCTCTGAACTCGATCACTGCTGATCGTAATCATTTAAACTCTATGGAAACTCTGAGCTGTACTTCCAGAACTTCTTTTGTCTCAAACTGCGGCCCAGTGGGATGCTGTTTAATTGTGTGCAGCGTCTGTGGGGGCGACGAGCACCCCAACAAAAACACGGATCTTCAAAGACTTCTTTGGTTCAGCTCGGGTCAGTAGAGCAGAAAAAGGGGGAAACTGCCTCCCTCGGTTAACCACCAATACATCAGCCCTCTGTGACTGCACCATGGAGGCCAAAACTGCCTCTAAACTGGATGAGATCATAAGTGGAACAAACCATCTCATCACCCTGCAGAGTGTGGACGTCTGAGGAGCTGCAGATGCTCCTGTCAGCCGTGAAAAGTCTCTCTTTGATGCACGAAAAGACGGAGATGAAGTTTGAAAGGTGGAGTGTTTGGAAACGCTTCTGAAATTCCAGGAGCCATTTGCAAATACCAGGAGAAGAAAGGAGAAGAGTTTCTGTGCATGTGTGCATTCCTAGGAGGGACGGAGGGAGAGATAACGGACAGAAAACTCCTGGTGAGAGGAGGAGAAGGAATTCAAGAAAGAAAGAAAGAAAGAAAGAGATTTATGAGGAAGGACACGCGTACGTACCCAGAGATGCAGTCATGATGTGTGACCCTCTCTGAAGTTTCCTGTCGTTTGCAAGTTTCCTGATCACACCAAACTAGAAGATGAACTTCCTCTCACTCCCCGGCTCCAGACTCTCCTTCTGCTCCCTCCTGAATGAAACTCTGAGTCTCCTCCTCTTCTTCTTCTCTCTTTCACGTCTCAGAGCGCTCTGAGCTCCACTCGCTGCTGAGCTTTTCCTTTCTTCAGGGGCTGGCTCGTTTCTCCGCCATGCCCAATTCCTTTCGTCCCCCAGATGGAAAAATCAGCTCCCCGTTTGCTCTTGGCTTGTTGTGACACCGTCGACTTCTGGGTTTGTATGGAGGGAGGGACCAGAGGGAGAGAATTTACCCCCTCCTCTCCCTCCTTCGCTGACCACTGAGCATTGCTCCTGCCGGGCCACTGCGAGCACTTTCCCCCAATCAGAGTGGATTCCAGCGGGGTCAGAGGTCATGTGTGGCCTTTTATGGAGCAGAGAGGGGAGGCGGTGGGACGGTGGGTTGATCTAGTGGGTTTCTATGGCCTCTCTGTCAGGGCATGTGTGTCCACTCCCACCATCTGCTCGCCACAAACACAGAGAAGACAAAGGCATGCAGACACACACTGACCGTGTCTCCTGCTGCCATGTGTCTAATCTTAGCACTTCATAAATTACGCCGTGAAGCTCCTGATCGAATGTTGTGGACTTAACTTTGGTTTCAGCGCAGACATGTGCTGCATGCCTTTATTTTAACCCCCGTGACACAGGAAATGAGCTGGAATAGAGATCATCTTTGTCCGTCTGTGACGCTCATATATCAGTTTAAAGACCCCAGAGCGTGGACGGTGAATATCAGAGCATCAGCGCTAAACTGAAGCTCACAGTTAAAGTGTTTTCAATCATCTCGAGGAGGACGAGTTTCTCCTGCCTTCGCCACCCTCTCCACTTTCTCCTGACCTTTCACCCCTGAGGTTCAAACAGTCAAGTGTCTGTCTCAGCGGACCATCTGCCTGACTCATAACAACATCCACATTCCTCTGACTTCCGCTGGTGGTGAGCTTCTGTATATATATGACTGTTTATTTGGATTTAACCACAAGTACACAAAGGAAACGCTCTTATGTAACGTTCGGAGCTCAAACGTCACGAGGAAATGAACGAGCAGAGAGACAGACGAACAAACAGACAGAGAGTTGAACCTCTGCTGACTTGGTAAAGTTGTAAATAATGTCATCAGTGTCTCCTCTGTCATATTATTTATTTAGATTTTGAGTCAAAGGGAGAAAATAAACAGCTTCAAAAAATGACGTTTGTCTCTCAGAATCTAAAATATATTCAGTGCATGATGTGACACACGTGTTCCTTTATGCACTGATTCAGGATTTGTGCAGCTGAGATATTTCAGCATAATAAAAGTGAATATAAAACTGCAAAACGATGCATCAGATGTTAAAAGTTCATGTGGAGAAGGTCGAAACTGTGACATTTCATCACCTCTAAAGTGTTTTTTGCAAATTTCAACTCTTGTTTCCATTTAATTGAAGATTTTCTGATACTTTGATATTTTAGTCTCACTTGCACTGATCCAGTTGACTTTATTCAACCACATACTGAGAGTAAAAGTCCTGTTAACTCACTGCAGCACTAATTTAGATGGACAGAAAGTGTATTTAAAAGCATAAAAAGATAGATATCAGTTTTTACAAGTTGTTAGAGTCAAAAAGTAGAGATAGACTTGCATTTATAAGTTGGACTTATAAATTTAAAGACTTAATTAATTGATAATTAACAATTAATTCCATTTCTCTTTTGCTTAGATGCATTTTATCTAATTTGTGAATTAATTTCTTGTAACAAGGGGTGGACAATATAAGTTTGCTTCTTTCATACAGGAGTCACAGTATTGTCTTTTTTTAAGTTTCAGTTTTTGTTTTTACTCTCAATAAATGAAATAAATAAATAAACAAACTAAACTTAAATTAAAATATTTAACTCTGCATTGTTTAAGATTTAATGTTCAAGGACCAGGAAACCTCCAGGGTTTTTCTGCACAGCTCCAAATTTGCAAGAAATCTTCATATTTTTGGAGAAACATTTTACAGTCCAGCAATTTTACAGTCTACAGTGTTCAAGGAGATTTGCTCTCTGCACAGAAACACAACAGCAATCATACACAGTAATTAATATCAGGGTTCCTACACAGTTGAAATTTCCATACTTTTCCGTACCCTGATTTTCAGATTTTTTTGAGGCAAAATACCAACGTTTCTACTTTAGAAAACAGTATTTTTTTTTTTACTGTGGTAATAGTCTGGAAACACAAATATTTTTCCATACTTTTTAAGACCTAAAAATTGATCAAATTTTGTTTACATACGTTCCATACTTGCGTAGGAATCCTGTAATATGAAATCTAATAAATGTGTTAAATAATTTTGGTAATATTTGGGGGCCAGTTTGATGTACTTTTCAGCTAACCCACACTAGACTATTTTGACTAATAAATAACTAAAATACTCTGATTTTGTCACAACATCCCAGGACGCCTGGTGTGTTTGTCCCTGTGATAACTTCAGTTTTCACTCTGAGCTCTGTTGATGTTTTGGAGCTGTGAGAAATCACCCCCCCCCCCACATCTCTGCAGCCTGGGGTCAGACTGCGCTGCTCACACCCGTGACTCTAAACACCAAACAGAAAATAATTATAAAAGTGGAAACGGACTTCTCTGCCCCGACGCGGCGAATTGTTTCCCAGACATCCTCTGCCTTTAACGTGGGAAACAGGAAGTTCTCGTCTGCCCCTAAATGGGTCTGAGCTGCAGATATTCTGTTCCTTTGTTCATTCTTCTGTCCATTCAGCAGAGAGAAAGAAAGAATCAGGTGTTTTTCTACAAACACGTAATGATCTTTCTTTCATCAGCTCCTTCTCCATCCTGCCACCGCTGCCACCGCCGCAGCCGTGCTCCGACAAACATGTTTACAATAAACAGGCGGAGCTGCCCTTTAAACAATGAGCTGATCTGTCTGCAGCGCAGGCCTGAATGTCATCATAAATATCACTCTGCTTTGGTTTGGTGGAAACATGCTGAGGCTGCAGTATTTCAGCTAAAACACAGGTGGATAAAAAGTGACCGCCATGATGAATAATCCTGAAAATACAAGACGAGTTTTTACAAACGACAGAAAAAGTCAAAATCAGACTTTTTTTAATGATAGAAAGATCGCAGTGATGTAACAGGAGGATTCAGCGTTCAGAGGACTGAGGCTGACCGAAGAGGACTGACCGGATCTTATTTTGGATCTTTATGTTATGAATGATAAACTCAAACTAGGGCTGCACGGTTCTGGCCAGAAATTAAAACTTAATTTTTGATTTCAATTTTTTATTTAATGAATTGCAAACGCCATGTTTGTTTACACTGGTGGAAGGAAGGGGGAGCCTACGGTGGCCTGGAGGGGTGAGACATGATAGAGAGGAAAATCGATTTGAAGATTTAAATTTTTTAACATCGTCAAAATCAAATAATCCGATTAAGATTTAAAATCGATGATTCGTGCAGCCCTAACTCAACCTTAAAGAGTGGTGACCATAGTGCAACATGCAGACCAATCAGAGGGCTTGTTTCACATTTATGGTTTGTTTCTAAGGACAGGCTGAGTGTTCAGGTTTCTGAATAAGTGAAGAGCGATAAGGAGATCTGACACATGCTAAGACTTCAGTCTGACATAGACGTGTAAACTCTAGACGTCATGATTGAAAGGTTGAAAAAAGCTAAAACCAGCAGGGGGCGACTCGACGAGCTTCCATTAACACCTGCTTCTCATTCATAATGCTCGTTATGATCCCACTGAGAGTTTAACAGACGCCTGCGTCAGGGTGTGGCCTTCTCTTGATTGACAGGTCACCACAGGAACATGATACCACTCTCAGATCAGATTATGGGACACAGCCCTCCTGTTTCCCCCTCTACACTGAATTCCTCCTGCAGCTGTGTGCTCTGTATCTCCTCAGGCAGGATGTCCCTCCCTCTCCTCCTGTCCCCTCCCAGAACAGGACATGAGTGGACATCCTGTCAGCCGCCCTCTCTTCCTCTGTTATCGCCGACTATTATTAGCCGGTCGAGCGGCCGCCATCAGCTGTCCAGAACTTCCAAAAGCGTTTAATCAGCGCTGACCCTGACCGCCTTTTACCTCGGAGCTCTGGATAGTCAACAGAAAACTCCAGAAACCAGCCAACTGTTACCAGAAACAGAGCCGTGCCCTCATGAGCAGCCAATAGGAACACAGCTCAGACCGGGTGTGTACGTGCCTCTGTGTGTGTGTCTGTGTGTGTACGTGTGTGTGTGTGTTTTAGGTGTATTATGCCAGGAGGACATTCCAACCTGCTCTTCAACCCTGTCCGACAGCCATCAGGATTTGAGTGTTTGGGCTCAAACTCCACACACACACACACACACACACATTTTAGTGTCTCACACCCACTCTTGGCGAAGTGTACCTGGAGTCCAGTTGTTCTGGTCCCACTGCCCGCTGGTCCGGAGCTGGGAAAAGTCTGAGAAATGTTTCACTGGGGAGAGAAAAAGGAGGAGGAGGAGGAGGAGGAGAGGACGCTGATAAGATTCAGAAATGCAAACACACCCACAGCGAGAGAGGAGGCCGCTCTGACCTTATCGGGCTTACCGTACGGCGTCGGAGGAGACACAGGGAAGGCCGGCGTGGACGGGACCATGTCTGAAGAGTTGGTGTGTCCGTGATGGTCCACGCCGTCGGCTACGAAGGAGAGGCCGAGCTTTGAAGAGGAGAATAATGAAAGAAAGGAAGAAAGAAAGAGGAGGAATACAGTCGTTAACATGTGTTTTAACTGTGGGTAGAACAAGCCCACACACACACACACACACACACACACACACACACACACACACATGCACACACACACATACACCAGCAGACATCAGTCTTGTGATCTGTGTGTGGCTACAGTCTGTGTTTTGGGGTAAACAGTCGGGCCATTCATGCCACCCAGAGCCGAAAAAGAAAAAGAAAGACAGAGAGAGGAGGAGAGAAATGCCCACACAGATGTAAACACAGTTACATAACCCTCATCATCATCATCATCATCATCATCTCCACGGACACAAGTTCACTAATTTCAAAGTCATATCACTCGGTTATCTTTGCCTTTAATGGACTTCACAGAGACAGACGAGTTTGAGTTATGTTCAACTAAAAACAAAATGATGTCAGGTCAGTTTCTGAGACGATGACAAAGACACACTTTTAGTAAATAAAAACAATTTAAAGTCAAATAATCAGGTTTTCACAGTCTTTAGATTTAGGGATTTATATTCTACCCACAGCAACATAAAGTCGAACATTCAGTTCATTCAGTTTCATTTGTTTAAAGTCATCCATGTTGGACTGATTCGACCGTTCCTCCTTTAATTTGTTTTAGTTTGGTCGCTCTCTTTGTTTTCTTCACATCTGTATTTATATTTCAAACATTTGTTGTTAATGTTTTAATGTTCTTAACCTTGCACCAGTATATGCAAAGAATTAGGACTTAAAAAGGAAGAAAGAAGATGTTCACAGATGTTCACAGCCTGATGATTTACTGTCAATTGGGTAAGAATCAACCTCCATTTTTAAGTTTTTATAATTACAAATGTTAATTAAAACCATTTATTTCACTGAGAATGACCACTCCAATCTTCTTTCTGTCTTTTTTGTCTTTAAGCTTTTGCATTTTGCCACTTCGTAAAACACAAAAACTCCTCTGAGCTACTGTCGAAACATGTCAGCTGCCCTCAGTGTGAAAAAAAAGTGTTATTTTAGTATTAGTGACATTTGGGTTAGTCTGATTTCTTCATGTGAGGTTGCAGACGTGTTAACCGGAGCGAGAAAAGCAGGTGAACAGCTTCTGCATCATGACGCAGCAGACTCCATGTTTTGCAGAATTTCATGAAATGTAAACAACTTTTAAAGATCCCGTTCTCGAAACAATGTCCATTAATTATGTAAATACTGCTATATTTTCTATAATTTAAGGTAATTTCTTGATGTGCGTCTTCTTTATTCCTGGATTGTTTTGGCTCACTAGGAAAAAGCTGCTGTAACACCACGATTTCACAGTTTGGGATCAATAAAGTCATTCGGATTCTGATTATTGATACACAAGGATGATTTTTCAACCACACATGAATCTGTCTTTTAAATGCACGACGGTATATCCTCCATTTCTTTTATTTTCTTTTATTTTAAATGTTTTTTTACCTGCTTTTATTTATTTCCTCTTGATGTTTTTTTTTCTTCTGCGGTGTTTGCAGCACTTTGGTGAACTTAAGCAGTTCTTGTTAGAGGAGGTGGATTGTGGGCGGCGCCTTTACCTGTGCAGGTGACGGAGAGGAGGAGCCTGAGTATAGTGGGGACCCCTTGAAGCCCCGGGAAACGCCCCCTCGCCATGCCGGACTGTTCAGACCGCCATAATCCACCACATCGCTGATCTGCTTCTGCTGCTTCCAACCTGATGATCAGAGGAGAGATAGCAGAGAGATGAGGGGGCAGAAAGAGGACCAGACAGTCAGACTGATCCTGATCTTTATGATCGAATCAAAAACAAACAGACATTAAGTCGAATATCACAAACAGTTTTATCTTTTCCTATAAAATAACAACCGTGTGATTCAACGGCGAGACTGTATTATGACCAGCTGTGAAAGGAGAGGACGGCGGTTCGTGTTTGGGTTGTTTGTCTCAGACAAAAAGCGTCTATCAGCGGGTTTCTATCAGCTGCTGCTTCAAGAAAGCAGGTTATGATCCAAACGCAGCGGAGAGCAAAGTGTTGTCGGACTTCAAAAGCATTCCTGATCGCTGACACGCCCACAGACACAAACTTTATTTACTTTAGGAGCGTTTCGTCTTCTCGTGACACAAACTGATTTGACTTTCCCCACAGCTGCCTGCCGCACAAACTCACATCCTGACAAACTCACTGACCTACACCTCTACATAAAAAAACACACTTCCTGTCTTCAAATATTCCCAAAGTATAACGGCGTGCCCGTCACAGCAGCTTCTAAAACGTGTAAAAACATAAATCAGCGAGGAGGTGATGGGAAAAAATCCCCGTTCAATCACTTTTAACTGAATCTGTCACAGAATCGGAGCTACCAGTCAAAGCAGGCAGCTCCGGCTGTTTGTCTTGGCTGTCTGGAGATAATTTCCACTTCTTAAAGCCGCTGTGAGAAACTTTTGGTTTGTGTTGATATCAGTCCCGGTGGAGGTGAGAGGAAGTAAATCTGTCACCAGAGGAGGAGAAACGGTGAAGAAGAAGAGGCAAGAGGGAGACAGCGGGGTCAGAAAAACAAGAACGTGTCGGAGAGTTAAAGATGTTTCTGCTCAGGTGTGTGGAGGTGGACTTCTGTCGCTCAGTCAGGACCACTTTTATCAAAGTCAATTAATTATTTCCAAGACATTAGTTTTATATTTAATCATAAATTAGTTATATATTTCCAAAAAAGGTGTAGTAAACGGCAATTTCAGATTCATCTATTTTATGGAATAACATTTTATTCAGCCTTGTGCAAACGTTCATCGAGAAGAGTCTCTGCTCCGACTTTGAAACCATGCTGCTTAAAATCACCTGTCGTCTGCTCTCACCTTTGCAGGATTTGCAGAAGTTAAAACATGCTAAAACTTAAACCATAAATGAAGCAGCTGATTTGAAATGCATGTAAAGCTCTTTTACCTCATTTTAAATCCACAGTTTTAAATCTTGGTGTTAAAGTTGACGATTTTAAAATCGGACCAACAAATCAACTTTGTCTTTATCACCTGAGGATTTTATCAAAGACTAAATCAGTTTTATCTTAGTGATTTTAAGCAAGTTTTTCATGCTTTTATTTCTTCACGGTTGGACGATGTGACACTCTTTACGATGGTGTTAATCAGGCTTCCCTCACACATTTACAGTTAGCTCGTCTTTTAACAGGTAAAAAAAAACATGACCACATCAGTTCAAGGCGTCCCTCCATTGGCTTCCCGTTCATTTTAGAAATCATTCAAAATTTTATTGTTTGTTTTTTAATCGTTAAACGGATCAGCACCACAGTACATCTCTGACCTCTTCAATGTTCTTTGAGTTGTAGGTGGAGTCAGCGCCGGTGTCGTAGCAGAAGCAGGTAACACAGGAGCTATTCAGCTCTCAGACACTAATGTGTTTAGCGACATGATGAGAGGTAACATCATAATTAGCTTTTGTAGGAGTATGCACATCTTAAAACAAATTTTTATTCTTCGGCTTTTAGTTCAGCATAAGAGGAGTGTGATCTCTGTCCTTTTATGTCTTTTATGGCATCTTTTATCACCTCCATTTCTTTTATTTTCTTTTAGATTGGATTAAGACAGCGGTGAAGTTGAAGTGTGTGATCCAATCATTGTGCAGCTGCGATATCTCTGATGTTGCGAAGCTGCGGCTGAGTTTGTGTTAGTATTTAAGAAATAATGATGCATATCGGGTCTTTGTGCGGACCAATCAGAGTCCTGCAGGTGACAGAGATTCACCTTTTATGGGGCCACACACAACAGAGCACATCAACCCCAAACACGACTGTGGAACATTGTGAGCTCAGTTTTCAGCGAGTGCGTCCATCATCTCAGAAATCAGAGGAAAGGCCAAACTGACTGAGACTAATCCGGTTACTCTGACACACCAGGGGGGCTGCTGAGGAGGGAGGGGCTTCGTTTTAACGGTGTGGAGGAGTCTGACTCGATACCCACTGTATTTGTGAAGGGGGTTATTCTCTTTTCAACGCTGCTGCTTCAAGAAAGCAGGTTATGATCCAAACGCAGCGGAGAGCAAAGTGTTGTCGGACTTCAAAAGCATTCCTGATCGCTGACAAAGTCCCGCCTCCAAACATCCTCCTGAAAAACACACATTAGGACCAGACAGAGCAGCTCCAGAGCGGCGCTGAAATATCGGCGTTACGGCCGCAAACACACCCTCGGGTAATATCAGCCCACCTGACAAACTCACTGACCTACACCTCTACATAAAAAAACACACTTCCTGTCTTCAAATATTCACCATGAGGAGAGGAGGAGGACCACATGACCTCTTGTTGACCTGAGGTTAGAGGTTAGATGTCAGGGGTAAGGCGCCCCCTGTGTGGGACGAGGCCGCGGGTCAAATCTAATCAGAGCAGAGAGCCTGACAGACATGATTCAGGGTCTGTCACGGCTCCTCCTCGTCAGCTCCAGGAGCTCCCACGTGAACCGCAAGGCCGCTCTGGGGGTTCGCTTTGAGGGAAGTGATGACATCGCCTACACACCTATGACCTGACAGAAAATGAATCAGGGACGGGGGGGACGCCGCAGAAATGTGCCCCTTCCTCCTGGTGAGTCCCGGTGGAGGTGAGAGGAAGTAAATCTGTCACCAGAGGAGGAGAAACGGTGAAGAAGAAGAGGCAAGAGGGAGACAGCGGGGTCAGAAAAACAAGAACGTGTCGGAGAGTTAAAGATGTTTCTGCTCAGGTGTGTGGAGGTGGACTTCTGTCGCCTCATTCAGAAGATAAAAACAAGTCTGACTGTTACAACCTGACAGGAAGATAACCGACTTATATAACAGCACATGATGGAGGTGATAAAAGAGAGGAGGGCGCTTTTCTCTGGAAGCCATCTTACTGCGCACAAACAGATCATAAACTCTCAGGACCACTTCTGCACACACCTGTATTTTCTTTAGTTTCTTGGAGTCAGATCTTTGCACACGTGTCAAAACATTCAGAAAAGTGTTTGGAGAGTGATCTACTTCAAATGTGCGCAGGTCTGAATAACAAATCAACAAAACTGTGACAGGGAACGTCTAATGAACTGAACACAAGAGCTGCTAATAATGCATCAGTTAGACAGATCGTGGAAAAATACGATTACGCTCATAAGCACTTTGTAAACATCTTTATTTAAAGGTGCTTTATAAATTAAGTTATTATTATTACTGTCAAGGTTAACTGGTCAAATGTTTCTTATCAAATACAGCCCATTTTAACACGCAGTACATGCAGAGCTTTCTTTAATAACTGATTTAAACTTATGAAAGTAGGGCTGATTCCTCAAGTACCTCGATTACACAAAATGATCGAGGAGTTTTCTCCGCCTCGAGTTCTCGTTTATAAACTCAAATCGTCGCTGTTTCGCACTGGTTTTTTTAAGGGTGACACAACACGTTTATGTCACCGTGGTAGAAGGAGGAGAAAGCGCGGTTTCGGTTTTGCGGAATGATGAGAGGGGCGTTTCTTCTGCAGAGCTCCAGTAGCTCATTAGCAATTCGTCTTTGAGTTGTAGGTGGAGTCAGCGCCGGTGTCGTAGCAGAAGCAGGTAACACAGGAGCTATTCAGCTCTCAGACACTAATGTGTTTAGCGACATGATGAGAGGTAACATCATAATTAGCTTTTGTAGGAGTATGCAATCTTCTAACGCTTGTTCCGCGACTGTCCTCTGTTTCTTCGAAGTCTGGCAGGGCCCGGGGGGCGGAGCTTAGAGTTGTGACATGGAAAATCTCACTGTATGTGAGTCTGCCGTTTGGGTCCGATTACTCCAGTAATCGATAGCAGTGTTGTTTTTGGCAGGCATTTTAGATTTAGTTTTAGTCTTAGTCATTTTGACGAAATGCTTCTTCGTTTTAGTCCCATTTTAGTCATTTCTATCCTTGATAGTTTTTGTCTAGTTTTAGTCCGACGAAAACTCAAAAGGTTTTAGTCTAATTTTAGTCGACGAAAAGGTGCCTTTTGAGGTTCGTGGTGTTCTTTCCCGACAGTTTGAAGCCGCAGCATGAGGAAGCTGTGGCTCCACAACTGTCGTCTGTCTCCCCGTCCCCATACAAGACATTGTGTTTTATTGTCACTTGGACTGTATCTGAAGTAGGACTATAAAGCATCCCTCTTTTTTCGGCCACCGCTGCTGTGCCTGCCGCCGCGGTGTGTGTGTGCGCGCCTCGTCCACCTACCGCTCTGTGTATGTGTATGAGTGTGTGCGCAGCTGTGCGCGAGCGAGGCTTTTGGTGCGTGTGTGATGGGGGCGTGACTGTTAGGACAAAAAAAAGCATGTTTTGAAACTTTGTTCGTCCACCTAATAACAAGTTAGTCTCGTCTCGTTCTCGTCTGACGAAAATGAATACAGTTTTCGTCACATTTTAGTCTTTACAGAGCTTTGGTGACGTTCGTCTTAGTCTCATTTTCGTCAAGGAAAAATGGGGTCTGACGTCGTCATTTAAGTTTTCGTCCTGCCTGATGAAAACAACACTTATTTCTGCAGGATTCCTCTCCAGACCTTCTAATCTTGTTTCCCAGCAGGTCTGTTTTGATCCCATTATCACAACTTTAAAGTCTGCTTCATTTATAACGTAGAAATCATCAGATTAGGTAAGAATTGTAACCGCAAGACCTGTCAAAAGGTTGCAACATGCTTTTTTCTGCATATTGTGAGATGAGGATGTAGGTTTTGCAGGAATAACTAAAATCTTAAGATATTCAGTTTAAAATAAGAAGACGCTCTCAATAATGATTGATATTCACAATCAAGACGATAAATCTGCAGTTTTTATAATAATAATAATAATAATGCATCAGATTTCATATAGCGCTTTATCAGAGACCCTCAAAGCGCTTTACATTGGATACATCATTCATTCGCTCACACAGTCACACTTTGGTGGTGGTGGAAACGTGGCTGCCATTCTGCGCCTATGGCCTCTCCGACCACCACCACACAACACTCACAATCATACACCAGTGGAGACACACACTGGGAGCAAGGTGGGTTAAGTGTCTTGCCCAAGGACACAACGGACAGACTTGGATTAGGGGGGAATCGAACCGCCAACCTTCCGGTCATTGGACGACCGCTCTACCTCCTGAGCTACTGCCGCCCCTTTTAGGGAAGTTTTGGTTCAAAAATCATTTAAATTAGTTTTTTTTTTAGTATTTTGGCTGAACATCTAAACCAAAAATGATGAAGATGGACATTTTTACTATTTCTGCTCTTCAAGACTAAAGTTAAAGTGTTCAAAACAACAGACATGTCGTTTTTACTCAGATTTAATGTAAAGTCATTATTTCCCTCATAACCTGCAGATTTAAGGAGCTGGTTTTGGCTCAGGAGTCAGTCCTCAGTTTTCCTCTTTTTGTTTGTGCAGAACCTTACAGGCAAAAATCAGGGCAAAAAGTTATACATGTTCGAGTGATCTCAGTGCTGCAGGTGAAGGTGAGGAAGGTGAGGAAGGTGAGGAAGGTGATGAAGGTGAGCGATGAAGAAGAGAGAAAAGTGAGTCAGTGAATCAGAGAGTCAGACTCTTTACCTGCAGCTCTACTGTACTTCATGAATCACTGTGACACACACACACACACACACACACACACACACACACACACACACACACACACACACACACACACACACACACACACACACCACCTGTCAGACTGCACTCCTGACACACTCCATGGAGATAACACAGAGCTCCTTTGTGTGAGCTGACGGATGCATATGTGTGTGTGACTCGTGTGTGCGTGTGTGTGTGTGTGTGTCACGCACAGTCACACACGCACGCACACACAAACACACACTGTTTGTCTTCTCGCCTCACAGTTTTACAAAAATACATGAGAGGAAAATAAAGTTCAGAGACAGAAAAACATTTTCACGACTTTAACTAATATTTCCTCTGGGGGGTCCTGTGCGGCCCTGTGAAGCGACGGACAGACCCGAGTCACTGCTGGCGGACGGAGCGCGCTCACTGCAGCTCGGGCTGCTGGTGGTCGGAGCAGACGGAGCTCCTTCCTCGCTGCTCTTCTTCCTCACTCTGGAGAACAAACTGGTGTGTCCAGGATCCAAAACTAAACCTGCAAATATTCTGATTATTAGTTTTTTTTAGTTTGGCACAAATATCTTACAATACTTTATCATTCCCTCATTATTTTGTTTATTTTCTAGTTTTTTTCTAATACGTTTGTATATAAAATCAACCAGACATGTTTGAGTTTTGTACTTGAAGACAACATTTTGGAGCTTTTTCCATTCCAGTTTTTCATTTTCGCTGATTTTATTTCAATTTAACTTATTATATGTTTGCGGAAGGAACTTGAGGATGGTCAGAAAACACATCAGAGCTGTTTTTTCTTCATCAGTGATGCAATAACGCTACAAGCTGTTTATTTACAGAAAAATAAATCAACATTTCCCCTTGATGTTATTTTTCTGTAAGACTTTTGCAACTTTTACATTCAACTTAATCTATAATATACTTTTAAAATTTGCATTTATGACAAAATGTGTCATGATTTGAACATTTTAAACTGTCTCCTCTGTCATTTTCAAGAAAAAGTACCAACATATACTTGCTCTAGCTTTGCAGTAATGATGTTGGACCACTTTTACTGTCACATATACACACTAAAACTTAAAATCTTTACAATTTCTGCATTTGAGGACAGAAACATTTTGCATACTGCATGAAAAATGAGACTTTTGGATTCATTCTGATGCACATTAGCTGTTTTACAGTGTTTAAGTTTACCACTAATTGATCTTTTTATTATTTTAGCTTAAAAATATTGAAGTTTTCTGCTTTTTAGAGTCAAATATGACATTTAAACTCTCGGGACAGGATTTGTTGTCAGTTTTCACAACAAAAATCAAACACATGACTGAAAGAGGAAGTGTTCCTCTGATAAAGATCGTCACATTTAGATAAGATAAAGCAGCCGTGTTGAGTCCAGAGTGAACCAGAACTGTGTGTATGAGCGCAGCCTCTTAAGTCCAGAGAGGCAATAAAACTCAAATACCAGACATGCATGGTAAACCCTCACAGCTGGGCGATCAGCTCTCTCTCTAACACACTCACAGATGCACAGAGCGGATCGACACAACACACAACTTTAACAATACTGTTAAAGAAACTCTCTCACCACAGTAAAAGACACACACACACACACACACACACACACACACACACACACACACACACACACACACACACACACACACACACACACACAGGACCAAGAAAGCAGCTTACTTTCACTGCTCCCACTGCGGCGGACCAGAAACAGGATGGAAGTGCCTGTTGATGAAGCTTTCCTTCGAGTCCCACAGAGAGGAAAGGAGAAACAGATGAGACGCTGAAAGGACAGAAGGGAAAGGACGAGGACGAAGGGGACAGACTCAGGACAGACTCAGGTTTAGCTCTCGTCCTCTCTGTCTCTCTCTCTCTCTGCCACAGGAAGACAAGCTAAGAACATTCTTTCTTTTAAGGTTCTAACACCCCCCACCCTCCTCCTCGTGTCCCCTCCACCTCCTCCTCCTCCTCCTACTCTCTCATTCCCCTCTCTCCCTCTCTCTCATGTCACTCCTTCCTCGCCAGCTCCGACCCCGCACTCTCAATCCCCGCCTTCTCCGTCACTGCTAAACTAACCATCCCTCCCCTCTTTCCTCCCCCTGCTGCATCCTGTGTCCCCCCCCGCTCACACAGGTAGTGCGCGCTCGTGCATTTTAATGTCCGAGAGGAAAGCAGTTAAAGTCTCCTGGATGGTGGATCATTCACCGGGCTGAGAGCTCGTCTCACACAGAGAAACTCTTTAAAGGAAGAGGAAAAACCTTGAGCCGCCCAAATATGGTGAGGGGAATGTAAACATGTGGGCGGGCTCTGGCTGGAGGGAGACTTGTGTGCAGAAGGGGGATGGGGACATGTTGGACAAATTGCAACCTGCAACTTGAACCTGAAAGCACCAGCTAGGAAAAAAAAAGGAGACAAGATAGGAAAGGAGGGAAGGAAATGAGGAAGGATGAGGGGAGACTGTAAAGGAGGGTAAAGTAGAACCACCTGTGGTCGAAAAACAACATTCTTGCTCCCGGCTGCGTCGCTAACTGGCTGGCACCCTCATTATACTCATGTGCATGCGTGTGTGCAGGCGGTTAGATGTAATGGCCATGTGTGCGTTTGTGTGTGTTTGTGTGTGTGTGCATGTGCCACTTTTCTGCATTTCTGCCCCGACGATCGGCCCGTCGAAATTACACGGCAGCAGGCAGAGCCGATTTAGCAAACGACATAAAACAGCTGGAACTGGAACCTCGCCGCCGAAGCCGCCGCCGCCGCTTTAGGTGATTGTCTGAGCCGTCTGAATGTGTGTGTTTTTGTGTGTTTTTGTGTTGCTGTTTTTCTGCCTCCAAATACCCTGGTCTGGTCTGGTTTGGGTGGTTGTCGTCACACCCATTCTCAGGAACGTGAAAGAGGCTTTTCAGACCACAACAGTTGTAAGCTGTCACTCTGAGGACCGCAGTTACCCACAACAGAGACCGCAATCCACACTCTGCTTCTGGGAGTCTAGATCTGCCGCCACAGACGGGTACGACTCATCAGCAACAGCGAGAAACAAGTTGAGTCGCTTGTTGTGGACAGAAGCGGAATAAAAACTCACAGCTTTGATATCGTTTCAGTTTCCCGCAGACACAGATCAGATTTAGTCGCTCTCTTTGAAGCTCTGATTTGGTCTCCACCTCCACGTTACACCACTGCACAAGTTTTATTTCCAGAGACCTGCTGCACAGATACTTCAAACACTTGAAAACCTGATTTCAGGGTTTCGCTCCCCGCTTCTTCTAACCAAGCTATAGGAGTCTGGAACTGTTTCTTGTTCTGGCTGAGAGCCGTCTCTTTGGCGGCGAAAACACAAAGACCCACATTGGATCGCAGACCGGTGCCAAGGAGGACCATGCCAAGGGGTTCAAGGAGTTGACTTAGTCCTTGAATTCCCCAGATCTTGGTCCAATTGAATCCAATCAACTGCTTCAATGAGAAATCCAGGACAACCGAGTCTGGTCCACCTTGCAGCTTCTGGGATCAGCTGTTAAAGTCGACCACAGACCACCCTCAGAAGTCTACTGGTGTCCTCTAAAACGCATTACAGTTTAGCTAGAACTAGAGCTAAAGTGGTGAAACTTTCTGTCTATGAAGATGCACTAAAGCTAGACCCTCTGAGGTGAGAGCCAACAGGATTCTGGTCTTGGATTCTGCGTCTTTTACTCTTCACATGAACCGCTTCCCTGTGTTTTACAGAAAGGGGGTCTCGGGCGTCATCCTGTCCTTCTGATAGCTCTGTAGTAGTTTAACAGAATTTTCCGCCTTCGATAATTCTTCTGTCCTGTCAGAAACACTTAAATTCAGCTCTCCAGAAGCCTCTTCCACTGTTGCCATGCTCAAAATCATCAGCATGGAGTTTCCAGAAAGGTTTTGCATTTAAAATGACAAATTAAACAGAACGGGGATAGGTTTTGACAGAGCTGGAGTTACTTTTATTTAGCTTTTTTACGTACATTCACTCTCTCCTGAGAATTGTGCATTTAAATAATTAAAGAGGTAAATGCAGCTTGCACAGATGACCTTTTTGACCTTGTTTTTATCCCCATAGTTTCCAGCTACAAAACAGTATAATATATTAATGCACTTTCATTAAACGTGCAACTTACAGAAAGGGTTTGCAACTATAGTAAAGCAAGTTTGGTGACTAATATTCATACATGCCACATTAATGAGGCCTTTTGTCACATTGAAGTCTGGAAAAACACATTCAATCATCATTATGGAGCAGATTCAGTCGTGCAAAGTGTGCAGAATTTGTCATGAGTGTGTGAGACAGGTTTAGTAAGTGTGTTTTGTCTTTGACTCTGAGGTTTGCTGGTTAAATCTTGTCTAATAAGTCACTAAGAGACGCCACAAGAATTCACAACAACAGGAAAAGAAAGTGAAAGACACAGAAATGCTCATAAAGAGAGAAGAGTTTGTTTTGTTTTTTAAAGTTATTAAAAATGAAACTCACCTGTTTCCAATGAAGACGTGTCTTGGTAAGAATCTCGTCGGACAACAGGGTCTAAGGTGTCATAGTCCACCGTCACGCCGTGTCCGTTGTGCCACAGCTCTCTGCCTGAGAGGAAGAGGCAGGAGTCAGTTAAACAACAACAACAACACACACACACATGCACTAACACACACGCACGGCCCGGATGTGTGCACGACAACACGAGCTGATTCCAGATCAGATTTCAAGTTTAATTTCAGAGATAATGAGTTTAAATGATATTTTTTTCTGGTTCCTGTGTGTATATGTGTGTGTGTGTGTGTGTGTGTGTGTCCTGGTTTTCCCTGCCTGCGTGTGTGTGTGTGTGTGTGTGTGTGTGTGTGAGTGTGAGTGTGTGTGTGTGTTCACTATCTGAATTCCTCTCAGATGTGTGTGTGCGATAACCCCTCATATTGCTTCCCGTTGAGAGGCGAGGAGTGTGATTGTGCGTGCCGGGGGCCAGCTCGGCTGCTTCGCCCTCCTCCCACGGGGAGGCTCCACAGCGCCCCCGCCTGGTGACTGCTGGTTGAACTTGATGAATATGTTTCTCATTCATGAGCGGTGAGTGTGTGTTAGTGAGTCATCTCTGTCTCTTCTGCTTCAGTTGGAAATCACAAACAAAATTCAACCTGGTTTAGTTCAGAGACAAAATAATCTGTCTGTGTGGGTGCTTGTTGTGCAAGATAAGATAAGTGAAAGAAAAAATAATAATTTTAGTATATTTTTCAATTGCTTAATATGTGTATTTTCTTAGAAAAGTCAACAGAGTGGTGCATAATTCTGCTACTTTTTAGACCACAAAGTTGGATTCATGCATATTTACTCATTTTCTACTGCTGTTGTCTAAAAATAAAGACAAAAACCACCAGTGCTCTCATGAACGGCTTCTTGTAGTCTCAGTTTAACAGTAAGTTTCCCTTTTATGATGAAACATTAAAGTTTAGTCCATGCAAACATATTCCTAATTCTTGTAAATAAAGGATGTAAGTCTGGTCTTGGAGGGGCCCTGGAGTTAGCATCATCTCTGTGAGTTGTACTCCAACCTGTCTGCTAATATACTGATATACGCTCTTTTTTTAAATGCAACACCATCTTTTTATGTGTTTTTATCAAACAGAAAAATGCTAGACAGGATTTACCGCTCTCTTTAGACGTCTTTATTCTCTTTAGTCCTAAGGAATTTGGAAAAAATGGACCTGAGGCTTTTTTTAAAACACCCCCCTGTATCTCGTCTGATTGCTCTGTCATGCAACAACGCAGAATTGGATTGGATATGAGGTGCGGTGTTTATTTTCTTTCTGTTCTTGTATTTTTATATCTGTACCTGCTGTTTTTCATCCTTGAGTCAGTGTGAAAGTATGAATATTTTCACAAACATATGTCAGTTTCTGGATTAAAACCTCTAGAATAACATCTGAAACCTCTTCTATCCTCTGATCTCTATCCATATTTTTTACGTTAAACATTTTTGGATAAAGTCTACCTGCGATCTTTTCGGGGCTGTCAGAGAGGAACAGCTCCACTTTTCCATCTTCTGGGAATCGAGGGTCTGGAATATAAACAAACAGAGAAGAAGAAATCAGACAGCTGGATGGTTGGTTGTGTTGGCACACTGGACGTGTTTCCATGTGTGCTCCACACCTGTGCTGCAGCGGCGGCGGCGGCGGCGGCGAGGCTGATAAAGAGGGCCAAGGTCAGTTCAGGTGTGTGATATTTACATTGGAGAGCAGAGAGTCTGAAGGATTTATCGGTTACAGATTAAGATTGATGGTGCAGAGGAGTGGAGAAGAGAGTGATAGGAGATGAAACAGCAGTTGGCAGCGAAGGCGGCGGGTGATAAATACCTTCACAGGCCACGTCCAGATCCGCCTTCGAGAAGGTGAGGGTGTGTCCGTGAACGTGGCCCGTATGGAACTGGAGACGGAAGACGACCTGACGGCTGAGCAAGAGGCTGTTTTTGTCATAACAAACCACCTGAAACCAGGAAGAGAGGGACACGTATTCACTGCACATGTGCGATAAAATGTCCTCTTTTTATTCAAGTCTTCAAAGTTATCAGCTAACATGTGGGCGGGGCTTTTGTTTCTGCTCAAAAATAATCTTCCAATCACAAGACAAGGATTTAAATAAGCATGAAAATAAAACAAAACATTATTTTTCATTAATTTTACTCTTCAGTCTATGAATTATTTTCATCTATCCAGTCTGAAATCATAAAAAAGTTGATAAGTTGACAGTTTTAAAGACCCTTGTTTTGGTCATTTTATTGTGACATGATTGTGTTCAAAAAATCAACTTATTTTATACAATAATTAAGGAGAAAACAACATTTTAAAAAGAAGAAACTAAAGCAATCTTTACATTCATAAAGTGACTGGAAGATCTGTTTACATGCAATGATCAGTATCTCATTTATGACATTTTTGTGAGATTTTTATGGTTTTTGTTAAGAAATAGATTGAAATGAGCTGTGGCCTCTGTACACAGGGTGAACATCTGAACTCCTCAGCTGGACCAGCACCTCTGCTCTTCATAATCCTGAATAACTTAAAAACTGTCTGATCTGACACACTCACCATGATGTCTCCTTTTAAGAGCTGAGCCGGCTGCAGCACAAAGTAGAGCTGATCCGTCTGAGCTGCGTAAACGTGGCTGAGGAGGATAAAGACAAACATTATCAGCTGTTTTCCCTCTGAAACATCATATCATGATTATTTTAAAGTTTTCTTACTACACTGCTGATGTGCAAACAGCCTGTAGGTTCTGGTAAACTCTCAGGAAGAGGCAGCAGCCTGTGAGAAAAAGAGGACTCTTATTTTGAAGGGCAGAGTTTTATAGAAACAGAAGTGTTACAGTATCAGGGTTTTTAAAGTTCAGGTCCTCACCTCCGTCTGGTCTTAATTTGGGAATCCTGTGAAGAACGACACAGAGGAGGAAAGACGGAGAGGGATACATCCTCAGCCCTCGCTTTAACATGGACCCCAGCATCCACACATACCTGGAGACCACAGAGAAAAGTCTATAGGTGAAATCCCCCCTCTCTACATCAAACCTGAGGCTAAAAACTCAACAGGGCTCGACCTTTGACCTGCAGCAATCCTGGATAAGCCATCCTCTTCTTACCGTTTTTGAGAGGGGGTCATCACAGAGGAGAGTTTGTCATTGTAAAACCTCTTCATGGCAAAGTGGTCGAGTGAAAGGTCTGCACTGAGAGAGAGAGAGAGAGAGAGTACGTTTATTTCATTAAGGAGGATGAGGACTTTACTGTCATTTTTTAAGCTATACTTGCAGCAGAACATTGAGAGACAAAAAACAAAAAGGACTATCGGTCAAATACCAAACATTTAGATGGTTTTAAAGGGCTTCATTCATAACCTTTGCATGCCTGCACTCTCTAACACAGACTGTTCTCTGCTGGACAAAAGCCTCAGTCAGATATTTCTCAACAGTTAGTCAGAACAACTCGCCCACACACACATGAACACACGTGTGTGTCCACAGAGAGTGAAGAAATGAACCTTATCTTCCTCTTTTGTGTTTTCCCAGAGGTCACTCACCTTTCACTCTTTTCTAATATTAGTCGTGTTTAAATAAGGATGTGCTTTAAATAGCGCTCATCTCATACATGGAGGATAGACATTGCTTCATAAACCACAGGAGCTGTGAACTGAAGGTTTTCCCTGACATACAGGTCAGTTCAGTCAGGATCTCTGTCTAAAAATCAAGCAGCAGTCTAGTTCAAAGTCTCCTCAGCAGCTGTCCTGCCCTTTGCCTGCTAAAGTCATAGGGAGGATCAATCTTTTGTTCTGTCAGCGCCCTTTGACCTGCGAACACATCCCTGATTTTTCAGGACTCTGTCCTCACTTTACAGCCACAACTCTCTCCTCCTGCACAAAAGAAAACAGATTAAAAATCATCTGAATTAGACTTCCTAAGTTCCTGATGGTGGTTTTAAAGGAAATGGATTTAATACCAATCTGAAGATCTGGATAATATCTGTGCAAAGTTTGACCCACTGAAGGCTCTGAGTGGGAGATCAAGCTGACTTGTAGCATCATGATAAATCATTCTTTAAAGGTGATAAACTGAAACAAAATTGACCTGCAGCTGAGCCGATAACTGTTGAAAAGGTAAAGCTAATTGTTAAATGAAAAGGCAGACTAGTTATTTTTCCTGGTATGGACGCTGATTGGGTCTGAATGTTAATGGTAATATTTAGGCACCAGTATACGCCGGAATACTGTAACTGTTACTGTCTAGATGGAACCTAAAAATATTGTCTGTCAAACAAACAGATAAAAAGTTAAGTGTTCAGGCGAGATCATTTAAAGAAAAACACATTTGTGCACATTTCTGCCACAAATTCACCCACAAAAGTCACTTTTGGACCTGAAACATCATTTTTTGCAGCTATATCTGACCTTTTCACCCCTCATATTTCCTCCAGGATGAGGAAAAATCTTGCTTTTTAACTTTTACTGCTTCATTTTCTTAAATTCACAATCACACTAGCTGATATGCTACAGTAGTGCACCTTTAGCTGTAGGTTAGCTAATTTGTCAGACTAAAATATCCACAAAAACTAAAGGAATTGATTTTGAATTTTCATAATGACTCATAATTCACACCTGAAGTTTCATTTGGCAGAATATTTGCTCAAATAGCAGCAAAACTAATGCAGGCCCTACTTACAACAAGTAAACAGCAACAGCTAGCATGCTAACACACCCACACTATGATGGTAGCCTAAATAAAGTAAGCAATAAACATATAACATATAATTATTGTTATTTTATACAATATCGGGGTTATAGTTGTTACTGTGATTAAACTGGAACGATTTGTGCTAAGCTAACAGTTACACAAGCTGCTAAACTTGAAGCCTTTAGCATCCTTAGCTCCTAGCTTCAGTCTTACCTGGATGACATGTTGCTGAAGTAGATATAAGAAGCCACTAGGACTCCGAGCAGGCCTTTACCTCCCTGTGGAAAAACCACAGAGTCAGTACAGATAAATCTGTCCTCCACAAGTCATGCATGAATCTACAGTCAGTGTGTCTGTTAAGGACTCAGTGAAGTTTACCCTGCAGTGTAACACCAGGACATGCTTCTGGTGAGTCTGCAACCAGCTCTCCATGGCTGTGCACACGCTGAAGATCTGATCCAGACCAGGAGCCAAGAGGTCCACCCAGCCTGTGTCCAGAATCTGATCAACATAAACCACATACACACTGTGAGTCATGTTCTTCTGCGACAGTGAACAACATTGAATTTTAAGTTTTATCTTCACCTTGTGGTTCATTTGGGTCAGAGAGTTGTTCTTCTGTGAGAGGTTGATGAGCTGGAGAAGAAAAGACAGGAAAAGAGATGTTATAGAAACAAAGGAAAGGACATGGAAATTATAAGAAAACAAGTTTGTCTCAGTAAAAATGAAAAATACTGCAGAGACACTCCTGTACACCTGATTTTAGTCTGAAATACCAGACTAAAATCTGCATCTTTTTGGGGAGCAGGAGGGAAAATTATATATTTTTTAAGTGTTTTCATGCGCCTTTGTGGATACAGAATGAAGGAGACAGATGAGAGTCAAACATGTAAAAATAAAAAGTTTTAATGCCACAGAAAGACACAAGATTGTGCTGTTTTGAGTCCTCACAGTCTCATGTATTCAACCACTCTCCAGGTGACGGCAATTAAGTCGTTAGTGGCCCAGGATTCAGCCGCTGTCTCTGCAAACATGATTATCTCACCTGTGTCTGATTTCCCTCTCTTTCTGTGTATTTAGTCATGACTTATCCTCATTTTTCAGTTTCTTGGACTTTTTGCTTTTGTTGTTTTAATTTCTCTGAGTTTAAAGCTGCTGGAGTTACCTTGAGAATTAAGATTGTGAACTATTTTGATAAAACTGTATGTTTAATTTTCATTATTGATGTTATAAACTCTATGCGAAGGAGATGTGTTGCACTGTGTGAAGCAAATGGTGGTCACACCGGATACTGACTGGTTTTCTAACATTTTAGATTGGCCTTTTATTGTAGCCAGTCTAAGGCACACCTGTGCAATAATCACGCTGTCTAATCAGCATCTTGATATGCCACACCTGTGAGGTTTGGTTGACAAATTTGTCAACAATATTTTAGAGAAAAAGGTCTTTTGTGAACACAGGAAAAGTCTTAGATCTTTGAGTTTCAGATGGTATTGTTAATTTATGCAGCATCTGTATTGATTCCTCTACACCAGACCATCAGATAGAAGACTAGATATTTTCTTGGACACTCTATTTAAAAGTCTGTCTGTGGTTAACATGGTGCATGATGTGAGTGCTTCATCCACCTCATGGTGTCTCCTCCTCACCATGTAGTTGTGCCCGTGCTTGGACTGCAGCATGACGATGATCTCCCGCAGGTTCTGCAGGTAGACCCTCTCTGGACACTCAGGAGGACAGGATATGGTGATGATGCGCTCGGTGATGTAGGTCAGATCGATCCTCTGCTGTTCCTCCATGGCTGCTGTCAGTCACACATGGGCGTCCTGAGGGCGCCACAGATCAGGCGGTGAGAATGAAAGTCGTGGAGAATTTAAAGAAGCGAGACTTTGCGATGTCAACACTTTTACAGAGGCATTTCAGTTCAAACCAAGTCACCCTTCATAATCCTCAAATCCTTTTACTGGATGTGATGTTTGAAACAAAGAGAGGCCAAAAATGAGGTAGTGAAACAAAAGCTGAGTCACTGGAGGCGCTCGCTGAGCTTGTGACCGCGAGGAAAGGTGATGATTAGTCACAGTGGATTGAAACCTCATTAGTCATCAGTCAAAAACCCCAAAAAGGAGAATGTAGAAGTCCACGTAAACCTGCAGAAATGGCACTAATGTGTTTGCTCTGGAAACTCCAGTTCTGGCATTTTTGTCTAAGGACATTTGGTCATTTTGAAGCAGAGACAAACAGTGACTCTGCATTTTCATCCCTCTCACACTTTTGTCAAAAAAACACCAAATTAAACCTGTGAGAAAGGAACATCTTTAACTCCAAGTGTCTCTGGTTTTAGTCTGGATGTTGAGTCACTGAACATGTAACCAAGGTCATCTTATATTCTCACTTTAATGTTAAAAAGATTTGCCATAACGCTCCATCTTGTTAACCTGCGTTCAGCATCCCTTTTTTGTTCTGTTAGCATTTTTACAATATCTCCATCTTGATTGTCTGAACTTCACTGTAACAGAAATCTCTGATGGGACTGACTAAGAGATCGCTTGACAGCAAATTTCTGAGAATAAAATCAGGAACAAAAGTGATCTCTCCTTTATTTAGAGTTCCTGTTTTTATGACCTCTGTGTCCTGAGAAGCTGAAGTATAAGACCTCCTGCCACATGTTTCTGCTAAATCATGGCGTGGACAGCTCTGTGGTATCTGAATTCTATATCTGCATTATGGACATGCATGTCAGTTCGTGTCTATGAGAGTCAGATCAACAGAAACAGAGGAGAGAGAGAGAGAGCACAGAGAGCTGCGGTTAACCTCGCCTTCACCCTGACCATGTGACCACAGCAGAGTAAACAGTGATAAAACCATTTTCACCAGGGCAGCATGTGTAAGAATAACCTACTGGGAATCACCGCAGCCGAGCGTGGAGGAAAACACATGAGTGAACTTCAGGTTTTCAGCTCCTGTCACTGCTTTCTGTTTTCTGTTTCTATGGCCTCACGCTGCTCTCTCTGTCTCCTCTCAGTTTGTGGTTTTAGTTTCTAGAGTTCAGTTCTGAATTTAAAAACTTGTATATATAAACTGGAGTCAAAACTTCAACCGGGACACTTTATTGGTCTGCCACCCACGTTTGTGGGACCGAAGAGCAGCATAAAGACCAGGACCAGGACTGAACCTGAGATAATGCTCCTGAACCTTAGCAGAGGCTGTGCTGGTGAAAAGTTAAAGTAATTAAGAATGAGTAGCTGTTGTGTATATGTACGGTGTTCCACAGGGTTCTTATCTGGGACCCTGGTCCATTACAGTGGGTGGATAAAAAGATGGATGGAAAAGTAGATATAGGAGGGGTAGATAGATGGAAAGGTGGAAGGAAGTGGATAAAAAGGGTAAGTTAAGGGATGGATAATGGATGGATAGATGAATGGATAAACGGATGTAATAATATGCAGTAGATGGAAGGATAAGTTAAGGAATGATGGATGAATTTTTAACTAAATAGTTTGTCGAATGGATGGATGGATGATGGATGATGGATGGATAGATAGATGGAAAGGTGGAGGGATGGATTAATAGATTAACAGATAGATAGATGAATGGATGATAGATGGATAAAAGGGATGGATGAACGAAATGATCAGTATCTGATTGGTCGGTAGATAAACAATGGAAGGACGGATTAATAGATGGATGGATAAATGAATTGGCTAATAAGTGTGTAAAAAGATGAATACATGGATGGATGGATGGATGGGTAGCTGGAACCCCTGTCCAGAAGGGATTTTTTAAAAATTTATCTTTACCTGGAAATATTTCTGTCTCTTCTGTCAGCTTTCGGAAACTTTTATTCTCTTTCTGTTTTCCAGGAGTTTCTCTGAAAAAGACAAATTACTCCAGTGGACTCACCACAGCCTGACCTCTAATTGGCTCGCTGCCCAAGTTAACGAGGCCAAACCGACGTACAGCTGAGGACTAAACTCGGTAGCCCACTCCTGCCCTTCAGACACCACAATTTCTGTACTTGAAGCTAATTTGGTTCAAACTTGTGCAATTAACGAGTAATTGCTGCGTCCATGTGTGGCGTTCCACATGGTTCACATCTGGGGCCCAGGTTTGTTTTGTTGCACATGTGTGAAAAAGATCTTTTCCATTCTAAACACACTTTCTCTTTCTGTTTTTCTGAGTTTAAGAGAATCTGACACCCCGACACTCCTACTCTGAAACAGCTGGCAAGGCCGAGAAAACACTCTTAATCAGCGACTACGCTCCAATTATGTATTTCTGGCGTGTTCTTAAAAACGGCTTTAGGTTGCTGCAGCCTAAATTCGTCTGTTCTTGGCTTGAAGGAGCAAAACAAACGGAAGTGTGTTTCCCAACCACACACACACACACACACACACACACACACACACACACACACACACACACACACACACACACACACACACACACACACACACACACACATGCATATGCCCACATGTTGCTATAGGGAGAGACCTTAGCAGAGGCTTGGAGCTCAAACTCGCCACATTTAATTATAGTGTCTATTTCCGCTTTTAAAAAGAGGAATTCTGAATGGATTTGCCATCTTTGTTTCTGACTTATTTCTCTTTTTGGTGCTAAAAAAAAACATGCTCTGTCTTCTTAAACAGAAGTCGGTTATTTAACTGTTTGAAAGTGAAAGAGTTAGCGCAGAATAGCAGTATTGAAACAAACTGTAACACCTCACTATTGTTTGGCTTTTCTGCTGCATGTCAATCCTGTTTTCTCTCCTTTCCTGAGTGCTTTGTATCTGGGCAGTAAACTAATCTCTTTTCAGTCCATCTCCACCACACAGAGGCTCCTTATTCGATTACTAAATCTTATTTTTTTTCCACAAATCCACTGAATTAGTCCGCCAGCAGGGTGAGGTTATTTCATTTTGCTGCACAGATGCCTCAATCACTGAGGTCTCCATCTAATTAGTAGCAAATTCATGTCACTGGATTTTTGTGGGAAGTTAATTTGCATTGGTAATAAGTGTGATTATCACACCCCCGCTGGCAGGGTTTCACTTGTCCTGAGAAAAGGAGGATTTTAAGACTTAATACAAGATTAAATGAGCTCTCAAAGTGGACTGAATCCAAGGGGAAACATGTCTCCTGGGGTTCAGGATCTTAATGTGTCAGTAGGATAATCCCCCCCCCCCCCCTCAGAGCATCTGCTGGGGGATGTTTTCTCTTTATTATCCCCTCGAGATTCAGCATACATGACATGTTCCTTTGTTTACCATAAGTGGTGGTCTGTACAAACATTTCGAATGAGCAACAGAAGAGTTTAGCACTCAAGGAAACATTACAGCCCTTCATGAATGAACATTGAACTCAGAGGATACAGAGCTGTGGGCTACTCTTACCCCTGCACAAGGAGACATACCACACATTATTTCAGACAACATAAAGGAATCTTACCTTTACAGATGTTGAAGGTAACCAGAAGTCAAAATAACAGAAGCCTGATGAGTGAAAGTCTGAGTGTGAATGTTGTAGAAAATGAGGTGGAGACTTGACAAGAGGAGGGAGGAACAGAGAGAAAGAGAGAGAGAGAGAGCATGATACTTGCACTTTGCCCTCTGTTGGACTGCAGAGTGACAGCAGGCCTCTCTCCTGTGCATGTGACAATGAAAAAAACAAACCATAACAGCTTCTATAAAGTCTTCTTTTAAATGAGTTTAACTCTTATTAGATCAAATATCTTTATCTTTGTGAAATCCTGGAAGAATCTGGCGAACTACAATGTCGGGTAAAGCAGGAGAGTGGTGTTGTTTATGGCACAGTCTCTTATAAGATCGAGAGAGTCATCATACAGGGTCATAAAATTGATTATTATATAACTGTTCTTACCAGCTGCTTTGGAATGTTACTAAAACATGTACTTGTCTATTGTACCAAAGTATATCAGTGTATTTTGTATTTCCAAGAATATTTGAAGAATATTTGTACTTTAGTTTGCATTTGTAGGTCATAGAGAGACACCAATATTAATTTCAGTCTGTTTTTATCACCAGCTGAAAAATCCTCACAGGGGGCTTTAAACACACATTTGAAAGGTCAAAAAACTAATCAGGGATTTTGACCTCATTCAGTTTCCTTACACCTGTCCTTCTTAAAGTGCTGCAAGTTTGACTGAATCAAATCTTTTTTTAAGTAGATACAGCAAATCAAATCATCAGTGCTCTTCTGTCTCACCCACCTTGTTATTCAGTGTCGTGCAGTCAGCGTCGCTCCTCCGCTCATTCATGGGTGGAATCAAACTCCACTGATTGGTCTCTGGCCTGTAACGCTCAGCAGTATCGAGTATTGTATGACCATCAAACCCTCCTAAGGCATAGATCCACCCATCCAGCACAGTAACACTAACAAAGCCCCTTCGGCAGTACATCGGCGCTACTTCATGCCAGGTATATGTGCTCAAGTCCCACCGGCGAACGCTGTTGAAATGCTCCAACCGGTATAATCCACCGACACAGTAGACACTTCCATTGAGGTAGGCTATGCCATGAAAGGATCGAGGATGCTCTGAATTGTCTGTAAAATTGTGCCAGTGGTTGGCTCGGACATCGTACGCCTCGATTCCATTGGTCGGACCATCACCGCTCCAGCCCCCTATAGCCAACAGGATGGCGGGAGGCAGGCGAGGGCAGATATAGGGGTTAAAGAAATCAGGGGGTCCACTCTCAGTGATTTGTGCCAAGCCACGAAGCTCCTGCATGCAGTGAGCGTTGTTTCTCACTAGCTCATTGGGCATGACACAGCTGATGATGTACTCCACACTCGTCAAAGACAGACGGACCTACACAGACAAAATGAGAAATTGTCAACTGAAATGTGATTTCTAATAGATGAGGGATTGATCTCACATTACCTTGGATTTGGATGTTTGAGTGCACATGACTTAGGAACCTGTATGTTTTCCATTTTATATGCAGCATGAAACACTTTCTAATACAGATGCAGGAGCAGATTTCATTTGTTCCACATCCATGGCTGCCACAGTGGCTGTGTTTGATAGTTGGTTTACGATATCTGACATTATTTCTGTGTCTGATCACCATGTCGACTTTGCACATTCTTAAAAAATTTACAGGACACAGGCGGGAGAGGAAGTATGCACATAAATGAGGGGGAGCAGTGTAGATATAAGGATGTGACAGTCAACACAGCAGGAGGAACAACAGTGACAGGACATGTTTCAGAGAGACTTGAATATCAAGTCTCCAAATCTGCACAATGTGTCGCTAACATCCCAGTCAAAACAGCTGGATAAGAGATCGGTTCAATTTATGTTTAAAAATATATTAACAGTGACTTCCTCTGTGACTTCTGCTATGTCATTTTTACATCCCTGAATCTGATGGTTGCATACAACCTGAGCTCTGCTGTGCCCTCTAACATATCCTGCTTTAACATGCTGAGTGCAATGCTAAGTGTCAATTAGTGCACAGTTAATTTCATAATGCAGTCAGTTGTGTATGCAAAGCTAAAAAAAGCAAGTATATCTTCATAAAGGATGCCTGGAGAGAAACCAGGAAGAGATTTCTTTGAAAAAAAAAAAAAGAGCTGTGGGATAGTCTGCGAGTTGGCAGGTTTGGGACAGCCTCTAAAACTTCAAAGAAGAAACTTGAGATGTACCCAGAGTCTCAAAGGTGCTAACACCTTCTCCATGTTAGATAAGGTTGTGGCTGTCCTGACTTGATTCAGGAAATCTGAGGCCAGGAAATGATAGAGGCCGGGTAGAGCTGCCACAAACATAAAACACAAACCTGCAGATTTGTTTCGGGGCTAATTTAACTGCTGTAAAAATGCCCTAATACCTACTGGACTTTTAGGGTACAGTGTTTAGGCTTTAATGGTACCTAGCCATCAGATTCTGGATTTAAATGCTCCCTTGCTCACCCCGTCCATTGGTGAAGTGATGGTGGCTTTCAAGGACAAGAAGCCCTTGTGATGCATAATTATGATCCATCATTTGTTCAGTTTTTCCCTCAAAAACAAGTTCTTTTGCTCATAATTACAACCACCAAAATGCAATGGTAGTAGTTTTTTCATTCTGTGTGGTTATGGGAACCCCCCAAGGCCTACTTACCTTTGGCAAAAGTACACTGATGTGCTCTTCCCGTTCTCCCTGTCTGTGGTTAATCCAGTGAACAACAGCCTCAAACGTGGTCTTCTCATGTTTCACATTGAGTTCGTCTTTCTCCAGGAAGTCTGCAAGCTCCTGCAGAGACAGCTCCAGGAACTCCTCGTGGGAAGCTACCTCCTCAAAGTGATCAGTGATGTAGCGATAAGCCTTCTCCTCCAGTCCATAGCAGAGGATGATTTTGGTTAACTGCCAGATGCCGATGCAGTTCTCTGGAGAAAGCTCTTTTTCCAGGAAGCCACAGCAGGCTTTTACAATATCCATAATGTTGAACTGATCGGCAGCGACCAAAAGCTCCTGGACATTGTCACTGGTCACACACACTGAGCCAGTGTAGGCAAACTCAATAATGAGCTGCATCATGGCAGGAGAAAGGCCAGGTATGTCGAACACTCTTTGGTCAGAGGCAGACCAGTTTGTGAACAGGGCTCTGTGGGACATTTTAAAACAGATGAAACACACCCGACCAAATTACATGGAGGGTTTTCAAATGCATGACACTGCAGGGCAAATATCAATCTAAAATACATAAGTACTCTGAAGCCCACACTGAGTATCAGGATACAATGCAACCCTGTGTTTTTATGTACAACCTCTATACTACCCTTTATAGTTCACTTTATTTTGCAGTATGCATGTAAGAAATCAACTTACTTAACCATAACTTATGAAAAAGAAACAATGAATTAAATGCTCATTTTATGCATTACTCTTTGTACACCCTGACTTACAATATAAATGAAAAAAAAAACACAATTTTGACTAAAAATATATGCAGTTCTAGTTTTGCTTCCCAAAGTCTTTTCTAAACAGTTCATCAGCTGCCACAATTAATTTCAGGCATGGTCTTTTGTGTGTTAAATAATTAAAAGTGCTGTGCTTTTGAATTAGGTCACCAGCATGGAGTCAAATTCAGCTTTATGAGTAATATCATTGAAATTACTATTTTCAAACCGATCAACACACCCCAAAATTTTATTTTGTGTCAGCATCATAAAAGTTAACTTTTTTATTTCTACACAAAAACTTTTACCAAAGCAGACATGTGACTGTACTCAGACAGACAGGAAACGTGCATCATCGGTTCTCTTTTTAGGTTAATTTTGTAGTTTTAAATATTCCGTTTCCAGGTGTCCATCCGGGATTTTGTTTTTCTGCTAATTTGAAATCATCAATCTATTCGTCGGGACATTTGAAATCAGAGAGTGAACTTACCGAAAGTAGTTACTACAACCACAGAGAAGAGTTTTGTGGATATTAAACTCCACATGCTGAACTCTGAGGACTGCGTCACGAAGGGCCCCATCCAGACGAATTTCGTTAAATAGGGAGTAAGGCAGCATGTCTCTGTCGCTCATTTTGATGGTTTTGTCTAAGCCTCTATTCTCAGATGTTGACTGTTGGTTGGTCTTAAATGAGACTGATTGTTTGAGATGATGCTTTGACTACTAGGAATTCAAACAGTGACAATTCTCTTTGAATGGCAGGTCCTCATAACACCTGTTGTTGCCACGGTGATGGCTACAGCCTCTGTTTATGAGGCTGAACTAGAACCCCAAACACAGCCCCAGTGAAACCATAAATGACTCATTTTCAGGACACTGTAACATCACACTAACTTATTGCAGGTAGAAATTTATTTGGACCCTTTAGCTGACTGAGGAAGTTGAGAACAACATTGTATCACACCTGTGTCCGTGAATAAATTGTTGCTGGCAGGACCCACAAAGTTAGTTTCAGGGCCCCTCAGTTCTTAAGGGAGAGTGGGGTAAGTTGAGCCACCTTCTGTTGCTTGGAAATGGTGAAAGAAATTGATCATGTGACCAAATATTTAGGAGATGGGTATCAATTGTTTGGGCGACTTCAGAATATCAAATTTTTCACCAGGCCCGGTCGTCCTGCCAAATTTCATGAGTTTTCGCCAATGGGAAGTGGGCCATTTTCCAGTTTAAAGGCAAGGAAAAATTTAGAAAGAAGAATCCATCAGGAACAAGAGGGCAGCTACTTAGCAGCTTCATCCTGCTTAGCAGCTACGCTCGGGCCCTAAAGACGTCCCCATATCTTACTGGTCTCCATTGTGATACGGCCGTTTCCCCACTAGGTGGCATTAGAAGACGAGCTACAGTTACTACAACCTTTCTTATTCTCTGAAAATGTTTAATTTCTCCCCTAATTGTGTAAAAGTTTCACTGTATACATTTACATTAAAGTAAATTAGAAAATCCCTCTAAAACTTTCCTAGTTTGTAAAAATTACTTCGTAAATGTGACCGTTAGAGCAAAGTAGACAAGACATGAACTGCGGTTGTTGTTGCGTTCAGGTGCTTATTTTCGTTCGTTCATCTGGCTTTCTGTCATAGAACGACATTGGTATTTTATTGTAGTGGCGTACAGACTAGAAGTTATTTTCTTAATATATCAATTACAGTTGCACTCCACTCATTGTAAGCAATACTGTAAAACCTTTTCTGTTCTATCATATTGTAAACAGTATTTTTACTTTACCTCCTGTAGTAAACAGTAAAGGAAATAAAACTGATTTGCTTTTTACTGGAATGCTTTTGAATGAGAACATTACATATAGCTATACAGTTCCCAACCAAGAAATTTAGAGTAAAAACGATCCTTCAGCAACGACAACAAGTATAACAAAAGCTAAAGACAGTGAAGCCAAAATAAAATGGAGGTAAAGGAGAAGAGATGACTGATGGCATCATTATAATAGCTTGTGAACTGAAAACAAGTGTTATTCTTTGACAGAATAATTTCATTTTGAGTCAGATTTCCAGTAATTTGGTTAAGTTAATGTGCAAAGAACGATGTGTTGTGTTTTGTAGGTTTGAGTTTGTGTTAAGAAAAGTATCTGAAGTATGGATAAGCACTTGTTAGCGATTGAAAAAACTGCAATGTAAGGGTGGGTTTGTTGTTTGTTGATTCCTAACTTTTAATTTTTACTTTTCACCCAGCTCTACAAATTCCGAGCTTCTGCTGGCACATGAAGGCGTCATAATTCATATCCAATGAGACCCCGCCCTGGCCACCGTGTACCGCTGACCACCGTCACACTCATCTGTCTACACGGCAGCAGCAGCAGCAGCAGCAGCGGTCGCGCCTACTCTCGCTAGCTTCCATGACGACCGACTAGAAAGGCATTTTCTCATGTCGACCCGCCGGTTAGCTCCTGTTAGCGGGCTAACGGGCGCATTACGAAACGGGATAATGTAGCAGGACAACTCTTCGGACGAACCGCGTCGTGTACCGAGAATGTTAAGCTTGTGCGGAGCCGTTAAAGGAGGGAGTAGAGCGGCGTAACTAGCTAACGGCTGCGAGCTAGCGGAGGAGGCTAAGCGTTCACCTGCAGGGGCTGTTCGTGCTAAAGCTAACAGGATGGAAAGTGTGAAGGAAAGCGGCTCAACTCCGTCTACGCCACTCGATTCTGGCGGTGAGAGTGTTCCGGTGAAGTCGGGAGGGTTAACTCCTCCTCTGTCTGCGGGGAAAAGACCCTCAATCGGGGAGGATGACGGCGGGGGAGCCGAGGCGAAACTCTTCGGGAAAGGACTGGCAGCCACCTCCCTTCTTCAGATCGCGATCAGGAATGGGATCTATCAAAACCAAGTTGCCAACGCGATCGGCGGGGCGGCCAAAAACACCAACATCCCCGCCGTGAAAACAGCCAACATTTACAGCCTGACATCCGCCAACAGCAACACTTGTGTCAACTCTTTACTGAGCCGGAGGAGACACAGACACAAGAGGAATCTGTCTCTGGGGGCTCCGCCGACCAGCAGCAGCAGCACGTCCGCCGGCGTGTCCTCTGCGGAGGCTTCCAGCCCCGCTCCCTCCGCCTCACCCCTCAGCACCCTCAGCCTGGACAGGAGGACTTTCCTCCGGCAGAAACAGTCCAAGCAGCTCCAGGCCTCGGATAAGACATGGGTGAGATCGGACCTGCGGCGGGGCTGCATTCACGTCCACGACTGGCTCACGCCCTCTTACCCGCGGCCGGTGCTGTGCACGGTGGACACTACTGCTCAAGAGGTGGCGTGTAAGCTGGAGGGGAGCAAGGCTGGAGCTGTGCTGAGAATTAACTACAAAACTGCTGCTTTAGTGGATTTGAATGATAGCTGTAATGGACAGAGTGATGAGACTGAGAGTCTCAGTGACAGTGTGGATGTCAAACACCCCAAACCAGACGAGAATGATGAAACTAAATCCTTCTACCCTGATGCTAAACTCTCCTCTAACTTGTTGGATGATAAAACCGCCAGTAACTCTTCATCTGAGGTGTATCTGAATGACATCGGCGTGGATTTGAGCCCGAGTGTTGCAGACTGCTATGGAGTCTACTCCGGTTCAGACATGGAGAGCAGCACCTGTGAGGACTTCAGCCCAAGTGGACCCAGAAGCACAGAGCTCCGGGATTCCCTCAGCGAAGGTCTGGGAGTGGGGACCGACTCTTCAGCGCTGAGCCCAAACTGTGACAGTGCCACAGAGGGACCCGATCCGTTTGAGAGCTCCTCAGATGAGGTGGAGCTCACCTCTTCTCCAACACATTCAAATGGAAACTCTGCAGCAGACAAGCCCGACCCGGACCTGAGCGGTGCCTCCAGCCAAGCTACAACCAACCTGGATGATCCTGGAGCTGGAGGCGCAGGTGATAATGCAGAGAGCCCCAAATTAATCAGACCTGCCTCCAAATGCCCCAGCAGCTCCCAGACTCGCCCCCTGACCAGCCAAGCATCTGTGCAGCCTGACCCGGACATCTCAGGGGGGAGCAAAGCCTGGCCCGACCCCATCAATACCAGTCCGACCCCTGCTCTCTTCATCCAGCTGCACGGAGGCGCTGTGAGGCGGCTGAGGGATGAGGAGAGGCCTCTGCAGATATTGAACGAGTACCTGACTAACCTGGGGTTCGAAGATCCCTGGAGAGTGCAGACGGAGGGGATGAATCCTGAAATCGGCTGCCTGATACGCTTCTACTTTGGTGAGTGTCTACACTGTCTAACTTGGGATTTGTGATTGTAAATGAAGGATACTGAAGGATAAAACAGCTGCACTGAAAATCCACATTTCTCTTCTATTGATTTTGCATTCATAGGACTGAAAGGTCAAGCGATAAAGCGGTCTTCTTTGAGGGGGATTGGGGTTAATTTTCGCCAACAGTGCAGGATTTTAAACATTCTTACACTCTGAACAGATAAAACAGATCAATAGTCATGACAGTCAGTTTGTGTGCAGTTTCTTCTTTTTGTTTGCACAGAAAGCAAACATTGGTGAACACGCCCATTTCCGGCTGCAAGCATTTTTAACATACCATTGAAGAAAGTGAATGATTCCTGTACAGGAGAGAAAACAAACTTGTACCTGAGGGGCAGGAAAGAAAGAAAAAAGACACTGAACTCACGTTATCGTACAAAAATGAGTAAATTCTGGCCAAAACAGGTCACATGACTGAGGTAATATGGAAGTTAGTGGTAGATCATCTCCAAGAGTGCTCAAGAGGACTTTTTAAAGCAGAGTCCTACATTTTTAGGGTCTTCAGGGTTTTTAGGGTCCGATTACCGATTAATTGGCCGATTTTTACATTTTTTCACTAAGTTATAAAATATATATATATACTGTAGATTGTAGATATACTGTAGGCTACTGCTCTTCACGCTGACAGGAAGACCGACTGATCAAACTCGGACCAGAAAAGCGTTTTCAACTGAAACCTTATCTTATTCTCCGCATTTTATTTCTGAGAATATTGGCGAAAATCGGCGAGTTTTGGACGATTACCGATTAGTCTCAAACGGGCTAAAATTGGCCGATTTAGGCCCTAGACCGCACGCACTGACACCTGAATCACTTGGTGAACGAATCACACATTGAACTACACTCTCTGGAATCATTTTTGTCGGACAAAACTATCAACGAATCTCTCACTGAGCCCATTTTACTGAGCAGACCTGATAAGTAACATACCATAGGACACTTTAAACATCATGACTTGTAAACATGATCACCTGATTATAGTGATTCAGTACATCTAAAAAAACTGCCGTACCCATCACTAGTTTGTAGTTGCTTTGTTTGTTTTCTTCAATTTGGTCGAAGTCTATTCACTCAGCTACCAAAGGTGAAATGTGTAGATTCTCTCATTTAAGAAAACTGAGTGATAGTAGAAATGGTACTATTTGTTTTTTTCTGTGCTCCAAATAATAAATCCAAACAGGAAAATATAAACAGATTAAACAGAAACTGTGTCAGTTAGGCTTCAGTCATTCGCAGGTGATCCAGAATAAGGATTGCTCTGCACCTTGGCGGTCTGAGAGCCACCTGCTTGTTCCACCAGCATGCCTCTTTAGCTCCGCTCACTCATTGTTCATCCATTCTCAGTGTACCGTGAGCGCTGTCTTTGTGTTTGCTCAGTCGGACTGTTAATCGAGTGTGTTCAGTTTCCCTGCCGGGACAATAACCAGCCTGTAAACACTCAACCCCTCTGTGTACAGGCCTGTAGGGAGACACATCTGGAGGTAACAGGTGTGATCTTTCGGCCACACCGCTCACTGAAAACCGTGGATCCTGTGTCTGTTCCTGTTATACTGCTGCTGTTGTTGTTTTTATGATAGTCGTTTGTTATTGATAAAGATCCTTTTTTAAGAGGATGGAGAATCAGACATGATCTCTTATGGGATTAACACTAGTCTCTGTTTTTGACCCTGTTTTTAATACCATCAACAAAGACGGCTGCGGGGGGGTAAAGGGTCCTGATGGAGGAAGACGGGGAAAAACATCCTCACCAACATGAACTTTTTCTTCTTTTATTTCCACCTAGTTAAGGGTCCTCTGAATCCTCTTATGTCCAAGACCTCTGTGTTTTCCTGTCGGGTTTTTTGTTTTCTCAACTCTTCAGCTGTTCACTTAACTTAAATAGAAGAGTACAGACACCAGTAAACAAAAGAAGAAGATCCAATCTGATCAATCTAATACTGGAAGAGTTAGCCTTAATGCAGTGATCTGATCAGTAGATTTTAAGTTCCTCTCTCTTTTATTTTGTACCAAAAAATATCTCAACTACACAAATTTTACCAGGATGCTCAAAACTGCCTTTTTTTGTCCGCCCTATCCGACACGGAGGGTTTTGCGAAATCCCCTCAGTTCTTTTCACATCCACCCTTGGCTCCCACAGCGACATGACAGAAGAACAAAGCGTGACGTCGAGTCAGGCCCCTGAAGGCAGGGGCCCCTCCAGCGACTGCAGACAAACAACACAGCCGAGAAACAAGCGCCGAGGGGCGAATGTGACAGGGAAGTGGAAGTCCTGTTGCGTAATAGGAAACAGTAACAAGAGAAATCAAAGTGATAGAGAAATAAGAAATAATCCACAGATTCATCATCAGGGTTTGAACCCGAGGAGCTGTCAGGGACAACGGCAAGGGGTTTGACACACGAGGGGCTTCAGGAAGTTCAGAGGACCCATCAGCAAACATGCACAACAACATAGGTGAAAGGCTCCGATCTTAATAAGTTTCCAGTCCATTATTTTACTGCTTACAAGTGAGAAACCCCACTGTAGCAGCAGCAGCGTAAAAAAACTCTGAATATATGACTGAAGGACAGTGGAGGACTACGAGGATATTCTAGCTCTTAGACTCCAGATCACCCCCTCTTACTGAGGACCTTTGAGAACAAGAAGCTCCTGTGTTGCAGAAGAAGTTTGATCCTCTGTTTGTCAAGTTGTTTACCACCAAAAACTTTTATCAGTACGAATTTTTGTGGCATAACAACAACCACTTTCTCTCTCATTTCGACTAGACTTGGAAAAAAAAAAACATTTTTTTTTTGTAGAGACATGTTTGTGTAAGATGACCTCCTCTATGGAGATATGTGGAAATAAAAAGCTCATTCTATGTTAGCAAAAACAAAAAAATGTTTATATTCTGGTTATAAAATGATTATTTTAAATTGTGGATAGTTATATTCCAGTTCTACTCGGTTTGTTCAGCTAAATGCTTCTGTCTACTACCCACACTTTAAACTTGTAGATGACGCTCAGGTGTGATTGGATGTAAACTTTAACTCAGTGGGTTTAAAGGGTTTCAGTTTCCCAGTTCAGACTGTACATGATGGCGCCAAAAAGAATCAAATCATCTCAGTTTTGGATTGTGATGATGATGGTTTTGGACTTTGAGTTTCAGTTTGATCTCCGGGCATGAAAACGTATCCTAACAAGTGCTGTGTTTAGATACCGTCTTTGAATTTGCATGGGTGACTGCGGCACATGCAAATATAACAACTCATACAAATGAAACAGGGAAAACTGAGTTAACCATCCTTCTAAATGTGATCGTATTTTTAAAGTCAGGTTTTAAACGTTATCCGTCACCCCGTACTGTCCTGCCCTCTCTCTCTCCCTCTCTCTGTGTGCAGAATGAAGAGTTTGCTTATGTTGATTTTTACAGTCAAGCCAAAGAAGTTTGACTCAGCATTATCCCTGTGGCACAATGCACACGGCCAAGTATACTCTTTCTTTTTTCACACACACACACACACATAGACACACACTCTCTCACTCTGCTGACAGAAAGAGAAAGTGACCTCAGTGGAACTCAGATTTCACCTCCTCAGTGTTTCAGATCAGCCTGAGACAGATGCAAAGCCGCAGTATCCAGAGGTCACTCCTTCACTTCACAAGGTTAAACACACACTTTGTAAATGTGTCGGATTCCTGCGAACAAAAGTCACCGAATACCTTCTCTGCTCATCTCCATAAATACCTGCAGGCCGTCTTATTTCGTCTTATTGCTTCAGATCGAGCAGAAATCCTAAAAACAGCCTCAGGAAAACTCTTGTAACTCATAAGAAAGAGACGGGAGAGAGTGGATGCCAGAAACTTTGTACGCCAAGCTTGTCAGGCACAAGATGCAGCAGAAATAGTCAAATCATAGCGCCAGCAGGAAATGGCTATTGGCAACTTGATGAGAGACAGGATGTTCCCCATTCAGAGAGACAGGCGGAAGGAAAGGGCATGTATGCTGCATGTGTATACGAACATGCTATATCTCGCCTGCAACGCCCAGGGAAGGGTGGACCCTCACAAAACACACATTCGACTTTATCTTTGAGTTTGTGTTAAAATCACGAGTTATACGATAAGTTCTGAAGCTGTAGGCAGTGAGTGAGTAACTCTGAGTCAGGGTGTAATCGCGTGGATAACCGTCAGCTATGGGTTAAGCGTGACTCGTTGCCCTTGAGCGCGGGTCCTCCTGTCATATCTGTCTTTGTGTTTACTTACATCATCAGTGTCTGCACTCCTCTCAGGACTCCCTGTTCCTCTTTGAACCGCACACTGAACTTACACAAGGGAAGTTTCATGCAGGCAGATTTTCCAGCCACATGAAAGCTCTGAGTTCATGAATGGCAGTCATGCAAAGTGCGGTCATCAAAAAGAGTACGTGTTCAGGAAACTGTCTGACTCAACCGGCTCAAATCAGCCGTGTTATTTTTAACAGTATTTTACACTACGACCTTTGATCAACTCAAATAATTTCTGACTGATAACATTTTTCACAACATTACTTTGTGTTATGGAATCAGGAGTTTGTTCAATCATGAGACACAAGAAGACCCCCGAGTCATCTTTCATTCGCTCTGTCACATCTCTTTTATTTTTACTACTTTCTCACTGTGTGCTCCTTTAGGGTTCATCATTCACAGAGTGTTACTTAAGCTTGTGTTAGGGTTCATTTTCAGTCTGTATTAATTTGACTTTTAAAAAGAGATGCACTGATCCATTTTCTTCCATCCCAATCCGATACGATACCTGGGCTGAGCGTGTCGGCCGATATCTGATACCGATCCAATACTACTGTTGAATGAATGAACTGTATACCTCGCCCTGTGAGTGAAGGAATCAGGCTTGACATTAGTCTTGTTAAAAAAAGCTAACAAATTAACACAGATATAAACTTACACAGAGCAAAAAGAAGTTAGACTTCCATGTATTACAAGAAAAATTAATTAAAAGAAAAAAAGACTGGATAAGAATGCTGGATCGGCGTCATTCATCAGGTATCTGATCAAGTTAATTTGTCAATATTGGAGCTTATATCGTATCGGTGCATCCCTACTTTTAATCCAGAGCACTTATACTCACAGAAATCCTCTTCTCTCTCAAATAAAGACGGTAAAAACACTGAAGCTGTTTCTAGAGCGTCACCACAGTGACCAAGACTGATCATCTATCTTAAAAAAACAAGAGTAAAAGTGAAAATTACTGAACTTTGAACAATTACAGAGAGAGTAACGTCTGTCTGACAGACTCAGCACGTCTCGCAGGTTAAACATCAGTCTCATTTCCATGGTAACGAGGGTGTGGCTCCTGAATTAATTGGATTCTGATTGAAAAGGTTTAATCCAGCTCAGTCAGCTCTTTAGTTTCCTTTAATTCAGTATTGATTAGTTTGGAATATTCTACTTAAAGCCAGTTCTGCTTCAGTTAGAAAGAGCAGAACTGATGCTGATAATTTCACTTTACGCATCTTGAACACGGTCTTCTTGCTTTTGTCCAGCTGTCCCTGTCTGTAGGGTTTACTCTTGGATAAGAAGCTCTACGTTTGGCCTGTTTTTGTTTTGAAGCAGCATCTCATTGGTCAGAGAGCAGTATGGCAAGAATGAGGGAAAAACGTCAATAAAGATAATTGTCTGGATTTTATAAATAGATATTTAATGACTTAAATTAGGAAAAAAAACTTGAAGCAGACCCGCCTTAGTTACTGTAAATAATGTTGTCGGAGCAAATAGACATTTATAATTTGAAAAAATTTAGAATCTTACAGTCAGATAAATATGTTTATCCAGTGTTGATTAAAAATAGTGTAACATTTCATCCAAACAAAGGCAAATATACTCAGCAGCATCGCCTGTATTCAGATGACCTTTGTGTCAGACTTGTCATTTTTATGTTTAGTTGTGTGATTGAAGGAAAGTGAGACTCAGTTTGTGGACAAGATTCAGGATTCATCCCCCTGTTCAGGCTCAGCGTCAGTCCTGGTTCAGGATCTGGTTGGTCTGTGACTGTGTGTGTCTCGTTGTGTCTGTGTGTCAGTCAGTGAAGGAGGCAGCAGGCGTGAGGATGGAGGTGCTGCTGGTCTTTAAAGACGTTACATAACAAGCTAATCTGAGTCCAGGCTTCTTCTCACAGGCTCAGACTCTTCATCTGTTTCTGCGAGTGTGTGTATGTGTGTGTGTGTGTGTTTATGTGTGCGATCCCAGAGCAGACAACAATACACACACACAGACTGGAAAATACAGTGTTATAGTAGAATAATTACCTCTATCAGGTTTCACTGCACTCACACATACACAGTTATGCAGGCTAAGTTCACTGTGCCCACTGTGTCTGACTTGTTCCCCGCTCGGTCCTGCAGCTCTCGCTGAACTCTGGCTGCTTTCTGTGTCAGTAAAGGGTTAATGTAAGAAATCACGGCTGAGTGACTGTTCACTCTCTCAGCCTATTAGCTTCAATTCACTTACATAACTGCAGCGCTCTCTGTCAGCCTCGCTGTTTGAAAGAGAAACCCACTGAGAAAATCTCGATTCATAAAATCCCAGACAGATAAAAATAACACACGAAGTGAAAAAGTAAAATCATTTTTGCGTTAATGATCCACAGCCTAACCCGCTTCTTTTCTTTTTCTTTCTTTCTTTCCAGGCAAGCCTCGAAGTGTGGGGGGTTCTGAGCGCGTGCAGCTCTCCGGGGTGTTCAACGTGCGGAAAGGGAAGCTGGCGCTGCCGGTGAACCGCTGGTCGAAGCGTCAGGTCACTCTGAGTGGAACCTGCCTCATTGTCTCGTCTGTGAAACACGCCCACACCGGCAAGATGCACATCCTCCCGCTCATCGGAGGAAAGGTATCCCCAGCAGAGATTTTCCATCACCGCAGATAAAGAGAGATTTGTTGAACCAGTTATCTGCTCGCTATCTTGTTCAAGTGAGCCGTCAGTTTATCAGAGGACAAGAAGTTTCGGAAACACGAGTCACAGTTTCACAGAGAATATCATGTTCCGATCTTTAAGGTTTGACAAAATCAACCAAAGGCAAAGTAAAAGTAGAACTTGAGGTCATGTTTCCTGCAGCCAGAGGACTCTGAGACAATATTTGTCCAAACTGAAAAAAGATCGCTTATTATCGTATCATCATCATTTGTATAGAGTTGAACTGTGGTGAATTTACTATGCAGGGCTCGACAGTGCGACCGTTTTATTTGCGACTAAAAATAGACGTGTGCAAATTGTAAAATGTATTTAGGGGCACATGTGAGCGTAAAAAAATCAGCTGTGGTGACAAATGGTTTTTTTTCATGTAAATACTGCAGTGAAGTTAGTTTTAGTTTGGATATTCGACGGTAGGCCTGGGTGATTTGGCAAAAAAAAAAAATTACGATATATTTTGTGATTTTTTCCGATCTCGATTATTATCATGATTTTTTTTTTAAACTGCCAGTTTTAAAACATCTGTACTAAAAACTAAAGAACTTAGGAGTCCATGTGCTGCTTGTGAAAAAAGTTAGAGTCAAGCCCTGCTGTGACATTATAGGAGATATAAGAGCCAAGAGAAGGCTGACTTAGCAATAGGAAGAGCTCTAGAGTTGTGTCTGTGTCCAAAATAAAGATAAAGGAACGATCAGTGTTTTTATAGTGAATGACTTTCCATCAGCTGATTGTCTGACAGCCTGCGGCTCCATTCAGAGAAATGCGTTTGTATTTAGAAACAGTTTTGTAAAGTGAAGGTTTAGAGATTAACGACGGTCTCCATGCAGACGTTTTAGATATAATCTGGATTCAGGCTGCGTGCCGAAATTTTTTACCCTTCATGGACATCGAAAACATGGTCTGATCTGTAGTCAGTCCAAGACCGAAGAAAGATGAACGTCTGCACTCTCGTATAAAGAGTCTCTGTTGACACCTGCACAAATAACGACACAGAGAGTGTAAAAGAAAAAAGGCTCTGCAGTGATTAAAGTGTCTGTATAAAAATGAGGCATGTCTTTAGGAGAAGTACTGAGTTTTTCAGAGAGAGTGATCGGTGTGGACGTAGCTGCAGGGATCAGACAAAGATCCTGGACGTCTCTGACCCTGCGGCTAAAATAAAAGAGCTGAAACACACAACTCCCCCGACTGAAGAGAAGATACTTCATGACAAACTTAAAGGTCGCCAACGAAAGAGCGATGTCTTTTTTTTAAGAGCAGACCTCCACCTGTCAGGGCGACTTAGTGGCTCAGGTTTTCCTAAAGATGAATTTAACTAAAGCTCGTCCTCTGATGCAGGTGGAGGAGGTGAAGAGACACAGCCACTGTCTTGCTCTGAGCTCGGCTGGTCCTCAGAGTCAGACCTACTACATCAGCTACGACTCGTACACAGAGCACCTGCGCTGGCACAGGACCGCCTCCAAGGTACCTGCAGGGTTCTCTGAGTTCACCTCAGTCCACTGTTTATCTCTCTTTGCATCCATAGTTGTATTTCTGTTGTGACATAAACTGGAGGCTGATTTATCGTGAGCTCTTGTTTCACTCATCCCGGTGTGTCATGTCCGTCCCTCTCTCTCTCTCTCTTTCCCGGTCAGGTGGCGTCCCAGAGGGTGAACTCAGTCGACCTGTCTTTCTGCAGCCTGGAGGAGCTGCCTGCTCAGCTCTTTTACAGCCAGGACCTCACGCACCTCAATCTGAAAAACAACTTCATGTCCCTGCACAGAGGGGTTCCAGCGCTCACCAGGTGAGTTTCTGAGAATCTCCTCCAACCAGGGCGCTCATGAACAAGGGCGCAGTAAGGAGGAGGAGGAGGAGCTGACGGATGAGACGCTCCATTTTCCTCTTTGTTATCCTCTCTATTTTGGATGTGGAACATCCCTCTTGGTGGTTTTTCGCTATCTTGGGGAGCTACCATATGGTGTAAAGCGGAAGCAGCTTAGATCAAATTGCAGATGACGTGAGTGTGTGTGTGTGGGCAGCCTCGTGGTTTTGATGATTAAAAGAGAGCTCCAGAGCTGCTGACAGATTTGACGGCCTCTGGAACAGAAAGGTTTGTTCTGGATTCACAGATCAGCCCGTCCGACCTCCTGCTGACGTCACTGTGAGTCAGTCATTTCCATTTATCAGTGATGTTGAGACAAGCGTCTTTAAATCGACCCTTCAGTCTTTTCAAAAGTGAAATTATTATAGCGACACACAGACATACGGCCGGCTGTTTTCTACTCCGGTCTCATATCCGGCGTCACGAGGAGGACCATCTGTTCGGAGAGCGTGCACGCAGCCTCTGACCTTTCACCTTTGTATGGAGCACATTTAAAGGTGGGGTAGATTTGAGGAAGCGCCAGTTTTTGGGAGAAATCTTGAATGTAAACTCTACCCCTCCCAACCAGTTTTCCCCTCAGCTCCTCCTCAAGCCCCGCCCACAAACAGACGCTCCCGCTCGCTCGTATCGTTCCAATTAAATTCAGATATAATGCAGATAAATCCTTCAGATCATTACAAATGGGGCCCAGTCAAGGTGAAAGTCAAAAGCATTGGTGCTACTGTAGATGCCAACAGACTACCAGCAAACACAATGTTTGCAGGACTTCTACAACTAGGATAAAGTGACATAGTCCAGGACCCGAGGGAGGACAGTTTAGCGATGGCGCTACAACACGCTACAACAGGTCCTGTTTGACAAGAAACACTTCTGTTACAGACACTTGTCTTACTTTGTTAAAGCGGTTTACCTGTCCAGCAGAAAGGTTACAGGGTCACCAAGATCCCCAAGCGTCCCCCATGGTTTATGTTGACCCGGCTTTTTAGCTCTTGTCCGGTCTACCTCCGTTTTAAGCGCCCGTTATTCCTCCAGAGTCTCCGGTATTTACTTTGTTTTCTTGCTTGTGTCGGCAGTCGTGGCCAAAGGAGGATTCAGACAATTTTCCGAACTTTCTGGTTGGTTTCTACTGTCCGATATTGTAGCACGCTAACTTTGTTTGGGCTCGTGAACGACACGGGGGAGCAGCGTCTGCCTCACAACCAATCAGGTCGGGGGAGGTGGAGAACGGCTTTGTTTACAGTCAGAAAGAGCGGGCCCCTAAAAAATGTTCAAATGTTGACGACACAGACAGAAGAGAACACAGAGATATCGTTATATTACCAAATGTCATCAATAACTAATAACTATTGACTGATATTAGAAGATTTTTTGTTTAAACACCACAAAAAAGCTGCTACTTTAACAGATTCCTGCCTTCTCCACCTTTAATGAAGCTTCCCTCCAAAGTATCAGCAACAAGATCACAGGTCCAGTTTATTACTTTGGCAACAAGCTTTGCCGTCCATGAAATGCTAACTGCTAGCTGCTAACCATGTTTGTGGTGTGACAGTTGTAGCCTCAGACTCTCCTGAAGCGTCTCACCTGGACCCTCATACCCCCTTTCAGCTGAGAGTCAGTTCACACACACAGTTCCACGGTCACATACACTGATGGATCGGTCTCATTCATCGATTGCATTCACAGCCATTGTTCCTCGTAAACACACACTTCCCCGTCGCTGCGTTGAGGAATGTGTTTTCCCCCCGTCCTGCGCCTGAGACTTTCCCCTCGGAAGGACGTGTGTCCGGCACAGCCTTAGACCCTGAACCCTCGGTGAACTGGATTACACACAGACGCACAACAGGAGAAACACACTCCCAGGTTCTTACCTGCTCCACATGCTTCATTGTTATTGTAAAAACCTCTCACTTTAATGAACACGTGGACTCTTAAGTGTTTTGGCCTTCAGACCTGCTGGATTTCCTCTCCTCCAGTTCTCTGTGTTCTTGACACCGCTGTTATGTAATAACTGAAAAAAAAAAAAAAGGTTTTTGTCTTTAGATTTGTTTTTCTGCCTCCTCCACACCCTCAGGATATCTCATGTTGTCAGAGTGCGCATACCCCGCTCCCCGCTCCTCTAAACCTAATATCTCAGGAAAGTCTGGAGGCCGTGTTTTCGTCTTGGCACAAACGTCCACTCAAGCTGCAGGAAGAGCTAATCAGATTCTCCGAGCCGGAGCTCACTGTGGCGCTCCAATAAAGCATTAGAGAGCATAAATCAATAAAAGTCGCAGATTTAATTTTCACAACATGTCAAACAGGATCATTTTCAGGAGGAGTGACATTCCTGTTTCGCTCTTTAGTGCTTTATATTTAAAGAAAAAGGATTTACAGGGAAACAGAAGGACGTGTGATCTGTGAACTCTCACTAATGCGCTTGTTTTTCTAAAATAGTGATGAATATTTCTGACAGAGTAGCCCCCCTCCTGTTGTAGCCACAGTTAATGGATGTGAACTTCAGCTTCACTGGTGGTTGGAGGCAAATAGCTCAAAGAAGAGAAATGAATATCTCTGTTTCTGTGTCTGTCTTTCTTTCCCTCCCTCTCTGTCGTCTCCCTGCCTCTCTGCCTCTCTCTAGGTTTTGTAAGCTGAGAAGTCTCAGTCTGTCAAATAACGCTCTGTCAGAGTTTCCTCTGGCCTTATGTGACATCCCCTCGCTAACGGAGCTCAACTTGTCTGGAAACCGTCTCTCCTCTCTGCCCGCAGACGTCGGATCCATGCACAAGTAAGTGCTCCGGCAGAGTGAGCGCCCCTGTGGGCCCCGCGGCTATTAATGAACGTCCTGATGATAATTAGCGTGGTATTTGCCTCGGAGCGTGATGTCTCCTCAGCGACCTCCGGCACTTTGCAGACAGAGACATCAGACAGGGGTTGTTGTCATTGTTGGTCCATCGGGGCAGATGAATTCCTCTTTAGTGGTGGACCGGTCCTGGTCCTGATCCTGGTCCTGGTCCTGACAGTGCAGAGAGTTTGTTCAGGTGATCAGAGTGCAGAGTCACGCTGCTGCTGCCTCTGCATGAAGAGGCGATCCGGGGACAATAAGCCCTCAGCTCTCATATCCAAATCTGTGTGTGTGTGTACTCTGCAGACGAGCTCTTCCAAACACAGTTTGATGTTCTCAGTGTAGTTAGAGTGAAGAGTTTATTTTAGAGGTGACTCTGTCTAAACTGACTCTCTTGTCTTGTGTCAGCCTGCAGACGCTCCTCCTGGACGGGAACTTCCTCAGCTCTCTGCCCCTGGAGCTGGGCTCTCTGGACGGCCTGACCTACCTCGGCCTGTCCTTCAACTGTTTCTACTGCGTCCCCTCTGTCCTGGAGAAACTCAAAGGCATGGAGAGACTCTGCCTGGCAGGGAACCAGCTCTCTGTCCTGGATATGGCCGGGCTGCAGTGGCTGCCCGCTCGCTACATCGATCTCAGGTACATGAATCCACACGAGCAGTGACACCACACCGGAACAAAGATGAACTTTGTCATTCCCAGCTGGTTCCGCCTTTTGGTCCACACCACTAGATACTTGATTTCAATTTAGGCTGTTAAAACCTTCAGCCAAAACCATAAATGTTCATCCAAGAAGCGAGCGTTTGTCAAACTGAGAGGACATTTATCACAGCTCTTTATCCTCTTTTCACCCTCTGACCCGATGTCCCCGTTTCGTTTTGTTCAGGCTGAACCGGCTTCAGAACCTGACTGTGGGAGACTCAGAACAGCTGGCTCACGTTGCCCATCTGGACCTGAGGGACACGGGTCTGCAGGAGCTGGACGTCCGGTCTCTCTGCAGGCTGGAGCTCCTCCGCTGCGACAGAAACAGCCTCTCCCTCCTCAGAGTCTGCGGCCACGCTCTCAAGAGTCTGCACGCCGCACGCAACGGTACAGACCCGTGAAACACAGATTAAAGTGGTGAAGTCTGAGGCTCTGTTGGCGCCGTTAGAGAGACTGATGCATCATGTTGTGTTTGTAGAGCTGACGCTGTTGGAGGTGCAGCCGGTGCCGGAGAACCTGACAGTTCTGGATCTGTCCTGGTAGGAACACTTGACTTCTTCTCTGCTGTTTGGAAAATGAACCGATGATCTGATCTCTGTTCTCACACTGACTGTCCCTCTCCTCTACAGGAACCAGCTGGGATCTGTTCCTGACTGGGTTTGTGAGAGCAGCAGGCTGGAGGTGATGGACATCAGCCACAACTCTGTCACAGATCTCCCCATTCAGTAAGAGTCACACAAATACCTTTTAATCCTTGGCATGGTGAGACGTCTGAGAACCACGCCGCTGAGGTGGCGTTTTTGAGGATTTTAATTTCCTCAAATCGCCGTCGACTAACGCACAAATCCAGAGAGAAGTTAGTGTGAAAGAGAAGATGACAGAATTTCAGAGAAGTACATGTTAATCTGTAATAACATTGCATAAAAATGTACATTATCCATGGGCAGGAGGTGTTAAATATTAAGAATAGCGACTAAGATGATCGTAAACTACTCGGCTCCAACACTGAGCTGTCAAGTGACCTGAAACTGTACGATCAGATTATGAAATCCTATTTTTTCTTTCTTTGCCTCTAAACAGACATTAGCTCTGTGTCGACCTCGGTGTAACATTCACGTCTTTTCTTGAATACTGAAAGAAAACCACAGAGTGAAGTTCTGTGAAATCTAAGATTGTTTTTAACTTCAGCAGATTAATTTTATATTTAACTCTCTTGAAGGATTTGAGTTTTTGCTTTCCTCTCATTTGTCTGCATGCTCACAACCTCAACATTTAACTGAGAAAAGAGACGAAAAACAGGTTTGAACCTCGCAGTCGTTTCAAGTTGAAGCTCTTCAGGTAGAATCAGTCAAGGATATTAGAGATCGGAGTTGTAAAGGTTTGAATGTGCTTGTTTAGGTTCGAGAGGCATTAAGGTTTAATTTTCTGCTGTTAACATTATTCTTCATGTACAGAGGAGGGTAATAGTGCTCATGAATGTTTAAACTGATGTATTATTACCCATCATGTTGCATAAGGTTTCACTGGTACCTTTAGCAACAACACGCCCACATGGATGTTGTGGTTTGTGAACAGATTTTTTGACAAGAAGAATCAATAATTATAAAAATTGTCTGAAATGTGATTTTCTGTTGAACTCTTCTGAGTCCAGAGTGACAGTAAACATAAACAGAGACTGAGCTGTCTGTGGTGTCTGTGGTGTCTGTGTGCCGTAGGCTGCTGTCCAGTGGGAGTCTTAGAAAACTGCTGGCGGGTTGGAACAAAGTGAGTCGGCTGGCTGAGAGGGTGGAGAGGTCTCAGCTCGAGGTCTTGGACCTCCAACACAACCACCTGACCGAGCTCCCACACAACCTGTTCCTCAAAGCGCAGAGGTACTCGCAGTAACACAGCGCTCATTTATGACCCTTCTCTCTCTCTCTCTCTCTCTCTCTCTCTCTTCTCTCTCTTTCCATCCCAGTTTTTTTTCCCCTCATGACATTCATTCAAGTGCTAAGTTTGTCTCCTCTGTTGGGATTTCATGGCAGCCTGCGGTACCTAAATGTGTCAGCCAATAAGCTGGAGAACCTCCCTGCAGCCAGCCTATCAGAGGACAGCTTCAGCAGCCTGGAGGAGCTCTATGTGACCAACAACAGCCTGACAGACAAGTGTGTCCCTCTGCTGACCGGACACGGACACCTCAGGGTGCTCCACCTCGCCTACAACCAGCTGCAGACCTTCACTGCCAGGTACAACATGAAACTGTGTGTGACATTTTCAGATGAATTATGCTGTTTTCAGTTCTCCTCTGTCGATACTTGGGTTTTTTTTTGTTGCCTCTGAGGTTTTAAAGTTTGAGAAAATCGCTGCAGTAGTTTGCCTTAAAGGGTAGCAGGGTTACAGGCTGAACAGGCTGCATCAGTTTGCCCGTCGGTGACAGCTCTTGATCAAAGTCCCCGAAAACGTCGTGTTTTTACTGCTGACAGGCTCAAGGTTGTTATTCTGAGCGTCTGACGACAGTACAGTCCAGATCTCTGACACAGATAGAAACCTTTTTTTTTTGTTAAAGTGAGATGCTCTTCTGCTAACCTCAAACAGCTGCTGCAGTCTCCTAACCCTCAGCCACCAGACTCCATGAACAAAACTGCTCATTTTAGCCAGCAGACCTCAGACGCTGTCCCACAATAACAGAAGAAAACGATCTTTTTCAGCACAGTCATGTCAAAGCCAACCCTGGATTCAAAACAAAGTGAAATATTTCAGCAGGTTTTGCAGCTTCTGGCCAAATTAGGAACAACTACAGAAATGTGTGACCTGTTTATAGGGAAATAAGAGAGAGTGAAGGATTGGAGTCTGCTCAGGATTGCTCAAATTGTAGTGTTGTCACTTTGTACTCACACAGGGATGCATCTAAACGTGTTTCCACCCAGGTTTTAGAAGTTTCCCTTAAAGTCCCCTCCTCTAAACTTCCTCTGAACTGTTAACCAATCAGCACAGGGAAAAAAATGTGATTTTCTCTAGTTTACTACAAACTAGAGCATGACACAGGGGCGGATTTTCACTCCACTACCGTCCCACTCCCAGAGAAAAAATCCCATCCCGTCCCAATCCCAATTCAAAACTGATCCTGTCCTGTCCCACTCCCGTAGAATGACTCCCACTCCCGCTCCCACTCAAAATTACTCCCACTTCTGTTCCGCTCCCGTTTGAGTAAAACCAACCGAGTGGCAGCTGAGTCGGAGCGCAGCACACATAATTTTCATTTCTTTGTTTGTTTTTTTTCACTCCTGGTGGTATCAGGAAGTCAAACCACTGTTGTAGTTCTTTTGTGTTGCTAGCGCGGTCAAGAGTGTTGGCTCTCACTGAGAGATGACTACAAAAATGGACGCATCTGTTCTGAAAATGATCATCTATGAATGTTGTTCCCGCTCCCGTCCCGTCCCGATCACAGGATTAATTAAAAAATGACTCCCATCCCGTGGGAATCACGTGACCCACGGGAATTCCCCAAAATGTCATCCTCTACTACAGACATGACTCTGAGGGTTTATCACACAAAAGAATTAATGTTTGAGAAAATGTGAGGCCCTTTCATGGAGTGTGAGGACAGAGAGTTGAGACCGTACTCTATCATAAATCTCCTTCACTTATTTGACTCTTAGTTAATCTTGTGGAGTGAAGTTGAGAACCTCAGTAAACAGAAATCAGAATCCGGTTCAGGTCTCAGCAGAAATGAGTTTGGTTCTGGTGAGTGGAGCTCACACGTTCACCGCTGACCTCCTCTGCCTCCCGCAGTAAACTCGCCCGGCTGGAGCAGCTGGAGGAGCTGGACCTGAGCGGGAACAGACTGAGAGCCGTGCCCACCACCATCCTCAGCTGTCAGCGCATGCACACGCTCTCCGCCCACTCCAACTGCATCGGCGCCTTCCCCGAGGTCCTCCAGCTGCCTGAGATCAAGGTTAGTCTGACGCTCAGGTCGCATTCACTCATGACGCTGCCGCCTTCCTCCACACGACACATGTCAGCGTTGGCTCTCGTCCAAGTCTGGTTATTTTAAGGTTCAAAAATCTGCGTCATGCTTCGCTGATGGGGAAAAAACGCGCTCCTCTGTCTCTCCCTGTACCTCTGTGTTGGTCTTTATTGGGTTGTGCCAGATCAGGAAATCCTTTGTAATCTCCTCGTAGCTCCCTAATCTCTGCTTTTCTCTGAACCCAAACGATGACGATGATGCCGTCGTCCTGTCAGTCCTGTCGGGTGGGAAAAAAAAAAATCTCACATTTTTCTCTGAATGACTGAAATTTTAAAAAGCTCCAGAGAATCCAGAAAAAAACGGAATAAAACATCCAAAATCTGCATTCAGACGTCAATGATTGAAGACTGTGGGTTGTGTAACATGAAGATATCACATGTATGTTGTTGTCGAACCGTCACACGGCTTGTACACACGTCACCAAGTCGAGTTTAACTTGACACTTTGAATACTCAACAGGCTAAAAGTGATTTTTCTCACATTTCAGTTCTCTTTATTTATCTTGATGCTTCTTTAAGTGACTCTCAGACTCTCTCTCTCTCTCTCTCTCTCTCTCTCTCTGTCTTTTTCTCCGTTTCTCCTCTTCAGTGCGTCGATCTGAGCTGCAACGAGCTGACCGAGATCACTCTGCCAGAAACTCTTCCTCCCAAACTCCAGGAGCTGGACCTCACAGGAAACCCTCGCCTGAATCTCGACCACAAAAGCCTGGAACTCCTAAAGTACGTACTGGAAAGACTCTGCAATTTTTATAATCCAAGGGAAGCATATTTCGCTCCGGAAACCAAACAGCTGACTGGATTTTTTTCTTTCCCCTCTTTTTTTCTGCAGTAATATCCGATGTTTCAGGGTGGATCCGTCTCCTTCAGCTCCGTGTGTGAGTGAGAGCCACGGGGCCCCTGCAGTCTGGAGCCACGGCTACACCGAAGCCTCTGGGGTCAAAAACAAGTCCGTCCTCAGCCGTCTCTCTTCACCGTCTTTCAGAGCGTCCTCAGATTTCATGATGAAGACTCAAACTGTCCTCTAACTAACCTGTCCCTCTCGTCGTCTTCAGGTTGTGCGTGGCTGCTCTGGCGTTGGACAGCTTCTGCGGGATTCGTGAAGCTCTTTACGGAGTTTTCGACGGCGACAGAAACGTGGAGGTGCCTTACCTGCTGCAGTGCACCATGGGAGACGTGCTGGCAGAGGAGCTTCACAGGGGCCAGAGGCAGGAGGACTACATGACCAACACCTTCCTCACCATGCAAAGGTAAAATCGGAGACGTCAAACAATGACAGCTGAGGTCCGACGCCGTCTCTGATGTCTCTGTTCCTCTCCCGCAGGAAGCTGGGCACAGCGGGTCAGCGGATGGGCGGCTCTGCGGCGTTATGTCACATCAGACACGACCCCGTGGCGCCCGGAGAACACGGCAGCTGCTTCACCCTGAAAGCGGCCAACGTGGGCAGGTGTCAGGCCGTTCTGTGCCGCGATGGCAGAGCTGTACAACTAACCACGACGCACACGGTCAAAGAGGAGGCGGAGTATCAGCGAGTCAGACAACACAACGCCATCATCACGGAGGTAAAGCTGGTCATGACTCATCAAGAAACGTCCTGACGGGGGTTAACTCGGTACAGTCTCGCCTCCTCTCTCTTCATGAAGGGATTTCATGTGTCGAGTTTTATACTGGGGGTTTGGTGCCTAAAAGTAGAATGATGCAGATAAGATATTTAATAAAGTTGGTTTCATCAAATAAAATAAGAAACCACAACATGCAGCAATGAAGACACTCAGACCGTCGGTTCGAACCTCAGACTCTCAGGGTTCATGTTTACAGAGTCAATATATCAACACAATCACAGACTCTCCGCAGACATGAATTCAGTCTCACTGCTGTAGGAGACGAGCTGGCGTAGCCCCCTGCTGGACATCAGAAGAAGTGCAGTTTTTTTTTTATGTCAGGATTTTATTAAATTCTCTGGAAATGAAAATCAAAGGAAAGATCTGGAAAGACGCAGGTTTAGGGCAGAAGTTTAGATTTTGAAAACAGAGGTTTTGTTAACCGGAGAGTGTGTCTGGACCGCTGAGCGTTTGTCGTCTCTGGTCTTTGGAAATAGTTACAGCATTCATTGTTCAGGGCTTCACAGGGAGCGCATGTTCTCCTAAGTTGAAAAATTAAGGAGCACACAAAGAACTATAGGGGCACAATGAAAATTAATCAAATAATGTTTGTCTTGTTGGTCGTTGACATGGAAGCTATTGATGAAAATGTTCAAAATTTGCCTTTAAATTTAACACAAAATTTTTTAGAGGACAAATTAGAGAAATAAAGAGGCGTGTCTTATTATCCGACCTTAGTGCTTTTATTTGAAATCAATTTTAGGTCTTTTGGTCACATGACATAGAAGCTATTGAAGGAAAACAGCCTTTTCTGAGAACATCAACCGGTAATTTATTGACGGTCCCTTATTTGACACCCGACGTTGACAGTGAGGGTGTCGAGTAGATTTAACCGCACTGCTGTTGTTATTCGTGGTCATGGAGAGTGAGAAGACACTGGTAGATCCTCAGTGAATGTCCGTCAGATATCCAACATTAAATGAGAAAAAAAAACAAAAACCAAACTCTTCATCTTCCTCTTCTTCCTTTTCCTCTTCGTCTCTTCAGGATAACAAAGTCAGCGGCGTGACCGACTCCACCAGGATCATGGGGTACTCCTTCCTCTGTCCGTCTGTGACCCCCAGGCCCCACGTCTCCACGGTAACCCTCACACCACAGGACGAGTTCTTTCTCTTGGGAAGCAGGGGATTATGGGACATGTTGTCTCCCGGCGAGGCGGTGGAGGCGGTCAGGAATGTTCCGGACGCTCTGGCCGCTGCTAAGAAGCTGGTGACGTTGGCTCAGAGTTACGGCTGCTCCGACAGCCTCAGCGCCGTGGTGGTCCAGCTCAGTATCACGGAGGACTGCTGCTGTTTCTGCGAGCCGCCTCCCCCGCCCCCCAGCCCCGGCCCCGGCGCACACACCAGCACGCACCCCTACTCAGCCAGCGCCGATGGAGGCATCCCGCTGCCTCCCGCCTCCTCAGGAACAGTGAGCGAGCTGAGCAGCGAGTTCAGCACGTCAGAGATGAGCAGCGAGGTCGGATCGACGGCGTCTTCAGAGGAGCCGCCGCCTCAGACTGAGCCTCTGACATCACACCTGATCCTGCCCGGGGGGCGAGCGGGTATGAGGAGACCGCCATGCGGTGGCGGGAACTTCCAGAGACAGTTCTCTGGAGCTCTGTCGGATAACGGCGTCGACAGCGAAGACGAGGAGCCGATCGCCGGCGTCTTCTCTAACGGCAGCCGTGTGGAGGTGGAAGCTGACGTCCACTGCCTGCACCGCCATGACCCGCCAGCGCCCCAAACACACACTCAGCCACGCACACACACCCCACCTGCTGCTGCCTTACATCACGAGCCTTCCCCCCTCCCTTTCTCCCCCTCTCCCTCCCCCGTCCCCCCCTCCTCCCCCTGCCTGGGCAGGGAGGTCCTGTCGGGGACTCTGGGCCGCCGCGCCCGTGCTAACGGCTCCGTCGCCTGCCAAGCGAGGAACCAGGATGTTATAGAGGAGGCGGGCGAGGCCCCGGTCAGGAAACAGGGGGGTTACTTCAACGCCCCCGCCCAGCCTGACCCCGATGACCAGCTGATCATCCCGCCGGAGCTGGAGGAGGAAGTCCTGCAGATCATCCAGCAGCAGCAGCAGCAGGAACAGATCCAAACACACAACCAGCAAGCACACGGCTACCAGAAACCTGCCGACTACTTCATCACGCCGCTCTAAGGTCTGCCCCCTCCACCTCCGCTCCTCATCCAGGAATCCATCTCAGTGGTTTTCAGGTTTGGAGGATCGTGGACTCGGACTGTTAAACTGAACTGCTCCCTCCAAACCCCCTCAGAGTCTTCTGGACCAGAGACTGTTTTTGTTTTTCTTTCTTTTTTACGGTTTTTTTCTTTACGCCCCTTAAACTCAATGCAAATCTTGACATGTACCTGGTTTTTACCGCCTCTTTGATTTGGAGAAGCACTTTGACTGCTTTTTATTGGATTCTGAGTTTTATGTTGAAAGGTACTTTAAGATCTTCTGTTTTTGTTTCGTAGCAGAAGTTTGTGTCGGCTGATGGCCTTACAGTGGGAGTGGGAGTTAGTAAGAACTGTTACACTAACTCCTAGGAGTTTAATACTTTAAAGTGACCTAGTCACTGAAGCGTACTAATGTTCTCTGAGAGAAAAGACGATTATTTCAAAAGGCTGATGTTCCAGGGTGGTGTTGTGGGGAGTGTGCAGAGTTCACAGTGGTGCTGCAGTGGTGAGATAATGCTGAAAGGTCGGGGGTCATGCAGTTGTTGCCAGCTCAATGAATGTTCTCAGAACAGTGTTACAGACTTCACACAAGTAAGCTACTTTTGCTATACAATAAATGAAAGTTTCCAGATAAGCACATCATGCTGACTCGGTCTCTTTGTGGAGGAGTGAAGGAGGAGGAGGAGACTCACGCTGAAGGAGACTTTCACTTCTTTAACTCGTTTTTTCTGTGAAGTGTTTCAATATTTGCAATATTCTGCCGTAAAATGCCCAGGTCTGCTCTAAAACCTGCAAAAGTTCACAGTTACATTAAAATTGTTGTTGTGCATCTCTTGAAATAGAGAAATTAGACCCCAGACGGACAGAAAGGTCCTCACAGGAGCTCTAATCAAAGCTTAGTGTTAAGATGCAGCTTCATCTATGATCGGAGCGGGGAATCTAGAGTTTAAAGTACTTTTAATTTTCTGTATGTACAGGAGGATGAATATTTAGCTCCTTCAGTGCATGTTATCTTCTGTAAAAGGACTAATAACCTCCTTATAATTCAGAACAATGGTGAATGAAGTTAAACGCTTGCTGGAGATGAGTTCAGAGAAGGACCACTTTGATTATTTTCATGTTATAGCTTTAAAATCAGTCTTTTAGTGCCTTTCTGTTTGACGCTGTCAGACCATCCATATCAAGCCTCTAAATAAGTACGAAGACCTCGAGTTTAAATATTACAAAATTACATTTAACAAACAATAACACACAGTCATTTAAATTAAAGGAAAGTACAAATTTAAGTCAAACTTGTATGATAATTATGTTGCGTTTTAACCAATCTCAGCTTTAAAATAACAGCTAAAGATCATAACATTAAGTCTCCAGGCACTTAAAATCTCTATACCGTAAAGATCCTGCATGACTGTCTCTCTATGATCATAAACTACACTCACAAGTTTGTGTGTTTCTCTCTGTTGGTGTCACGTTGTCTTGTTTGTGCAGCAGATACAATCGCAGCTTTGTGTCGTCAGAAATGATAAAATTAGAACCCGGGTAATTACCTCAGCGCGGAGGATTTCTTTTGTCAGTAATTGAGTCTTGACTGAAGGGTCCCACAGTTACATCACCGCTGTGTCCTTTTGTGTGTGTGTGTGGGGCCCTTTGTGTGACAGCACAGAGGGGACACACAGCAGTGATGTCAGGGTTGGCAGGAAGCCTCTGGAGGGGACAGAGCAGACACAAACAGCAGGGGGAGGACGGAGCTATGGCGCCCCCTATAGGCGGATAGATCATCACAAACAGGAGAGTCTTGATATAAAGGTTTAATTTGTTTTTACAGATTCAGTATCAAAATTCTTGGATAAAAACATCAAACTTTGATATAAAAACAACAATTAACAAGTTAAAATCAAACATACAAACAAACACTTCAATATAAACTTCAGACACAGTCACTCACAGTCATTATGACTAAAAACCACAGACGCTGGGTCAGGTTACTGCTTCAGCTTCAAAATTAGCCTCTGCAGAGCAACATCACAAATTTAAGAGGAGTGTTTAACGTAATGTGATGATTAAACTCTGAGAGTTAAAGAAAATGAGAATTTGTAATCTTCTAATCGGGTTTAAAAGCTTCGATATTTCATTTATTTGTCTCCTGAGCCGAGGGAGGAAAAGCTTAACATGACCGTGATTGAAACAGGAAGTTTAGTCCTTCTTCATCGAGTTGTTAGTGAGGTGAATTTTCCATAAAGTTGTCTGGTCTAGTAATTGAATTCCTGAGCTGGTTTTGGTCGCATACAGGTTTTGATCAGTGAAATTCAAACTCAGAACTCACAGACTCATGATGACTGAGCAGTTTCTGATCTTTACATGCAGATATCTGGGGAATCCTCCGAGGCACGATGAGACATGTTTTAACCCTCCAGGGCGTCTTGGCTCACATCAGGGTCTCCCCACCAGTTTGACACGCCTGACAGCCAATAGGAACTCAGAGTGGAGCCGCCGCCGCTGCTTTGCATCAAAAAGTGCGATTGGAGGTTCCCTGGTCAAGTCCAACATGAACAATTTACTCCAAACATACAAGCAAATAAATCATCCATTCTTTCTGCCAGAGTAAAAATTAAAGCATCGTGTTTTGATCAGAGTTGTAGCAGAATATGAAGTCAAAATCATGATACTATTTAAGATTCACACTGATGTAAACTTCAGGTGTCGGTTCTGTGGTTCTTGACCGAGTCTTACGGGTCTCTCATGTTAACACTCCCATGTCTTGTTTGTCCCCCTCACACTGAGGTGGTCTCGGCCCTCAGAGGGGATCTCTGAGGGTGCGCCCTCGCTTGCTGCTTCTCCATCTCCCTTCGTTTCCGCTCCTGCTGGTAGCGCCTCACTCCTTTGATGGTCCGGATGGTGAGCACCGTGCCGACGGTGTAAAGGATGGCAGTGATGAGCCCGAACAGGGCCACAGCTGCGTCCGCCCCGCTTACGTCACAGTTCATCCAAGTGTAGCCGTTTCGTGTGTATATCCTCTCACGCTGCACACACACATCAGTGGAGTTCACACTGATGATGAAGTGCAGGTAGAGCCCAACGGCGACCACATACGCCACCGCGCCAACTGCCTGAAACACCAGCGCTCCATACAGAAGCTTCTTGGACATTAGGTGGGGCGGTTTACTTCCTGCCACAACAAACAGCAGCGACAGGACACCGAGCGTCAGGCTGAAGGCGAGGCCTCCGTAGATGCCCGGCGCCCTCATCTGGCTGTACTGCATGTCCAGTTCTCGTACTTTCTGCAGCTCGGTACCCTGCAGGTTGAAGTTGGAGTTGATGTCGAAGCCGCCAAGTCCACCCATGGAGGACATTCCTGAAGTCACCATCTGAGCTGCGATCACGCAGATCAGGACCAGGGCGTTTGTCAGAACGGCACAGATCAGCACGATGCCTACAGGGAGCAAAAATGTAAACGTGAAGCAGGTGAGGAGAAAAGTAAGGGAGCAAAATGAAGTAAATACAAATTCTTATTCAGAGGGAGCAAAGCTAGACTAGATTTTAATTTGTAGATGTGGCTGGAAGGTGAGATCTGAATCAAAATGTACTCCTCTATATCTAAACAAGATCTTCATAGAGGTCAAGACCGCTCTTTTTGAGCTTCGGGGAGTAAAACAAAACAAACAATTCGAAATCTGTGTTGAGATGCAGGGATGAAAAACGTCTGTGACACAATCAGAGACAGCAGCAAGGTTAGAGGGATCTCCTGGGATCGTCTGTGCGGCAATAAAATCAATCATTGTGAAACTGGATAAACTGAGCGTATGGAAACATTCAACAGAGAAGTAAAACCACTTCCTTTGCATAATTATTCAAAATAATCTTTGACACGTTCATTTAGAGTCACTTAAAGTCCAAGAAAATTTAAAAAAAAAAAAAAAAAGCTTATCAGAGGTTCCTGGAGCACAAGGTTGTGTTTAAAATGTTTTGTCTAACCAGCAGTAGAAAACCATAATATATTATCACAGCAATGACATTAAACTGAAAAACAAGAAAGAAATCTTGGGGTCTTAAAGGCTGCGGCTAAACTTTTAATTTTGTATTTATGTCCATAGAAACATCCCTGATCTTCATTTTCTTCTTTTTCTGTTCTGACCACACTTTGAGCTCCTAAAAGCACCATTTTATCCACCCCCACAGAGGAATACCATTGTCAGACCAGGTGTATTGAATGACTGGAGGCATGTGATTACTCTTTAACATAACCCAAATATCAAAGGGCCACACTACTCTCCCAGGCTTCGAGGAAAGAGGCCTGTAGACACACGAAAACCGGTCTGTCCAGTATTTGTAGCAGGAGGAACTGAGCTGCAGTTACACTGAAACTGTGACGTAGCAGCAGCAGCTTCTCCCGGAAAGATTTCATTTGATTTGACCCAGATTAAATCACTTAGATCAGGTCTCACCTCTCCTGGAGCAAATGTTTGTACACTTGGAGCCATGGTGCTCCACTCGAGGGACATCCCGAGCGTCCCGATGATTTGGAGGGGGGTCATCCTCTCTGGGGTAGTACGGGGGTCGTGAGGAAGGCCTGGAACAGAAACAGAATGAATGAATGAAACTAAGGAAGCTTATTTCGGACTGATATATGAAATGTGTAGAACTCATAGCAACATCCCTTTAAAACATTTTGTATATTTAGGAGTATAGAAAATGAGTGATTCTAACTTAGGTGGTTCTTTTCAATGGAAATTTGTAGATTCATGTGATAAATAGTGGGGGTTGGAGAAAAAATTGATACAGCATAGTATCGCGATATTGTGTCTGGTGATATATTGTATCGTCTCGTATACCAAGTATCGATTTTTCAAATGAATTGCTAATATGAAGTCAAATCTATGATAATGGAGAAATAAAATAATCTGTTTGTCCAGTTAGGTTGGCAGAGTTGACATCATAGAGCAGGAAAAAATTTGTACAACAAATATATATGTAAAGTTCGCAAGATGTGCTACATGAGAATAAAACACAGCGTAAATAAGACAACGATAAAGGAAAGACAAATGCTAATCTAGCTAAACAGTTAAAAAAAAAATCATAAATTGCAATATATTGTATCGCAATACTCATTGTACTGCAAAATATTACAAATCACAATAATATCGTATCGTGGCCCACGAATCATGATAATATCGTAGCCTATCGTGGGGCCACTGGTGATTCCCACCCCTAATAAATAGTCAAATCCAATACCAAAAGCTATGAAACAAAAACTTAATCTATTTATTAGCTAGTTCTTCTGTTGGATATTTGAATTCTTATGTATGTATTATTGTGTTGTGTAATGGCACACCTGTCAGGTGTTGATTGTCGGTCATCGTGAGAGTCCCGGTAGTGTCGGTGGTCTCCGTTTCTCTCCCGGTGTCCCCGGTTTGAACGGGGCGGCTGGCTCATAACGTCACCTAACGTCAAGCAAGACACCAAAATGACCTTTGAACGTATAAAACCATTTCATGACACTCTGTGAACTAAAGTACAAACAATTTACAAATATTAAAAAAATAAAATCTCACTTTTTAATCTTCATATTTACAAAAAGAAGAAAAAAGGCAAATCCGGCTTTTTGAGGAGAAAACTGACCATTGACGTACGATTGCGTCAGGACGTTTTAAAAATGTTGAGTTACGTTTTGTGTATCAGCTCAAAATATAATTTTACACCGAATAACAAACTTAAAACATTCATTTTCATCAAGTTAGCTTTACAAACTTCCTGTCATGAAACTTCAGAGCAGGTTGGTCGTTTTAAAACAGGTAAAAATAGAAAGGACGGAGAATTGTGTTAGCAGGTGAAAGTAGCTGAGTGAAGCTAAAACGCTTATTGTCACGCGCGGTCTCAATACGACCGTTAGCATTCAAATTTCCACTTACCGTATTTTTAAATCGATAAACTACGATAAAGTCCGACTATAACGCCATTTTGTAATCCTTGAACCACTCTTCTGTGTTTTGTTGTAGGGTCCAGGTACAAACAGCTCCACCCAACCTGTTAGGGAGAAGGAAGGGGAGGAGGAGGAGGAGAAGGAAGAGAAGGAAGGCGGAAGAGACAGGTTCAGGGAGGTGGATGTGGGTCACAGCTGGAGCTCCCGTCTTTACTGAAGGGTTTCTACTTTCTACGGACTTGGATGAAGATCAAGTCATGAGCAGCTCATCTGAATCAGCCGCTTTGTGTGTAGTCAGTCCCATCAGTGGGTCCAAAGAAACCTCTGTTTACACTCTTATTGTTTTGGCCTTTCCAACATGAACAGCAGAGGGCTGACTGTGTGTCTGTTTGTCTGCCTGTATCTCGTCTGTTAGTCTGTGAGTCTGTTGCTGTGTTAAAGAGGAGGAATGTTGTTGTTTATGTGCTTCTTTTATCAGCCAAGACATTGACATTCAGCTCCCTGAAGAGCCCTGTTGTCTTCACCCGACCATATTTCTCTCTGCTGGGAGTTTGCTGTCACACAATCCGAGTTATTATACAATCTGTAGGCTGATGACAGTTTTATAGCACTTCATTATTATTGAAGGACAGTGGAATTCATGCAGCCAACTATAAAACAATGACAGAATAATCTCTTAGATATTTAACACAATTTATTGTTGAATTTGAACACACACCACTTTTACCCGAATCTGCATCTGCCACCAAACAGAACAAGAACAGACCACAATAGACATCAACTCTATAGACAAACCTAAAAGCCATCAGACTGCTTAACACCAAATGACCCTCCATGTAACCCTCTACTCCCACCCTGCTACACTGTGCTCCTGTTTTTACTATTCATTAGCCGGCCACGAGGTCTCCTCCTGGTGGGACATGTCTGGAACACCTCTAACGGGAGGCGTCCAGAAGGCATCCTAAACAGGTGCTCGAGCCACCTCAGCTGACTCCTCTCAAAGTGGAGGAGCAGCAGTTCGGCTGCTTGTATTCACGATCTTGTTCTTTCGGTCATTACCCAAAGTTTATGGCCAAAGGTGAGGGTCGGCACGTAGATCGACCGGTAAATCGAAAGTCTCACCTTACAGCCCAGCGACTGATTGGTTAAGGGTCTGCATCACTGCTGACGTCGCTCCGATCCACCTATGTCGCTGGCGAGCAAAGTCAAACTGGAGTTACATTTTTGTGAGTGTGGGCCTAACAAACTAATTAAACCATCCGCATGAATGAATCAATGAATCGTTTAACACGTGAGGGTCAGCATCTGAAAAAGTATTCAAGGCATTAATGAAGTATTTTAGAGAGACTGGCTTATTTTACAGAGCTTAACTCTGGAGTTTAGTAAGAATATCTATGTAGAGGCATATATCTTTTTTTCTGCTCATTTTCCTGTCCCACTCCAATCCACTAGGTGGCGGTAATGCTTTTTAAGCTGGTTGCCAACCGCCAATAAGACGAAGAAGAATCGTTTAACGCTTCCGGGTCACTCTGCTCATGCTGTAAACATAAACATGAGGTTAAAACTATCGTGTGTACACTAAAGTTGACCGTCACTGCAGCCTCACAAACCATCGTCACTGTTCCGTGTTTGTTCCGGATCATATCCGACCTTTCGCCGCTCCTGCTCGGTCATGTTGTTCCTCCGGACTGCGGCTCTCAGCTGCAGAGCTCTGACCGCTCTGCGCTGCCTGCCCTCCGGCTTCACACTCTCCAGAACCACCGCCTCATACATCCAGGGCCAGAGCCCGGAGCCCCGTATCCGAGAGTACTTCTACTACATCGACCACCAAGGACAGGTGAGTGCAGACACGGTCACATGATAAAACCTTCAGAAGTATGAGTTAGTTTGATAGTTTTCTGATGTAACATGTTGATGATGTGTGTTTGCATTTCAGCTTTTTCTCGATGACACCAAAGTCAAGAACTTTGTCACCTGTTTCAAAGGTAAAAATGAACACACACTCAAGGTATAAAGCCGTTTATTTAATAAGGTAGTGTGTTTTACCGATGTTAACATTGGAGGAAGATGCTTTAACTGATGATTTCTGCAGGATGTGTTGGTATCTCAGTGATGGTCTTCTGTGTTTGTAACTCTGTTGGGGTGTGTTTTTGATAACCTTGTCAGGACATCCACATAAAAGAGATTTGTAATATCAGTGAGGCTGTCCTGGTGACATAAAATGTATATAAATACACGAACACATATCAGATTAAGGTCACTAGTCTTCTTGGACAATCGCAGCGTCTCAAAACAAGCTGAAGAGCATGAACTTTCACCTCAAAAAGAGGGTGAAGCAGCTGGTCAACGTGGATTTTATTTAAAGTTACTATGTGGTTTAGATTATTTTCATCTTAAGTGGCTGATTGATATTCATGGTGTCATGAGTGTTAAAGGGATATTCCGGCGTAAAACTAGTAAGGGTCAAACACGCCATAACACAGAGTTAGACCCCCCCCTCCAGAGATGAATGTTGCTGACCACTTGCTTCTCTAGTTATACCAACTTTAGTAACGACCGTAGGATAGCAAAACACAGCGGTCTAAGGAGCCAAACAACAAACCTCAACCAAAACGCCACTCTATAGCCACAAATAATGCTCAGAACAGCACCTAACTTCATCAACAGGACATATAGGGTCCCAGCCATAGTACTAGACACCAAACATCTTTTTAACTTTGACTAATTTCTTTAGCAAAGAGACTAAACATAACTCACCTACTCTCTTCCAGCAGCTGTTTGTTTGTAGAGAGACCTCAGGCCAGTCCATTACGGACTACAGCGGGGTGACACAGCTCAAGGAAGAATATTTATGATCATTTCTTCATGGAAATACAATCAGATTGTTTGCAAAATCATTAATATGGTAATTATTACTTCAAGAAAATAAAGAAATGATCATGTTACTAAAGTTGGTATAACTGGAGAAGCAAGCAGTCAGCAACATTCATCTCTGGAGGGGGTATCTAACTAAATTAATTTTACGTCGGAATATTCCTTTACGGCTGTAGAGCTACATATTACAAACACGATGAAGTTTCAGTGTAAAAGTGCTCCTAATGAATTATATGGTCATTGACTGACTAACTATGACATACTAACTCTTGATGGTCTGTGTTTTTTTCACTAGATAAACAGTTCCTGGTCTTCTTCTTCAGTCGGCTGCGCTCAAACCAGAGTGGTCGATACGAGGAGGACTTTCCCTTTTTGTCCCTGTGTGGGAGGGAGAGGAACTTCATTCGCTGTGACGACCGTCCTGTGGTCTTCACACACCTGGTACACAGCGAAGACAAGGAGCTGCTGTCCTACTGCGGCGGGGCAGATAAGCTGACTATCCCGTTCCGCCCAGAGGCCCTATACATGCACCCTGTCACTGGACGTGTTTACCACCCCTGCTCAGAGAGGGGAGGGGGGGTCGGTCTAGTCAGGTCAGCTCTGGCCATTGAACTCAGCCCGTTTTTTGTTTATGATTCAGAGCAGGGCCAATCAGGAGAACCCACACATTTTCTGTGGGGAGGACAAAAACACAAACTGAGCAATGAGCTCGCAGGGTGCCTCCCCACTGTGGAGAGTGAGCAGGGGGAACTGGGGTAAAGATGAAGCTGCTCAGAGGTGGAGATTTGATTTTGAGGTACCTGTAGCAGGACAGATTACTGTTACAGTATCACTACTGAAATTTGAACCCTGTTTCAATGATCCAGAGAGTTTAATCTCATAGGTTTCTAAATACTTTTATCAAGAACTTTGGACGTGATCCCAATCTTGGTTCTGGAGTGTTGGATAAAGATGTTACCATAGATTAAATGTATGCAATCGAGTACTATGGTGGAATATCTTTCCCTCTTTACTTCCAGTTTATAATCTTTAAGTATGATAAATTTCTCACCCTGGCACACCGAGCCAGAGCTAAGATGCTGAAGTCTGATACAACAATGGAAAAAATAATTCATCAAATGTTACGGGAGTGGAGGTGTCAGTATTGGAAACAAAATACATCAGGTGTTCCAGGCGTGGAGATGTTGGAATATCACATCAACTCATAACTCAAAATACATATTTAAAGGTGCAGTGTGTAGAATTTAGCAGCTCTTAGCAGAACGGACCGAGTGGAAACGGAAGATAACATTCACAAGTTTGTTTAAATAAGTGATTAAAAATGTAATTTTTTAAACTAAGAGTGAACCGTTTTCATTTACGTATGTGTGGACTCCCTGTCACCGAGGTCAAATCTTGAACTGCCATGATTCTGTATTTAGTGAGCGTCTGTGCAAAATGCAGATGAAGAAGAAGAAGAGTGTGGTTGTGTGCAAAAGAATTTAAATGATATTTCTGATGTAACTTGATAAATAGAGGATCAGACTTGTGCAGCACAGAGGCTGCCTGTCCTCAGAAACCTCCTTTACTTCATCTAGAAATCTTCTTTTTTTGAATAGCAGGTATAAAAGAATTAAAAGTGTGTTTATGCAAAACTTGACAACACCATGACAAGTAATGCAGAATAAATGCACCTGAAAATGTATGAATGTTGTTTTTTTTATGGTTTCGCTGAAATTGTTCCAAAAAATCTTACATATTTATGCATTTTCAAAAGGCATTAGATTATGAAACATGTGGATTCAGTTAAAGCTGCTTTGAGGAACTTCAATCTTCATACAGATCCATGCTTGTATACTGTTGTTTGACTAAGTGTTGTATGTTAAACTGCTGAGTCATTTTATCCGGTAATTGCGCGCTGGTTGATGCCAAGTGAAACTGGAAGTGTAGGATGTCTCCAGCTCCTCATGCCTTGCCGTGCCTGTGGGGTATTTGTAGAGTCCCCGCTCTGTTGCCGCCTCAGTAGGTGAAGGAGCCAGCGGGGGCTTCGAAGAACTGCAAGTCCCAGAGATCTCCGTATCAGTCAACCTGGAGCGACGGCCTGGAGAGCATGGCAGCGCCGACCAGCACCACGCGCGGGGCAATGGAGCGGTCTATCCGGGAGCGGGTTCCTCCGCTGCTCACGGACCTGTACCAGTTCACCATGGCGTACGCGTACTGGCGGGCCGGCAGGCACCAAGAGCCCGCCGTGTTCGAGCTCTTCTTCAGGGACAACCCTTTCGGCGGCGGCTTCTCGCTGTTCGCCGGGCTTCACGACTGTCTGCTGTTCCTGCGCAGCTTTCGCTTCACTGACGAAGGTAAGACAGACACCCCAGACCAAACAGCATCATCTATAAACTCTTTACAAAGCAGAAAAACTGAGAATTAAATGAAACACTGCTATTTTTGATCAAGTCTGAATGACTTTGCGTCCCTCCCCCAAACGCCTTTTACGCATACCAGAGCTGTTGCGCAATACTTGACCGTGTGAGGGTCTCAATGAGGAAACGTGAATGCCGGTGAAGCACTTTAGTGAACCTTGACGTTCAGCTTTCAACTTTGGCACACAAGAATGATCTGTAATCTCCTCTGTGGCGCAAGTAGAGTAGACTTTGTGAAGAAATGTGGCACACAGTACTGACTCAAAGTCTTTATGTGTCTTTCCTAACCTTCGAGTAAATGCAGATACTGATACAAGATGTAAACAGCTGGGTTTTCACAAGTATTTTCAATCACTCTAGACTGAGAGCTGTAAACTGGCTGTCTCACCTAGTGTTTGTTGGACAAATACAGTGGAATTAAAGGAAAATATTTCACTTTTAAATTGAACATAGTGGGAAAACAAAGCTGCAAAGCACTGGAGGTGTTTTCTTAAATCCATGAATGTTCAAATATTCTACCAATTCAATATTTTTTAACATTTAAACACATGAAGTTGATCCATCACATGCAGATGTAGTTAGGGCTTGTCAAAGCAGTGATTCATGTGAGCTCCTATAACTGGTATGTCAGATCTGAGGAGTGACTGCAGCTGAATATCTTGACCTTGTTTGCTTTTTTAGACGGCAGAGAAATAAAGCAGAAGTTTGAGATCTCTCTTAGGGGCTGTCTTTCCTCAGAATTAATACTTTGATGCTTAAAATACTTTAGATTTAAAAGTTTCATGAATGACATAAACAAAGTAAAAACAGCTGAGGGTATTTTTAAGTGTTTAGTGAGGAAGCTTTCATGGCCTCACTCAAACTCCAGCTCAGCCACATGATTAAAGTCTGCTAGATTAGATTATCTGAACTGAGTTATTAGATTTAACTCTCTCACTCCTGGTAAATGTGTGTGTTTGTGTGTTAGTTCTGTGTTGTCAGAGGACATGTGAGGGGAGGGGGCACATGGCCAACATGTGCTGCTTGTGTAAGAGCACAAGCAGCGCTCACAGTAGAATGAGGGATGCCCTCCTTTGTTGGTCCCTCTGACATTGTTACAGCTGTTGTGTGTTTATGTTGTGTTTCTGTGCATCCAGATGTTGAGTTCCTGCGCTCCGTGCTCCCCCCGGCCACCGACCCCGCCTTCTTTAAGTTCCTGCGGGAGCTGGACTGCTCGGGTGTCACACTCCGCTCTGTTCCAGAGGGCACGGTGGTGTTCGCCAGGGTGAGTGGTGGGACTTCAGGGTGAAGGTCAAATGTGACATACAGACACGAGGTCTGCATCAGGCCTGTTTTGACAACAGTCACAAGCTTCCATATTCTCCACTTAAACCTTTTCTTAAACTGGAAGATGTTTCTGAAAACCTTTTCTCCTGCTGTCAAAGAATTCCACATTTTAGAAACACACGTTAGTTTGACATTTGTTCAAACATTTGCTGTTTATAATTTAATTTTCTTCTGTGATTTTGTTTCTAATCTAATCACTCATTAAAGTTTTATTTGTAGTTTCTTCTGTTTTAAGTTGAAGAATTATGGGTAATGAGTGGTGGCGCTGTTTTACAACATTTTGATCTGTTTTATTTGAACTTTTTAATTTAAACTAATTAAAATTTTGTTTCCTACCTTTGCATATGAAAATGACCTGACTGTATTGATGGTATTTTGATGTTTTTTAAATTACATCATCCATTTTTGTTGAATACTTTATTATTTTCTTAATGCTTTTATTCTTTATCTGTCTGTTCCTTTGTGTAACTTTGTGAATGTATGAAAGGTGCTGCTGTGTAGATAAAGTTGTGTTGTATGCTGGCTAAGCTACCCCCCCATCGCCGGGCTTTAAAACACCCTCCATGTATTATTCAGTCCACGGTCCGCATGCAGGGGGGTCAGAGGGATTAACTTGTGCTGTTGGTCTGTAGGTGCCTCTGATGGAGGTGACAGGACCGCTGGCTGTGGTTCAGCTGCTGGAGACCAGTTTACTGTGTCTGGTCAACTACGCCAGGTAACGACAAACACACACACCTGAGCGACACAGAGGAAAAGTCAGCTTTGAACTCTTCCTGTGGATGTACATGAGGTGGATGTAGTTCACCGTCTGTTTCTGTCCCGTCTCCTCTCGCTTCAGTCTCGTGTGCAGTAACGCGGCCCGTTTCCGCCTGGCAGCCGGCCCCAAGAGGAAGCTGCTTGAGATGGGCCTCAGGAGGGCTCAGGGACCAGATGGAGGCCTCACCGCCTCACGGTACACATATATTGGAGGTGAGAGTGCTGCATGTGTCATTATGATATGAAACATGCAAAATTACAAATGTAGAAAATAAATATAAAAACTGAAAAATCAGGATCACTTGATGAATCTTGTGAAACAGTTTTCTAAATGAACTTTAATCAGGTGTGATGAAGACCTCACATCCATAAACTGACTATTAAATCTGTCCTCCAGGGTTTGACCTCACCAGTAACGTTCAGGCTGGTTTCCTGTTTGGTATCCCCGTCGCGGGGACCATGGCGCACTCATATGTCACGTCTTTTACCTCCCTGGAGGAGGTCTGGCCACAGGTGAGTATTCCTCTCTCATTCTTACACGCTCAGCTCTCAATTTTCCATCATATTATAAATTTGTAACCTAAATGTGGGGAGGTGGTGGGATTAACTGTTAATCCTCTGTTTTCTGTTTCTGCTCAGACTCTGGTGGCGTTGAACGGAGACCCCGATCCAGTAGACATCATTTCCTTGACGAAGGGCTGGTTGAGTCGAGTGTGCGAGCTCCTGGAAGCACAGCCCGGAAAGATCCACGAGGGCGAGCTGGCTGCTTTTCTCTCCTACGCCATCGCTTACCCTCAAAACTTCCTCCCTGTGATTGACAGCTACAGCGTCAAATGGTAACTCGAGATGTGACGACATGTAGAAAGTTGTTTTCAAACTTTAGAAGCAGGTTGGAGTTGTGCTCCGATTGGACAGATCTGTTGTTTTAACCTCTGGAAGAGTCCACAGTTTAAATGTTAAATAAGGATTTACCCACAACACAGAGCAGGACTGCCTGAGAATTACCGGTTACCGGTTTTGTCTTAACTCTATTTATTGATACTTTCCATGTACAAAACATGTTAAAAAACAATGAAGGTCATGACATAAACCCCCTTCTCCTAACTCTGAGGAGGCAAATAAGAAGGTAAACAACAAAAGCTATAGATAAATGTAGTTTTCCAAAATATACATACAGTGATTAAAGAAGTGAGTATATAAATTGAGAGCCAAACAAGTTTTAGAGAAGGTCCACCTGCACTTGACATGTGAAGGGTGTTAATTTCAGACCCTAAAGAGCTAACCCAAGAGTGACACACCTCAGAGTTTTATCCTGGTCTCATTCTCACCAAAATAAACAATTTATGTTCTAACTCTTGTGATTACTTGAGTGCAGGCCTTATGTTTCTGGGTCTATCTCCTGCTTCTGCTCACTTCATGATCTCCATCCAGTCTTCAGTTTGCTGCTATGAATGAATCTCACCAGTAGATGTCACTAGTGCACTCAGACTTAAATCTACTCAGGAATAATGACTCTCATTTACCAGTATTTCATATATAAGCACTGATTCTTTCAGTTTTTTACCCCCCTTTAAAAATCATTGTGATGAGTATCTGTTTTGATTATATCTAAATAATTAAACGAGTAATTGAAAAGTCTGGTTGAAGCTCATATGGCGTCCCATTCCAGCAGCGGTCTGTTGAACTTCTGCTCCGTGGCTCTGGCTCTGTGTGAACTCGGCTTCAGGCCCGTTGGAGTTCGTCTGGACAGCGGGGACCTCTGCAGACAGTCGGTCGACGTCCACCGTGTCCTCAGACTCTGCAGCGAGCGGTGAGTGAGATGATGAGTGAGAATACGTCTCACCTCTCCGATCAAATGATTCTCAGTTAAGTCGTTTCTTTTTGCTTACGCCATCTTCACAGTTTCTCAGTCGCTGCCTTTGATTCGTTGATCATCGTCGGGACTAACAACATCTCAGAGGAAAGCATGGCAGAGCTGAACAAGAAGGTTAATTTGATTAAAACAAATGTCCATAAACTCGAGTGTCTTTGACCTTTTTCTCCTAGTTCCTCTGATTTCTGTGTGTGACTGTTTCAGGAGAACGAGATCAACGTGGTCGGAGTCGGGACACATTTAGTCACCTGCACAAAACAGCCCTCACTGGGATGTGTGTACAAGGTAAAGTGCAAATCTCCTGGGATGCTCTGAATGTGCGTTTTTACTATGTCGAGATAATATAGTGACATTTTTAATGTGTTAGCTGGTGGAGGTGAGGGGGACGCCCCGGATGAAGATCAGTGAGGACCCACAGAAGAGCACCGTGCCTGGGAGGAAAGCCGTCTACAGGCTGATAGACTCTGAGGGTGAGAATTTAATGTATGGAAATATCTTCAGATGAAATAGCTGATCTGTTAATTATGTGCATGTAACATCAACTCCTGGGTTCCTGACTTTTTTGTTCCTGCTGCAGGTCACCCGTTTCTGGACCTGGTGAGTCTGGCTCATGAGTCTCCTCCAGAGGCAGGAGTCCCTCTGAGCTGTTTCCCTCTGGGCTGTAATAACTCCCCTGTTTCAGTCACTCCAGCTCAGGTCAGCTGTCTGCGTCAGGAGGTGTTTATCAAAGGACAGGTGGGTGAATCTAAAAATGACATGATGACATGATATTTATGCAGCCATGGATCTACAGACAGAAGATATCGAGCAGGGAGGTTTAACAAAATTCAGCACAATCCTGATGATTTGTTTGTACATGACTGTGATTTAAAACCTCTGAGAAGTGAAGTGATTACACAGACGGGACTCTTCTGTGGAGGAGTTTAGTCTTCATGAATGTGTCTCCCACCCTTTCTAGGTCACACACCCTCTGTGCAGCGCTGCAGAAACTAGAGCAAAGGTCCAGAGCTCCCTGCAGACTCTGCACCCTCGACACAAGAGGCTGCAGGAGCCCGACTCGTACACCGTGAGTTTCATTTACACAAGCGAATAACCTGCATCCAAACCTGAACTCACAAACGTAACTTCTTTACTGTTATGTAAGAGTGTCGCTCTCTTTCACCAGGTGGCGCTGTCAGAGGAACTCCACAGTCTGGTCACAGAGATCAGGAAAGGAAGTTCCAACAACAGCAACTTTCTTTTAGCGAACTAAATCTGATCCAAACTGGAGCTGCTGTTTTCTGTCTTTTTGACCTCACTCGACTCCAAGTGCCTTCTGTGAAAAAAAAAAAAGGATGTTTGTAGTGAAAACAGTGTGAAAAAAAAAACAAAAACACCCTCTACAGTTACAAAAATACACACACACTTACACACATGAAGCCTAAAGTCAAAATACAAAAACTGTTTTAAGAGCTGAAAAATCTAAAAGGGCGGAGAGTCTTTTATTCTGCTGGAAACTCTGGAAACAAAAACACAGACGGATCATTTAATCTGATAAAGAACAGAGGTAATACGTAGACTTACACTTCAGAGCAGTTCAAACTAAATAATTAATATTTCTGATGGCTGTAAATGTTTAACATCAGTAATGAAAAAAAAAAACAGCTTTATTTTTGAGTACGAGGAGAGAGAGGAGAAATGGAGAGAGTACCCTAACATAGTAAATGCTGAGTCATGCTCCTTTCAGTAAATGTTAAATATTGTAAACACAGGTATTTAGATTATAGATTAAAAACTAGAATTTGTAGTTTATTTATAGATTAAATATCCTGGCCCTGAAGGTCAAACACACAAAGACAAAAATAAAAACATTTCGTCAAACACAGAAAAATTTCATGAAAAATAAATATTTCAGTCATAGCAGAAACATCTCATGAAAACATGCAAAAGAATTTACAAAAACTCTGAAACATTTCACTAAAAAATGAAAAATGTAATTAAAATTAACACAAAAACAACTTCAGCAGAAACAGAAACACTTGACAAAACACCAAACATTCCCTGAATCACAGACATGTTTCAAAATATTTCAGAAAATACAAAAGGTTTAAATTTTACTTCGTGAAATACTTAAAAAATTAAAAATAATACTTTAGACATTTTCTGTTTTTCTGTTACTGTGAACTTCAGGACCACCGTACTTGATCTCCCTAAACCTGAATGAAATCTGAGAACATTTCACAAACGGTCAAAATAAATGTTCATTTAATTATTTAACACATCAACCCTGACTCATTACTAGTTTGTAACATCACAAACTTGCAGGATTTTAGTGTCTTTTTTCACTCTTTATTATCTGTTTCATTTCTTTTGCCTTGTCAAGTATCCTCAGGGATCATTTTAATTCTTAAAACTGCCGTCCTCGGCCGTTTTTAGAAAACAAATTCACACTCAGTCATTTTCCACGACCTGCTGACCCGCAGTGAAGACCCGAAACACTCCGAGACCAACAGCTGGTGAAGATCGAGGAGCGTTTCTGCTGCAGGACGTGTGAGAGAAGTGTTTCTGCGGCTCCTGATTGGTCAGAGGTGGGAGGAAATCTCACATATGGAGCCGATTAGACGAGGGGAGGCTGTGACGACATCTGAGTCTCTCTGAGGTGGTCAGCCCTCGAAGTGGATCTCACACTCTGAGCGTGCAGCCAAAGTTTTGGGACGGGGAGCTCTGCAAAAACGAGAGTCAATAAGGCAAATTTGACAGATTTATAATATGAATGTTTATAATGTAGCTGCTTCAGAAAAGGCTTAATGCTACAGTTGGAGATATAAACAGGGATGTTGACTGTAATTTTAGCTGCGCATCAGAAAACACGTCTTATACAGGTACAGGACATTTCCATTGGTATGTCTCTGCAGACCCAGAGGCTGTAAATCCAGAACTGTAATTCTAGGACCCTTGTTGTTTGTGATGGGACCGACTATTGCTTGTCAAGGATCACATTTATGGTCTCAGGTCACTCGGTGTTACGGTGTGTTTGACCCTAACTTAATTTTATGTCAGAATATCCCTTTAACGGTTATGTCATCACAGGCTCCTGTACGGTCCTGGAGCTGCAGCCTTACAGATGTGTAATCTAGACTTAAAGAGTGTTTATTTTGGTGATATAACTTTAAAAACAACAGGAAGTGGACTGTGCTCGCTCAGTAAATCAGTTCAGTTTACATGAAGGATTTACTGCTGCAGGTAAAGACCGCCTCACACGTCAGTGACCTCGTAGACCTGAACCTCCTGACCTGACTCAGCACCAGAACAGCTGTTTCTTTGTACGGTGGCTGAGAACTGCCACTGCTGCAAATAAAAAAAAGAATGCAAATAAAGAAGTCACAATGGAAGTTACTGATGCAAAAAAAAAAAAAAAAAAAAAAACCTAAGCCCGCTGCAAATAAAAAAGAGTGAGCTAATACGACACCGGCATCCTCCAGTTCAACTTCATACCGACTTCCACTTCTTTGCTCATCTTCTCGCCATCGTCTTCTGTGCCTAAGACGTCATTATTGGTCCCCGGCAGCTCACTTCGCAGTCATTACCTTTTTTTTGTTTATTTGTTTTAGCATCATTAACTTCCATTGTGGCTTTTTTTAAAAATCTGCACCATTCCTTTTTTTATTTGCAGCGGGCTTCAGTTTCTTTCTTCTTTTTTTTTTTTTGCATCAGTAACTTCTATTGTGGCTTCTTTTTTTTCTTTCTTTTATATTTGCAGCAGTGGCATTCCCATTTTTGCATTTTTTTCTGCATTCTTTTTTTGCATTCTTTTCTAATTGTTTTTATTTGCAGCAGTGGCATTCCTTTTTCATTTTTTTGTTTTTTGTGTTCTTTTTTCTGCTTTCTTTTTTTTTTTTTTGCATTTTTTAAATTCTTTTTTGCATTCTTTTTTTACAACAGTGACAGTGTTTTTTTTTTCATTTATTTATTGATTGATTTTCAGCAGTGGCTGTTCTCAGCCACCGTATCTCTCTGCTCTCAGGTACAAAAACAAAAAAAAACTCAATAAGCTCCAGTTTTCCTGAGCTGCAGCTCTCTTGGAGACCAGCTGAGGCCGCTCTGCTCCCTGCCTCCCCCCCGTCTCTCTCTCTCTCTCTCTCTCTCTCGCTCTCTCTCTCTGCTGGTTGCTGCCACTCTCCCCCTCCACCCTCCTCATCCTCCCTCAGATATACCACAGCAGCAGCAGCAGCAGTACGGGGAGGAGGAGGAAGAAAAAAAAAATCTTATCAAGCTTTTCCGGTCTGCTAGCCTTAATTTCCTCTCAAGACCTCTGGCGTTGGAGCTGAGGGGGGACGGAGAGGGAGAGAGAGAGAGGGGGAGAGAGAGAGAGGGGGCGATCCAGAGCGAGGAGGAGAAACTGGGGCAGTCTCCACCACAACCCCGCACGCCTCTGCACGGACAATAATGCATCCTGTCGGCGGTGTAACGTGCTCGGAGAGGAGGAGGAGGTGGCTGAAGAGGAGGAGTGTGTGACCGGAGAGCGGAATGGTTCGGCGGATGGGAGCGCACACGCTTCACGCCGCGGCCGCTCCGAGCTCCACCGACCGCACCGCGCGTCTCTCCGTCCCCGTGAATCCGTCACCGATCGCCCGCTGATGCCCGTCCTCCTCTCCGCCGCCCCGCTGCGCCCACCTCCGGTCTGTACTGTTTGTGCGAGTCTCCATTACATAACCCGGCGTCTTTAGCCGCTTTCCCCGATTTTCAGTCCTCCTCGGCGGCCGTCCAAGCCGGATTCAGAGCCGGACTGTGTTGGCTTTTTGCTGTCGTGGACTAGCAGGAGGGTGGAAACCTGAGTCCAGCGGTGATGAGAGCTCACTCCGGGTGGATTTCGCTGGTGTGCTGCCAGAAGCATCTGGAAAGGATAACAGAGGGATCCACTCCCCCTCCAGAGGACCAGAGGATAATCCACATCTCAGAGTTTTGTTCTGTGTTTCAGCTCTGAGTGCTGTCCTCCAGTTTGGGTTTTCATGTAGAACTGCTTCAGACCTTCTCCTGCCCTGAGTGGGTCACTTTGAACTGGTGCATTGAGTTCCTGTTTCTGCACTGAGTCCCTTTTAGCTATGCAGTGAAGATGTGTGCAGCCAGGTTCAATGGCTGTGCAGAGGAGGCCACCGCTGCTGGAGCTGCTGCAGGGGCTCCTGGTCCTGTCACAGCCTCCAGGATGCTGGACTGGACGGAGGCCGGTCCACGCATCCTCCACAGCCTGGAGATGGGGACGGTGATGACCGTCTTCTACCAGAAGAAGTCCCAGCGGCCCGAGAGGAGGACCTTCCTGATCAGACAGGACATGAGGCAGATCGTGTGGTGCCGAAACCCGGACAAGATCGAAGGAGAGGGTGAGTGTGATGAGAGGGGCCTCATGGGGGGTCTCTGGTGAAGTTTCCGGGCTTCAGTCTGAGGTTAGATGACTGACAGTAGATCTGTGGTCGCAGAAGAACCACAGATCCACTGTCAGGACAAGTGTTCGACTAAAATACGACTTTGTCTCTGCTTGAATTATCCTCTTTGACAATCGTGCTTCATCATCAAAAGCGACAAAGTATTGTCTTAAAAAAACCACAAAGCAACTCGAGACCGACTAAGTGACACCAAATGACCGAAAGGAAGCTTCAGACCACTTCAGAGAGACACCAGACGACCAAAAACAGATGCATAAAAAAAACACAAACAGATGCAAATCAACGCCAAAGATGCAAAAAAAAAAAACATCCTGAAGGTGAGACTTGATGGAGAAATGAAATGACGACAAATAACACAAAGACGCAAAATAAAGCAGCTCGAATGGCACTAAATTGTCCCTTTAGAACAAGTAGAAAAAGCAATGCATAATCAATTAATCTAGTAAACTGCATTACCTATTGGTATTTTTCCTAAAAAGTATTAATATAAACAGAGTCCCAGAAGTACTTTTTAATAAAGTAACATTATTTTCTGACTTTTTAATTTCAGACATGAACAGAAGTCGCTTTAACAAACAATAAAAGGTGTATTTATTTACATTTGGATACCATGAATGAAATCAAGTTCAGCTCTTCTCTCTGATGGATTAATGTCAAGTCTGATGCCTTCACTCACAGAGCCAGGTAAACAATTAACTCATTCAACAGAAGTATTGGATATCGGCCAATATGCTCAGACCAAGTATCGATATCGGATCGGAAAAAAATGGATCGGTGCATCTCTGATTTGTGGAGTCACCGAGTCATCTCCACGCCATGTATTTGTTCTCTGTCACTGAACCAGCTGCTTCCAATGAGCAGCCAGGAAGGTGAGCTCATCAGTGAAGGCACCTGGTTCAGTAACTGAGCAGAACAAATACATGGCGTGGAGGTGACTTGGTGACTCCACAATTCCCATCTCTAATAACGCCAATAACCATCATGTGCATTACTTGGTGCTAGACTCGAGTTGAACTCAGATGTTTGTGTCACTGTGGACAAAAGCATCAGCTGAACATGAGCGTCCCCAGAAATGGATTTGTTAACCTTCAGAATAAGAGTTTGAGGAATGGACCAGGTCTTTAGAGAGTCCAGTCCAGTTTATCCTGGTTCTGATACTGTGGCGGTTCTACGTTGTGTCTTTGTTTGTTTTATTTTAGAAAAATAAACAAATAAATAAATAAGATGAAGACAGTAAAGTGAAAAGACCAAAAAGGAAAAACAGAACTATCTTAGGGATGACAAGAAAACTTTAGAAACACTAACAAATGAACACAGATATAAATGTACTTCATATTATTTATCGCACATTAGCACACAGCAAAAAGAAGTGAGACTACCATGTAAACATTTAGTGCAAAAGGATAGACAGACATAGAATATAGAGCGAACAGAATCGCTGTGTAACTGTGTACGATATTAAGAAAAAGAAGTCCTTCATCAGATATCCAACCAGTTAATTTGTCAATATCAGAACCAATATCCGATCCAAATATCAGATCAGTGCATCCCTAATTGGCGTCTTTTAAAATACTTGTATATTCGTTATTTTCATCGATTAAATGTTTAAGCGCTCATGAAAAGACGGGACTATAATTTTCTTAAATTTCAAAAGGGTCTCTGCAGATTAAATGTAGTGAAGACCTGTGCACTCAAAGTTAATGTGGTTTGATTTCAGAAAAGTTAGTCTTCCAGATAATGTGGTCCAAACTAGATCCTGATCTGGTCTAATCTGATCACAGCAGGTCTGCTATAAGGAAGTAATGAACCAGCAGACTTTACTGCATTGACAGGCTGATGCAGTATCTAGGATTTAACCCATCTGTGTAGTTAGCAGGTCATTATAGTTTTTTATGACTGCTGATAAACTTTTATCAGCAGTCATGAAACTCTGCTGGTCTGCTCGTGTCGCGGTCTCTTCAGGGAGACACGTCCTGACCCCGTGACCTCTGCTTCCTCCTCGTCAGCGTCCCAGTAACTCTCCGGGCAGAAGAGTTCTCATGCTGCTGCTGCGTTTACTGACTGGTTTACTGCAGACCTGGTGTCAGTGGCTGCTGTTCCTTTGAATCGGCCTGTCGGAGCACAGTTCAGCCTGTCTGGGGTGTGGAGGCTATTGTCTGCGTCCTGGATTTTGTGGCCCGGGGGAGGATTTGTTACAGTGTCTGTTAGCGCAGGCCGAGAAAACTTATGGCATTCACAACTGGCACGATAGAGTTTCCCTCTGTCTGTCTGCCATGTGTTATTCTAACTCTCCGACTTTATGGTAACTTTTCAGAAAAAAGAAAAACTCTCCTCCTGCACTGAGAGAGAGAAAGAGAGAAAGGTGAAGCTCTGCATGTCTGTCTTTGTCGACTCTCGAGTATTTGCTCCTGCTGTTGGATTTGTGATGTGTGTCGACGGTGCGTTCTTCTTGAAAACAGCCGTTTACTGTAATCTAGGGCTGGGCGATATGGGGAAAAGTTTATCAGGATATATCTTTTTCATATCAGTCGATATCAATATACATCACGATATAAAAAATGACATTTAACCGTGTTTATTGGTCGCATGTATTTTGCAGTACAATAATCTACTGCACCTGTGAGGTCTTCGTGTCTTCGTGACGTTTTGTCGTAAGGCGTTGCGCTGTGAAAGTGCTATGGTTGTGTGTAGCTGCTGCCTGCTACTACGCAGTTGTTTGCTAGTTGGTTCTTATTCAGCACATGATTGGTTCAGCGTGAAGTGGACCCAGAGAAACTCCCCTTTACATTGGCTATTCGTTAAAGGTGGGAGAAAAAATGGACTAATCGATTTTTTTTTCAAATTTAAGAATAAAGGTCCTTACACACCAGAAGATGCAAATGTACGACGTGAAATAACGAAATATTCGGAGGCGAATTTTGAAACACCTGACTATACATATCAAGCATGATGCGATTTTGCGACTTTCCGGGGGGAGAAAAGATGCGTCTCAGGTGGAAGCAAGAAGACTGACCCAACAGCAGACTGAGTGTTTTCAGTTCTGATTAGACTCTAGTGTTGAGATGTCTGTCTGTCATAATAGCATGTACTGAGTCTGGGCCAGTAACAGATAAGAACATTAAACTATAATCCATAAACGTAAAGTAACAACCGAGACCTAATGGTGCTGTGACAGCAACACGAGTGGAAATACATATGGTATGTTGTATCTGAACAGGTTAGCTTACGAGCTAAAGTTACATTAGCACAGATGAAAGTTGAAACAAAGATGTGTATCAAACTGTTAAAGCACACAAACCATCGTCATATGAGAAATCCGACGCTATGACTCTCCACAAGTTGTCCTTCAGGTCGTTATCTTTGTAATGTTTGTGTCTTATATCAAAAATCACTCTGTTCTCCGACACGTAAACAATCAGCCGGTCGGCCATGTTGGATATACCGGTGAATCAAACGTCGCAATAACATGAAATCTGATTGGTCAGAAGTGGACACACAGTATGAGAAACTTTTGAAAATTCAACCGTGATCCGAAAAAATAAATGCTACAATATCGGGAAAACGTCGCTGATGTTAACGCTTGTATTGACAGGATACGGGTTCGAAAAAAAATATTGACGTACGAAATAATCGCACGAAAAAGACGTTCCCGGTATGAAAGGACCTTAAAAATCGGGTTAAAAATCGACAATATAGTAAAGTTGAATAGAGGAATTGAATCGTGAGAAAAGCATATCGTCCCAGCCTTACAATCCATGTAGTCTACCAAGACATGGTAGAGTGCCGACTATTGAAAAGCATACTGGCCATGTTTTATGTTGATATTAAGGGAAATTAAATTTTCGATATATATCGTTGTCGTTTTATCGTCCAGCCCTAATGTCATCTTAGTGTCTCTTCAAGATTTGCATCAAGCAGAAACCTCCGATCTTGAAACCTGCAGTCTTTAAGAGTCCAGTCAGTAAACTCTGGACCAGTTTGGATGTTTATTTACCGACGGTTATTTACTGTTATTTAGTTTGTGTTGTTTACAGTGGGATTTAAAAATGGCGGTTCGTGTTCCTGAATCAGCTCTTGTGTCCAACTCAGTTCTGGACCATTTTCTGTAACCACCCCCCCCATCCTCCCCTCCCCTCTGATCACTCGGGGACTAATGGCCGCCGCACACACATGTGATTCCTCTCCGCTCAGGAAACCTTGTCAATTATTTATCCATAATTATAAACTGCATAAACGGCGCCTCTGCTAATCCCAGCTGAGTTTTAGCGTGCACGAAACCCCGACACACGCCTACGCCGCTCGATCGGACCATCTGAATCCCTGACACACACACACACGCACACACACACACACACACACACGCTTTCATAAGCCACAAACGCCCCTCTACAAACAACCTCCCACTGGACGGTCCGAGCAGCACATTCCAGGAACCCAGCGGATCTCTCCTCCACTTTATCTCCCACCGCTCTATCTCTCCCTCTCTCTCTCTCTCTCCTTCCCTCCCTCCTCCAGCTGTCCTTTCCCTCTTTCCTCCCCCCACACTCCCACCTTCACACCCGTCTCATTTTTCAGCTCTTCCCTGACCTCCCTCTTCACTTTCCTCTCCGTCTGTTTTCTTTCACTTTCTTTTTGAATGACTGATGTTTTGCTCTTTTGTTCCCATAAGTCTCTCTTGTATTTATCTAAGCGACCCCTCCTCCTCTTCTCTCTTGCTTTTCCTCCCTTTGTTTTTGTTGCTTGATATTTTTTTTTCTACTGTTTGTTTTGAAATGAAGTTTCTCCCCTCCCGCGTTGCCGCTCGCTCACGCACGCACACTTGGAATCAGCGTTTCTCCCTGAGACGATGAGCGCTCTGGCAGCGGTGGAGGTATTAAATCCTGAGGCGTAGGAAGCGCGGGGTTATCAGGGAGTGTCTCCCTTCCTGTCTCTGATTGAAGGACTCGCTGGCTGGCTGCAGGAAAACAAAACCTCCAGCATCTTCAGCAGGAAGCTCAGACATGGACCACAAATGAGGCGTGAGATGCCTCCAAGTCTGGGAGGAGTTAGATCCAATCAGGAGGGGTCATTAGGGTTCACCAAAACGTACTCGGAGTGAAGAAACCTGCTGCAGAAACACGAAACTCAGACTTTGTGAACTTTGATTTCTAAGTTACATCAAGATTAACCCCCAATTTCCACCTCATCTGGAATGACTACGAAAAAAGGCCGTATCCTCCGATCGCAGCTGATTGTAACCGTTCAGGTCAATGTGTCAATTTCCACCGACGTCTTTCCATTCCGCTGCGGATCGCTGGACTCCTCAGCTGATCGCAAGAGTTCTATTTTTTCCGGACATCGGAGCATGGCCGATAAATTCAGCACAGATTACCAGATACTGATTCTAGAAGTCTAGAAGTAGATTTCCTCCTCTGGAAGGTCACAATCTACTGCTTTTAACCTATGTAACCAACCTATGTGGCTATAGAGACAACTTGTTATTGCGCGACTGCACGTGAATCTGAAGGTTATTGTGAGTTCCTGCGATTCTTGCTGTGCATAATTTGCCACAAAATTCGCCTCACAAACGGATCCGGTAGGAATTGGCAGACGGCGAGAATAGTTCCAGATTGGAGCTGTTTCGAAAGCGGTGGAAATCCCGGGTAAATATCAACCGATTTGTTTTTTTTTTTTTAGGGTCGATACATATTAATCAAGGAATCAAGAAAACTGATAACCAATATTTAGAAGCTATATTCATTTAAATGTTTTTTTTGGTGTTTTTCTTACCTCTGCATTCTGCATTCCGTCTGTAAAGCTGCACCTTGAGTGTTGATTGGCTGTCTGTGTAGCCAATCAGTGGGGATTGTAGGCGGGACATTGTTACACAGCGAAGAGTGGTGACTTCAGGCCGAAAGACGCGACTGTGTAAGAGCCAAACGAGCGCGTTTTAAAATAAACGTATCTTATCGACTATCGGTGAAAAAACAGCCGATGCCGATTATTGTAAAAAAAAGTAAAAATGGGCCGATATTATTGGCCTCGCCGATTATTGGTCGATCATTAATTTCAGACTTCCCTCTTTGTTGTTTGTAACTCGTCTTTTTGCCACAGTGTCAACAGGCAGAGGTGAAAGGTGCTGAAGTGCTTTGCATGGATGAGTTTTTCTGGTCATGTGAGATCTGGTTACAAACTATAAATAAACTATAAATTGCACAGAGTGATGAAGTGTGTGTGTGTGTAAAGATGGGAATCGACATAATTTACATTTCATCCTAATGTTTCCCTTAACAATTCTTTTCTTCTGGGTGCCCTGAAAAACGATTTCGCAAATTCTAGTCAATGTGAACAAGAACAGAGAAAAGTAGGCAGAAACGATTTAAAGTGTGGCTTAATTTTACTAAGAAAAACGACAACTTTTGTAGAGTGGTGAGAACACGAAAAGGTGGAATCATGCTAAAACATTTGTCAACGGGGCACGTCATCAAATACACACATTTTGTTTCTGTTATCAGAGACTCGATAAAATTTTGAGTTAACGATGAAAACCTAAAGCCGACCTTTTTTTCTTTAAATCAAAGAAAAGCATCGATACAGGAAACGTTAAAGAATTGAATCGATAAGCAGAATCAATAATGGCATCACTATCGGTAAAATCTTATCAATACCGATCCCTAGTGTGTGTGTGTGTGTGTGTGTGTGTGTAAATTCTACTTTTGCTCCAGGTCAGTTATCACCCTATTGCACAAAATTGGCCTAAAATGACGTGTGTATGCATGAACTTCTGCATAAACAGACGTGCAGATGATCAGCATTGACACTTTTCACCGTTTCGTTTATCTGAAGGTTGTAAATCAAACGTTCAAACGGGTCACTTGAGTTGGAAAATAGTTGAATCTAACTTTAAAGTTCACAAACCCTCCGTAGGGCTCTAACCTGACTTCCTTTTTAGCTCCTAAAAAACTCGATCTTATCTCCTTCATCCGTCAGTCCTCCTCGTTCAGCCGCTTCATAACTGTTTATAGGCCTTTTATTTTCTACTCTCGACTTCAGCCGCTGTGATTTATCATCTCGGAGTAGACTCTGCCATCTGGTTCGCAGTGATGTCACCGGCAGCTGTACCAGGAACAGTTTGTTTCACTGGAACTGCACTGCAATTATCATCGGCTGGTGGTTTCAGGTCAGCGGGGCACACGGCTCGCGTTGCGTTCAGGGACCGTCGTTCAGCTCCTGAAACGGAGACTTCAAAGCGTCTTTTCTTTTCTGTTTTCTTTCTTATAAAAGTGTCTCTCACTCTGATGCTCCTCCAGTTGGCCCGACGCACGTGTCTTTTCAACTTTCATCAAAGTTTGTGTGAGTGCGTTTGTGTGTGTGTGTGTGTGTCTTTATCGAAATCATGTTTACAGCCTGGATGAGGATCTGAGGGAAGGGAGGATTCGAGCTCCGTGTGTGTGTGTGTGTGTTCATGTGTGTTTTTGCTCCTTATCTATCAGTGTCTGTGTGCAGAGTCGAGAAAAAGGCAGAGTGTGTGTGTGTTCGTGTGTGTGTATTAACACAGTCATGGTGAGCGGAGTGTGACGTTTGGCGGCCGAGCATGTGTTCGCCTCATTGTCCAAAGTCCAGACTAAATGGCAGGAAGTAATAAAGGCAGAGAGCGGAGGAAAACAAATCGCGGCTCCTGAGATATTTTTATTAATAGTTTTGGGGGAAAATGAGTCAACGCTCGTTCTGAGGGACTTTGGACTTCGTCAGACCTGGTGTGGTGATGGTTTCGTCGAAAACCAGAGTCGACGCAGCGTTACAGGATTTTAGTAAATAAACAAAAACACCAAATCGTTTCTTAACTCAGAGAAAAACTCAGAGCGCTGGTTATTTCCTGCTGGCGTTAAAAAAGATCACACCCTGTTTAAAGCCTTGAGCATTTTTGTGGTCGCAGACTACTTCCTTTACCAGATGCGACCATATTTGGAAGTGGGAGTGGCTACTTCTTATTATATCCCTCTCAGTTTGCAGGACTTTGTAGTAATTTCTTCTTAATCTCTTATACAACGTTGACTTTATCCCGGTCGTCTTTAGCATGGCGTTGAATCTAAATTTACAGCCCAGGCCCCTCTACCTGTGGTGTGTCATGGAGGTCACGGAGGTCATGGAGCTTTGATCGCGGCCTTCAGCTCATCTTTTTTTTTTATGGGTCATGTGCTTCTTTTCTTCCTCTTGATAAATATCTCACATATCCTCATAGAGTTCAGGTCAGGTGAGTCGGTTTGCCGATCAAGCGCAGTAGTTTTAGAGTCAGGTGATCACTGATAGGAGTTTTGGCACAGTCTCTAATCTTCAGGTAGACTCGATAAAAGAGGAAAACAGGTCAGCAGGACGACGCTTTTTTGTGTGTCAAAATTCACTTTTTAATTGGGTTGGGTACAGAGAACTGTGTTTTATTTGGAACCAGTTCCTAACATCTGGTTCAAGAATCATTAAGCAAATCTTTTGCTGCGTTCGAGTTACCTCAGAAGTCAGAAGTCTGAGCTGAAATTGACGTCAGACCGGAGTTCTGAAGCATTTTAGTTACCAAGTCAGAAAAAGTCAAAATCAGAGGCGGAAACAAGATGGCTACATCTACGACAGTTATTTTAGTGCTTGCCTTATATTTGGACAAATAACTTCCTTAAATGTAGCCATCTTGTTTCTGCCTCTGATTTTGACTTTTTCCGACTTGGTAACTGAAACGTTGGGAACTTGGGTGTGACACTTCTGACCTCTGAGGTAACTTGAACACTTATTTCTTTTGGTTCTGAGTGCCCGCACTACTTTGTTTTTGGGCGTGTATTACTCCGCTTGGCGTTCTCTGTGCGTCCGCTAGCAAGAAAATCACCCGTCTGAACATGGACCGCAAAAAAAGGCTTTTAATTTGAAAGAGGAGGGCGGAGTAGCGCAACATCTGCGAAAAAACAATTTCTGCCAGAGGAGACATGTCACGGCCGGATTCATGGAGTAGAAATAACAGAGGGCCCCGTCTTTGACGCGTCGCACCGCTCTTCCTCTAACCAATCAGAATCAGATAAGAAAAACGATAAATCACGTCTGTCGTCTGCGAACATTGAAACGGTGAATGAATTGTATCGTAAACGATGAGTCGGCTTAAATATCCATGAATCAAAACAAGGAATCGAAGCTGAAATCGTTCAAATTTAAACAATTCCCAACACGACTTCTTAAGTATGTAAAGGACAAGATAACCAAAATTCGTCAACATGGGGCGCCAAAGTTAACACAAACCCAGAGTTCCTGTCAGCTTTAAGAATAAAAAGATCTGAAAATGTCCACTCATCGTCCTTTGTGCGTGCTGATGTTTTGCTCAGAAGCCCCCCGTCCCCCTCCTCATGTTCAATTTGGACACGTTTCCATCTGAGGAGATCAGACCCTCAGATCGTTCCATTAATCTCCTGCCAAACCTGTTCTCACTGTCAGATAGAAACCACATTTCTGGACCTCCTCTGCTGTTTGATTCGAGGTTATATTTAACCTGAAGGAGACGGATCGTCTTCGGCCTGATGAAGAGGAGGAGGAGGAACAGCCTGGAGTGAACTTCACTCTGCTGTCCACCTGTGGAGCAGAAAACAGGGAGAACAAAAACGTGGAGAAGTCTCAGCTCTTTGGCTGTTTCTCCACTTTAATCTGAAGTTTCTAAATTAACTCTCTGCGCCTCATTTTAACGGACATCTGCTGTGTCCACGAGCGAGGCTCTTCTCTGTGGGTGTGTCGCCTGCTGCAAGCGTGGAGTCCAGAGCTGACATCATCCTCTGAGGTCTGTCGCTCGCTCTCGGCCGCGCTCTGAACACGAGACACCAACCCCGCTTATGTTGATTTATCCCCGACGGAAACATGAGGATTAAATCTGACACAGACGCAGAAACGTCCACAAAGATGATGAACTAGAAGAAGGACGAACTTCTGCTGAAATAACCAGAATTTTGGAAATCTGGGAAAAAGATTCAAAATCTAAAACTTTAAAAGTGTTTTTAATGTCTTTCAGGTCCTAAAAACCTATCTCTTAACATATATATATATTTTTTTTTACTGGTTCCTGGTTGTGATGTGGTTTGACAACACAAACGAAGCTCGAGTGTTGTTGCCGATAAAAATGTGAGCGACGCTGTGAGATGAACAGCTGGAGGAAAAGGCAGAAACTTTTTTAGATAAAAGATTTTAAAAAAGAAGGTTGAGCTCAAACTAGGTATCTAACTGTCATTATCTACTCTGCAGCTCTTAAATGGAAAAACAGAAGATAAAATAACTCAGCTGAGGAGTTTGAGTAAACCTACAGAGACAGAAAAAACAGCAGAATTAAACCCTAATTCATATATTCAGAGTTCAGGCCGTGATTTTCGACTCTTTAAGTTTCTCCTGAAGTCAGTTTCAGGTTTTTTTTTCTTCCTCAAAGTCTCTAAATTCCCTCGCAGGTTTTCTTGACCTTTGAACTCTCAGGTTAGCGGCGTCCGTCTCCGTGTCGAGGAGGAAACGTTACAGAAAGAAAAAAACGTTTGTCTGGCTTCTGCTGCTGAAAACCTCTGCAGAGTTTTCAAGCATCCTGTCAGTGACAGCTGAAATGTTTGTGTGTCTGTTTTTGGACTCTGTGGAGAGCTAACTTACACACACACACACACACACACACACTGAACATTTGTTGAGTTTTCCGGCAGCAGATTTCTGTGTAATTGGCAGGGAAACGAACAACGTGCCAAACTGTGATTTATGGTCGTGCATATTTGTGTTCATGCAACATTATCCTTCCTTCCTCCCTCCCTCCTCTTCTCTCCTTCCTCCCTCCTCTCCCTCCTTCCCTCCCTCCCTCCCTCCTCCAGTCGACATCCGAGAGATCCGGGAGCTGCGGTTGGGAAAGGGCTCCCGTGATTTTGAGCGTTACCCGGAGGAAGCCCGCAAACTGGACGCCGCCCACTGCTTCATCGTGCTCTACGGTCTGGAGTTTCGCCTCAGGACGCTCAGTGTGGCCGGTCAGTGTGTGGCATGTACTACATGGGGTCAAAGGTCAAAGATAACATAGATAACCTCTTATCTCTCGTCTGCCTGTCTGACCTTGAGTTTCCACGTAAACAGATCTGATTTATAATCACGTTAAGGAGCTAAACACAGACGAAAATCTGCAAAAATCATGAAAAACTTTGAATTAATGAATAAAAACTTTTTATTTTTTATCTTTAAATTAAAAATGTCAAACTTTAATTTGCAGAATAAGAGGTCCACTATAATGTTGTTTTGTCAATATTCTTCTCGGTGTCCTCGCCTGCAGCCTTCAGTGAGGAGGAGGTCAACATGTGGATCACTGGTCTTAACTGGCTCATGATGGACACTCAGAGGGCGCCGGCACCTCAACAGACGGACAGGTGGGTACCTGTGTGAACGAGTATCTCATAAATCCACAAATTCACCCCAAAACTGACCCAAAGAAGAATTTAAAAAAGCCCCAAAACTCTTCAGAAGGGGACTGGAGTGTGGGCGCTGATGTTGCAACATTTGTCTGTGCAGTTTAATCTCGATGTGTATTTGAATGTTTTGTGCAGCTTTTTTGTGAATTTTACTTTTTGCATTCACTAAAATTTTCATGCTGTTGACCTTCTGGGCCACCGTAGATGAGATCTGTCAATAGAAAATACTCCTGCAGTCTCGTCCTCTTTGTGAGATGAGTGAAAGTGCTGCAGATGCACAAACGTTATAATGTCCTGTCCTTTCAAAAATAAAGAGTTGGACTATTTCCCTGCAGAAATGATATTTACTTTAACATCCTCTTGAACAAACCTTCAGTGTATTTATTGTCCTTTAAAAGTCTCAGCTCCCTCTGCATGTGCATCAGCAGCGCTCTCATGTTGCTCTCTGCAGCGTCCTGGACGTTAAAGGGTTACGGGCCGGTCTGAGCGGAGGGCAAATATTTGTTTTGGCGTGAAAATATTTACTCCAGAGGAGCGTGTGAAGGCAGTTTGGGCGTCTGCGGTGTGAGCGGGGAACACAGCGCGGCTGTGAGGATGTGGAGGAGAGTTTAGTTGTTGATATAATGCGAGCGCTCGATGTTTGGAAACGCTCGGAGGAAATGAAAAAGCTAATTTAGTCTGTTTATGACAGTTGTTTAAACTGTTTGGGGAGTCGATTCATCAGATGAATGAGATTTTAGTTTCACTTTTTTTTCCTCTCTAACACGATCAGGCTCCGGCTCAAACTCTCAGTTTGGAGTTGAAAGTTGTAACTTTCTGTCAAACTGGAAAACTGCTGCTGCTGTGTGATAATCTGACATTTTAAAAAGTTTAAAAACTGTTTCAGAAAGAGTTTACCGAGCCTGACGGAGGTGATGAGCAACAGTTATCAGATATTAAAGCCGTGTGTGAACTAGTTTAAAAATTTTGGAGTCAGTCTGATCGATTTTGTCAGTTTGATTAAAAGTGAGATGAATTTCTGGACTTTGGTGTTGTGTTGGTCAGAGAGGAGGGATTCTGGTCGACTGTCTATTCTGATAAAATCAAAGTGAAACAGCGACTTCAGATTCATGTCAGAGGGGAGAATAATATCTGAAATAAATATCTGAAATAAGGTATCATGGTTGAGTCAAAGTTTCAACACTTTATTAGGGGTGGGAGAAAAAATCGACACAGCATAGTATCGCCATATTTCGTCTGGTGATAAATCATCGTCTCATTTACCAAGTATCGATTTTTTTCAAACTAATTGCTAATATGAAGTCAAATCTGTGATAATAGAAAAATAAAATCAACTGTTTGTCCAGTGAGTTTGGCAGAGGTGACATCATAGTGCAGAAGAAAGTTAGTACAACATGTATAAATGTAAGGTTTGCAAGATGTGCTTCATGAAAATGAAATACAGCCTAAATAAGACAACGATAAAGGAAAGACAAATTCTAGATTAGCTAAACAGTTGAAAAAATTGTATAAATCGCAATATATAGTATTGCAAAATGTTAAATATTGCAATAATATCAAATTGTGGCCCAAGTATCGTGACAACATTGTATCGTGATTCCCACCCCCACAATTTATATGAACTCATCTCTTGTTCTGCATCATAAACACATTTATTTAACCTTATAAATCACGGCCCAAGTATCATGATAGTATCGTTTCGTGGCTCAAGTATCGTGATAATACCAATTTGTGGCCCAGATATTGTGATAATATCGTATCATGGCCCAAGTATCGTGATAATATTCCATCGTGATTCCCAGCCCTACAATTTATATGGACTCACCTCATGTTCTGCTTCATTAACACATTTATTTAACCTTATAAATGCCTCTTTATAACAGGTGATAACAGCTCATAGCAATGTTGGTTAAGTTTTATAAGCAGTGAGCATGATGCCTTATAAGGAATGGTTTATAATGCGTTTAACCTTTAACACAGGAGAAAAACACAATTATAAAAATACATATTTCTTAACTGACAGCCATGAAATACTGCTTATAAGGTCTTTGTATTATTATTGAAGCTCTTAAAGTATAACGCTTCATAATTATATTTATATAAGGCAGCATGCTTTCTGTTTATACTCCACTATACACTGTTTTTAATGTTTTTAATCACTCATCACGGTTGTTTTAAAGCCTTACAGATGCTTTTATAAGGTTTATAAATATCAAAGTTCAGCAGGATGAGATTTTTTTTAGAAGTTTGTAAAAAACAAGATAAGCAAAGACTGCTCTGTCCACAGGGGGGCGCCAAAACTGACACAAACTGAAAATCTCTCACAGGAACTTTTAATTATATAAGAAAGAAATAGTGAGCGGTTACTTTTTGAAGTGTTTTATGTGTAAAAGAGCTAAAACTGTTTCTTTTGAGTTTATTCCAATCTGAACATTTTAGCTGTATGTATGCGTCGATGTAAATATGCCGATATTTATTCTAGCATGAAGTACATAACATGTCTGCAGGTCTCCCTTTATTCACTCGTGCTGTTGTTGTTGTTTCTCCATCCTCCTCCTGCTTGTAGGTGGCTCAGGAAACAGTTTGAAGCCATGGACAGGAGCCACGAGGGCAGGTGGGTCACTCTCCACAAACACGTCAACACCCAATCGTAGCTGCTTTAACGGCGGCCCCTGATGGATGCTCATAGGCCGGCGGAGCGTGGAGGTGAAACCAGATCCAGATGTGATCAAAGAGCTCTGTCAGGTCTCCGCCCTGACCTCAACCTCCGCAGCTATCACACACGCTCTCTCTGTCTCCTCGCCGCCGTGCCGGCATTAATACCTCCAGGCTTCTGTTTGGGTGGAAGCCGCTCCAGGACAAACAGCCTGCCATCGCCTGATAAGCGGCAGGAAGTGATGCGATGGGCTGGGAGAGGGCAGCTTCCTGTCTCCTGTGAAAATAGTAACAGTTACAGTAGCCAGACAGAGAGAGGAGGGAGGGAGGGAGGTGAGAGAGGATCAGAGCGGGCAGGAACGGCGGTCATTGACCCCGAAAGATCGTCTGCAGCGCGGAGCGGTGACCTGGACATTTTTTTCTCTTTCTACCTGCGTTCCTGGCTTCCTTCCTCGCCCTCTTACCGACTGATGATGTTTTCATGTGTTTGTTAGTGAAAGTGATTCTCCATCTGCTGTTTGTCCCAGAAACAAAAAAAAAGACACACAAGGGAAGAAGATATCGTCAACTTTACAAAACTCACCGCAAGAGCCAACATGCAGTTTTAGTCTTTTATAAATCCAAACCAAAATCAGTGTCACCACAGAGCATGACCCTTAATTTTTTAACTTAGGAGCAGACAAAGAACTTTAGGGGCAGAATGAAAATTGATCAAATAATGTTTGTCTTATTGTCCAACCATAGTACTATTATTTGAAATCAATTTTAGGTCAATTGGTCACATGACATGGAAGTTATTGAAGGAAAACAGCCTTTTCTGAGAACATCAACCGGTAATTTATTGACGGTCCCTTATTCAACACCGACGTTGACAGTGAGGGTGTCGAGTAGATTTAACTGCGCTGCTGTTGTTATTCCCGGTTATGAAGAGTTGGAAGACACCGGTAGATCCTCAGAGAATGTCCGTCAGATATCCAACCTGAAACTAACTTCACCGCCGTATTTACAGGAAAATATATCCAATCTAAAACTAACTTCACCGCCGTAATGTCAGGAAAACACATTTTTCACCTTGGCTGATTTCTTTTTTATGCGCACATGTGCCTCTAAATACATTTTACAATTCGTACACATCTATTTTTATTCGTAAATGTGAGTTAAATGGTCGCACTGTCGAGCCCTGCACCAAATTTAAGGAAAGGTGGGAAATACTGAAGAGGGGAAGTTTGTCAGAGGTTAAAATTGATGCACAGGGAACAGCACATCACACAGCAGCAACACCTTAAAACAGCTGCACCGTCCTGCACAACCTCTCTGCACATCCGACCTGTTATTTAGTAAATAAATGTGCATTATCGATGAAAAAAGTGCAAATCATTCCTCACAGTATTCAGACGGCATGTAGAAAATGAAAATATCATTCAAAGTGAGCTAAACAACATAAAGGTCAGCAGGATCCAAACCGTCAGTGGAGTTTGCTGCCTGAAAATGTAGAGTCCTTAAGTGAAAATACTTTTCAGTCGTACGGCGCCATCTCCTGGTGAAAACGTCCTCTCTCTTTTGTTTGTTTTTCAGCATCACGGTGAAGGATGTGAAAACTCTGCTGCCTCAGATCAACTACAGAGTCCCCAACATGCGCTTCCTCAAAGACAAGCTTCAGGTCAGAGCGGAGAAGGACTCTGATACCTTCAGGTCTTTGACAGCTTCTCTAACTTCTCCTGGATCTTGTTTCCTCAGGAGGTGGAGGCCCGGAGCGATCTGTCCTACCCTCACTTCGCACAGCTCTACAGGACGCTGATGTTTGACGCGCAGAAGAGCGTAAGATCCACCTCTGAGGTTTCAAATTGTTGTTGAAGAAGAACTCAGATCCTTCACTGAAACAGAAGAAGGTTTTTCTATCATAGTGAAGTATCTGAGTTCTTCTGCGCCCACACTGTCTGCACCTGCTCACTTTGTCCTTAACTGTTTATGCCTCACCTGGCTCCTCCCACCTGTCTGTCACCTGGCTCCTCCCCTTTTTATCCTCAGATTATTGAGCAGCTGGAGCTCTCCTTCCCTCTGCGGTGAGTCCCTCCACCTTCACCTCCTCCTCCTCTTCCTCAGTGTCCGCTCCTCCACCTTCTAGTTCAGCATGTCCACGTGTTTCTAAAGCTCTGAATTGTACTTGTGTGTTTTTTAAAATCATGAAGTGATGAGGATTTGTTTTCTCGTGTTTGCAGGAACGTGGACAGACCGGAGCTTTGTCAGATCTCCCTCTACGACTTCCAGAAGTTCCTACAGATGGACCAGAAGGTACCGAACACACTCAGGATCAGAAATGCTCCCTAAAATCTGCTCTGTGCTCATATTTTTCTCTCTCCGTCTCTCCTCAGGAGTCCTGGGCGTCAGATCTGGGCCGTGTTCGAGAGTTTCTCATGGCGTACATGAAGGGCGGTCCTCAGCCTGAGCCGATGCTTCAGCTGGACGAGGTAAGATATTAAAGAGACGCACATAAAGATGAGATATCTCGCTCTGATCGTGTCTCTTTGCTGTTTCTGTAGTTCCTGACGTTCCTGTTCTCCAAGGAGAACTCCATCTGTGACGCTCGACTCTCTCCCGTGGTCGCCGATGACATGAAGAGGCCGCTGTCTCAGTATTGGATCTCCTCTTCACACAACACGTACGTTCACTTCCTCTAAGAGATACCAGACGTTGATTTCTTAAAGGGTTCATCTTTCCTGACCTCGTTTCCATGGTTTCCACCTCTCAGCTACCTGACAGGTGACCAGTTTTCCAGCGAATCGTCTCTCGAAGCGTACGCTCGCTGTCTGAGGATGGGCTGCCGCTGTATTGAACGTAAGGACGTCGTTTAAATCATGAAGTAAAGGAAACTTGCGGCGTCCTTCATTCATGAATAAAGTCTGAAAGGATCCACCGCCTCTTTATTCTTCCCTCCTTCACTCAAATCTGTGTTTCTCTGATCGTAGTGGACTGCTGGGACGGTCCCGACGACCTGCCGATCATCTACCACGGCCACACGCTAACCTCCAAGATCAAATTCCTGGATGTGCTTCACACCATCAAGGAGCACGCCTTCGTCACGTCCGAGTGCGTAGATTAAGATTAGTACCCAAAAAAAAACAGCTATACGCATTTTCTTTGTCTCACCCGGTGTCCCCCCTTTAGGTATCCCGTGATCCTGTCCATCGAGGACCACTGCAGCGTGGTCCAGCAGAGGAACATGGCCACGCACTTTAAGAAAGTGTTTGGAGATCTGCTGCTCACTAAGCCCGTTGATAACAGCGCCGAGGAGCTGCCGTCGCCGCACCAGCTCCGCAGGAAGATCCTCATCAAGGTACAAAGATCCCCGATGTGAAAAAAGAAGGTGTCAAATGAGGAAGATGGTGGAGGCAGAGAGGATCGATATCAACAGTGCAACAGTAAATACAGAGAGGTGATGAAAACTGTACGTCCCAACTGAGCGGTTTGAGAGACAGATTAGAAGTGCAGAGGAAGAAATATCAAGATTTTTATGATATTTCTTGTAAACAAGCTTTTCAAACATGTCTGTCTCTGAAGATCTAAATATCAAAGCTCTCCAAGGGTTAAAACAAACTTTAAGGACTTTTATTTTGAAAGGACAATTTCTCAGACTAGTTTGCAGATTTTAAAACTTATTTTATGTTGTCCAGCCAATATTCCAAATTGTTCTTCTTCTTTTTCTTTGTTTACTACCACTTCTTCTACCTCTTCTTCTTCTACTACATCTACTACTTCTTCTTCTGCAACTTCTTCTTATACTACTTTTTTCCTCCTCTTCTTCTTCTTGTTCTACTACTACTTCTTCTACTCCTTCCTTTTCTACTACATCTACTACTTCTTTTACCTCTTCTTTTACTTCTTCTCCTCTACTTCTCCTGCTACTTCTACTTCTCCTGCTACTACTTCCTTCTACTTCTTCTACTCCTACTACTTCTTCTACCTCTTCTTCTACCATTTCTTCTTCTTATTCTTCTTCCTTTTTCTTATACTCCTTTTTTTCTTCTTCTAATTCATCTTTTTCTACCATTTTTCTCCTTCTTGTACTTTTTCTACTTCTTCTTCTTTCTCTTCTTCTTCTACCTCTTCTGCTTCCTCTTCTTCCTTTTCTTCTACCATTTCTTCTTATTATTATTCCTCTTCTTATACTCCTTTTTCTTCTTCCACTTCTTTTACTTCTTCTGCTACTTCTCCTCCTCCTTCTTCTTCGACAATACTTCTTCTTCTTCCACTACTACTTCTACGTTTTCTGCTACTCCTCCTTCTTCTGCCTCATTTTCTTCTTCTTTTACTACGACTACTTCTCCCTTTTCTTCTTCATCTTCTTGTTCTACCATTTCTTCTTCTTTTTCCTTTTTTAACTATTCAAGCTTCTTCTTCTTCTTCTTCTTCTTCCTTTTCTTCTTCTTCTTCTTGAAGTAGACTCTGTCAGACTCAAGTTTTATTTTCTGTCGCAGCACAAGAAGTTGGTGGAGGGCACGCTCTACGAAGAAGTCACGTCAGCCAGTTACTCTGAAAACGACATCAGCAACTCTCTGAAGAACGGGATCCTGTACCTGGAGGACCCCATCGACCACGTAAGTGTTCCTGAAACGTCATTTATGTGAGAAACACACAGTCAGAATCACTGAAATGTGAGGTTTACAGACGTGGACGCCACACTACTTTGTCCTGACGAGTAACAAGATCTACTACTCCGAGGAGACGTCGCACTACCAGACGGCTGATGAGGAGGAGGACGATGAAGGCAAAGAGGTGAGAAAGAGATGATGAAGGTTAGAAGTTCGGGGTAAAGGTCGGGGTGAGACGCTGACGCTGTTTCTCTGCAGGAGTGCAACAACAACGAGCAGCACTGCGCCGAGCGATGGTTCCACGGGAAGCTGGGCGGAGGTCGTGACGGTCGGCAGGTCGCTGAGAAGCTGCTGCAGGAGTACTGCGAGGGCGGGGCCAAAGACGGCACCTTCCTGGTTCGAGAGAGCGAGACGTTTGTCGGAGACTACACCCTCTCCTTCTGGTCAGTAGGAGGAGAAATTTAATCTGATCTGTGGTCATGAAAGAACAAAGAATCAGCGACGCTTTAACTCCTCCAGGCGCTCCGGGCGAGTCCAGCACTGCAGGATCCACTCCCGTCAGGAGTCCGGCTCCACTCGCTTCTACCTGACCGACAACCTGGTGTTCGACAGCCTCTACCGCCTCATCTGCCACTACAGGGACACGCCGCTGCGCTGCAACGAGTTCGAGATGCGTCTGGGAAACCCCGTCCCTCAGCCCAACGCACACGAGAGCAGAGAGTGAGCGGCGAGCGTCTCTGTTCCTTCGTTTTTCTAACAGGTGGAGGAAACAGTCGCTAATCTCTCTCTGCTCATCACTTCCAGGTGGTTCCACTCTAGTCTGTCCCGGGTCCAGGCCGAACACATGCTGATGCGCGTTCCCAGAGACGGAGCGTTCTTGGTGCGAAAACGCAGCGAGCACAACTCCTTCGCCATCTCCTTCAGGGCGGAGGGGAAGATCAAACACTGTCGGATCCAGCAGGAGGGCCGTCTCTTCATGCTCGGCAGCTCAGCCGAGTTTGAGAGTCTGGTGGATCTCGTGAGCTACTACGAGAAACATCCTCTGTATCGGAAGATGAGGCTGCGCTACCCCATCAACGAGGACACGCTGGACCGGATGGGCACCACGGTAACGCGGTTTAGTCCAGTTTGATGTTTTTTGGTCCTCTAACATTAAAAAAACTCCAAGAGTGACCGTCTGTTATCGTTTGTTTGTCAGGAGCTGGATTACGGGGCGCTGTATGAGGTCCGGACTCCTCACTTCTACGTGGAGGCCAATAAGATGCCATCAGCACGGGTGAGTCGGTCCACGAGTCACAACATTACGGTTATTTAATGTATTTTACCGCCTGTTGACAACCTTTAAGGGGAGTTTGAATGAACTTCTCTGCCATATTAGGAGTAAAACGTGTTTTTTAAAGATACAGAGCTCGTAAAAACACCAAGAATAAACCTAATGATGTCGAAGTTAAAGTGTGGACTCGTTTTAAAGGGATTGACCTTCACTAATAAAAAAGAAAGTGAAAAAAATGAAGACTTCGTACTTACTTACGAGAATAAAGTCGTAGCTAATATTCTAACCTGTTGTTAGTTGTTTAAATGAGCGCTGTGGAGCGTTTCGATGAGTTGAACTTAAGTATCTCGGTTTCACAAATGAGGAGGTGCTAAATACTTTGGTGTTTCAGCATCACATTGTCAGAAGTATCAGGAGGACATATGTAAGAAATGTATCTTTTCCGCAGAAAGAACCAGGTGGACTTGTAGGGATTCGCTGTTTTTGAGGAGGGGGAAATGTCGGGTAATGTCTGTGCAGAGGTTCAATCACTCAATGCAGCCGTTTAGAGCAATAGCAGATGACTTTAGTTTATCGTATGAATCTATACGCCATAAGGTGTTGTTGCCTCTGCAGGTGGAGGTTGCTGCCGGTGTTGTGCCGGCTTTAGAGACAGACGTGGTGCTCGTCAGAGCTCGACTCTCTCTGAATCGTAAATGTTGATCAGTTGGATTATTTCTTGAGAAAACACAAAAACTCTCTAAATGACCCGCTGATGAACCCACTGATAACTCTACAATCGACCAGTTCAGACATTTACTCCTCCACTAAAGCAGCTTTAAGACGAAATTTACTTTACGACTTTATTCTCATCAGTAATGACTCTGATCTTGAAGTCTTTTTTTGTCTTAATGTGTTCCTAATACTCCGTCATGGATGTAAAAGAGGTTTTTTTGTTGCCTCCAGATTGATTCTGATGATATTTGTTGCTCCTCTCTCTCTCAGTGCACGGTCAAAGCTCTGTACGACTATCGAGCTCAGAGGGAGGACGAACTCTGCTTCCCCAAACAGGCGCTCATCCTCAACGTGGACAAACAGGAGGGCGGCTGGTGAGTCGGTCTGAGCATGCTCAGAGTGTCCTGTATGTCAATATTGACGGCACCTCATGATTGCATATTTCTTTTGGACATGTTCAGATCAGATTCAGGGATAGGGAGTCTTCAAATGAAATTATAATCTCAACTCTGTCCCAGTTTTTCTGACTTTAATCTGCTTAAACAACTCTGCCTGCAGAAATAAATAGTGGTCCTAGACCGCTTCCTTGGGGGACACCATATTTGAATGTAGCTGGCTGAATAATAATGATGTATGAAACCATAGAGATAAACTATGACTAAATAATGTGTGAATGTTCTTTATTCAGGTGGAGAGGTGACTACGGAGGAAAGAAGCAGCTGTGGTTTCCTGCGAACTACGTGGAGGAGGTTCCCAGTTCTCCCACCAGAGAGCTGGACGAAGCCGTGAGTCTGGACTCTTCGTTTCTACTCCGGATTTTCCCACAATAAATGATAAACAACTTATTTATTATTCTTGTGTTTCAGTCCACAGAGAACAGTCCTCTGGGGACGTTTCTAAAGGGCTTCATTGACGTGCCCACCTGTCAGATAGGTGAGACCCTCAGACCGACGATCACTCTTTCTTATTTCTGCAGAAGTTTCACAGTAATCTCAAATAAACCTACATGTACTGATAAACACAGAGGCAGACAGGTGAGCTGTTCAAGTTTGAGGTTTATATTAGGGCTCGATTAAAAAATTAATCTAATTAATCAGAGGATTTGTGACCAATTAATCGCATTTTAATCACAATTAATCGAATTTTAATCGCATACAAATATTTGACCTGAGAACAGTGACAATCATTATTTTAAAATGGTAACAGTATTGGTAGAAATTTTGCATTTTTTCACTCTTTGTCTGTATCATGCATCAGTCTAACCGTCTTAAATCTCTCTCTTATGTCTGAACTCCTCCACCCTCTGTTTTTCTCCGCAGCGGTGCCCAAAGATGGAAAGAACTCGCGTCCGTTCGTCTTCACCATCCAATCCCAGCACCCCTCCTCTCACCCCGTTCAGATGCTGGACGTGGCGGCCGACAGTCTGGAGGATCTGACCACGTGGGTCAGCAAGATCAGAGAGGCCACGCAGAACGCTGATGCTCGGGTGAGTGTGGGAAACATCAGAAACTGGATCGGTACGTGATGTTGGACCTGACCGTGTTTTTGGCTTGTTTCCCTGGTAACAGATGCAGGAGGAGAAGCAGATGGAGAGGAGGAAGAAGATCGCAGTGGAGCTGTCTGAGCTGGTGATCTACTGCAGGCCCGTCCCCTTCAACGAGGACAGTAAGACTCACGTTTCTCTCCTACTCTGGTTTCAAACTTCTCCGTGAACTTCTTAGAGTCATTTCTCATTTCTAATTTCCTCCTCCAGAGATCGGCACAGAGAGGGCGTGTTACCGAGACATGTCGTCCTTCCCGGAGACGAAGGCGGAGAAGTTCGCGACGCGCAGCAGAGGGAAACGCTTCCTGCAGTACAACCGTCGGCAGCTCTCCAGAGTTTACCCACGAGGACAGAGGCTGGACTCGTCCAACTACGACCCGCTGCCCATGTGGCTGTGCGGCTCCCAGCTGGTCGCGCTCAACTTCCAGACCCCGGGTCAGTGTTTGGATCTCCTCGGGTCTCATTTAGACCCTGGATCCTACTCCGGAAACAGATTAAGGACCTCTGAAGAGAAAAGTTGAAAACCGAAGTTCATAAAGTTGAGAGAAAAGTCAAAGTGACCGTTTGTGTTTCCTGCAGATAAACCCATGCAGCTGAACCAGGCCTTGTTCATGCTCGGCGGTGGCAGCGGCTACGTCCCCCAGCCCGACATCATGAGGGACGACGCCTTTGACCCCTTCGACAAGGACACCTTACACGTGGAGCCGATCACCCTCCAGTTACAGGTCAGGATCAGAGACTCCTCAGTATTCCGGCGTCTCTCTGGAAACTCAAGCTCGTATCTTCTCCTCGTGTTTTTCCTGATTCAGGTTCTCGGAGGGAGACATCTGCCTAAAAACGGCCGCAGCATCGTCTGTCCCTTCGTGGAGGTGGAGATCTGTGGAGCTGAACACGACAGCTGCAGGTGTAAGACGGATGTCGTAGGTGAGACCTTCAGCTTCATCCACAGGAAGTGAGAGTCCAGAACTTTCCGCCTGTTTACCGCCTGTTTCTGTCTCCCGACCCTCTCAGCTGATAACGGCCTGAACCCCGTCTGGGTGCAGAGACACTTTGTCTTCGACATCCACAACCCCACCTTCGCCTTCCTGCGCTTCACCGTCTACGAGGAGGACATGTTCAGCGACCCCAACTTCTTAGCACAGGCCACCTACCCCGTCCGTCTGCTGCGAACAGGTGAACGAATCAAACAGACACATTCATATACAAAGACTGGAGGACTGAGAGGATAATCATGAGTGTGATTATCGGATATAAGAAGTTACAGCTTTCACAAGTTTTTAAAAAGTTCTTTAACCACAAAACTAAATATAAAAAAACAACAAATAGTAACAATGTTAAAATTAAAATCAGAATTCTACAAAAAAGGATTAGGCCCACATGCAGAGGAAAAAAATAGTTACAGGAAGGAGATTAAAGTCAAAGTTTCGAGATTTAAAAAATCGAAATTATGTCAAAGTCGAAAATTTGAACATTAAATATTGAAATTTTGAGATAAAAAAAATTGAAATTTTGAGATTAAAGTTGAAATTTCAAGATTGAAGTCGACATGAATAAAGTCAAAATTTTTTGCTTTATTAAATTTCAACTTTAATCTCAAAATTTCGACTTTAATTTTACTAATGTAAATTTTTTTAATCTCGAAATGGAGATTTAAAAAATCTCCCTCCTGTTATTACTTTTTTCTCCTCTTGTGGCCCTGATCCCCTTTCATAGAATTCAGACTTTTTTCTCAGAATAATAAAATATTTATCTATATTGGAATTTTTTTCCTCCAGTGTCCATTATCTTCTTCTGTATTTAAGCATCTCTGTAATGATTTTCTCCTGAAATAATCAGCTGCGACTGATTTTAAACACCTCTTCGTTTACCTGTCCAGTCTAGGATTAAAAATAAAAACCGTTCAGATGTTTTTTTTATCCTGTTTGCTGACGTGTTTTCCTCTGGTTGTATTTTCAGGTTACCGGAGCGTCTCTCTGAAAAACAGCTACAGTGAGGAGCTGGAGTTGTCCTCACTCCTGGTCCACATAGATATTGTGAATGCAAAGGTTTCCCTCTCTCTCTGTCTCTTCATTATTGACTGAAATAAAACTTTATACCTTCATCACACCTGCTCCTCTTCTTCTGTCCTCGTCGCTGTAGGAGGAGGACGATGAGAACCTCTACATGTCCATCCAGCGGCTGCGGGATCGAACCAGCGAGTTGTCCAACCAGGTGTCCCTCCTGGAGAGGTCGGGTTCAGGAGATCTGAGCTACCAGCAGAGTCTGGAGGAGCTGAGAGCGGCTCAGGACCAGCTGAGTGAGCTGGTGGAGGCTCGAAACCGGAGGTGACCGATCCTGTCTGAGTTTTACATCCTTACTGTCATTATTTAGTTCCATTTAAGTGGTCTTTTTATGGTCTAGTTAAGCTTTATTCTAGTATTAAGTGTTGTTTTATATTTAAATTTATTCTTCATTTGCAGAATATTCGATGATTTTAAGTCATTTCTGTTCTGTGGTGTTGAAAATGTAGTTTAGATATTTAAAAGTTGCTCGTTTATTGACTTATTATCATTAAATCTGGATTTGACCTTCACAGAGTTTCAACAGCTCATAAACTCCAGTGTCTTCCTGCTTTTTTCAGGCTGATGGAGAAGAAGAGGAGGGAGAGGCTGAGGCAGCAGGTGACGGCAAAGCGCAGCTAACTATTTTGTCCACCAGAGGGCGCTAAACCGCAACACAAAACCGTGCCTGACGCTGAAGCCGCGCTGCTACACACCGCCAGGTTTCTCTACGGCGACCAGGTGTGATTAATTTCTGACTGGAAAGAGAGACGGGCTCCTTCAGAGCAGCGTGTCGGAGTAAGAAACAGAAAAACATCTCATGGACTCAAATCTAAAACCTCACTAAACTAAACTAAGCTATAAAACAATCATGACCTGGAGGCTGAAACACAGGAGGAGTGAACTGGAGACTAAGATTATTTAAATAAGAGAAAAAAAGGAGAGTTAAAGGGTTGGACACGACAAAATTTATCGATTTTCAGAGCAAAAGAGCTCATCAGACTTTATAAGGATCCAGAAATAATCCTGTTTTTAGGTTTTATAAGACAGACGTTCATCCTTAAAGCTGAGTTTGTGAATTAGACATCTTTATATGAGGCTCATGTGCAGATATAGAAGAAATTTCACCCTTAATGGCTCTCATTTATCAATAATGCGCAGATCCGAGCGCAGGATTCACCGTACGATAGGACATATGTGAGATTTATGAAAGGGTTCTTATCTGACCAATCCCAGCGTACGAATGATCGGGTCTTGATAAATGCTGCGGCTAAAATAGATCTTCATGTTTACGTCTTTAAATATTCGAGGTTCAGAAGCCCCGCCCACTGAGGTCAAACATGAAAGAGGAGAAATATTACAAAGATCGGAAACTTTGTGAAACTCCTCACATCTGTGGTGGAAACGAACGTGGATTTTCTTTTGGAAACATCAAAACTGGAATAAAAGAGTCCAGAAAACTCCTGTCTGGAGCAGGATCATGGTGGCGGTGAACAGCACTGCTGCTGAAGAGTGGACAGTGGCTGAAGTTTGAATAAATCATGAGTCAATGATTTGCTTATACATGCCTCTTTTTTTATTTACGTCTTAATCTTTAATGAAATCTGGCTGATTCTGCTTAATGACAGGTTTGAGGTTTATCAATTATTTTGAGACATTTGCTGCACCGCAGATCCACACTGACTCAAACCTGCGGACACGATGTCAGACCTGTCGTGAGATTTGGTCGTAGCGTACGCTCACGTGCAGATTGATAAATGATTATCCTCACGTTGCAACTTACGTTTGCAAGGTGTACGTAAGTTTTCTGCCGTACGCAAGCTTGATAAATGAGGTTTCAATCAGTGCAAACAGCAGAGGAGTTCAGACCGTCTCTGTGCTCTGCAGCTCGGTTTGAAGAGCATCAACAGATATGTTTGTTTCATTTCATTTTTGCAGTTTAAATGACCGTGACATTCGTCCAAAACCTTCTTCTGAATCCTCCACTCGGTGGAGTGATTGTCAGTTAAGTGTCAAAGGTGTGCTGTTAACCCCTCCATCCCTTTGAAACGGCATCTTTGGAGCTCATGTCGTCATAAATCTGAAATCACATGTTTGGAAACAAAGTCTGAATCTCTCCAAGTTCACTCTCTCTGTGTTTTCGTCCCTCGGTGAGAAATAAAGGATATAAGGGAGAAGAAGAAAACTCAGGTTAAACTAAAGGATGATTGGAAAAAAGGGAGCAGAGGGCACACGTAGCAAAAAGTTAATCTCATGAATGTGCCTTTGATTTGACGTCGCGCTTTGTGGAGTCGGATTACTTCAGTGTTAAACAAAGAAGAAGACTGATTTCTGTCAAACTGGAACAGTGGCCCTTTGAGGGAAAACTACTTACAAACACTCAGACCACTACTCATGAAATGGGTCTGCAGAGACTGAAGTTCGCTCGTCCTCATCGATCTAGACCAAGTCTTTTTCACGGGCTCCTCTCCTGCCTGGGAGAGCACAAACTCGATGAACCGCGCAGAGAAAGCGGTTCAGTACTTCTTCAAACAAGGGCTCGAAATATTTCTGTACTACCTTCAAAGAGGCAGGAAAGGAGCGAGGAAGAGCGGGAGGAGGAAAGAGGAAGCTCCGCCTGGATGTCACCCGCTCAGCCGCTCAGGTGTGTTTGTCACACTCGAAAACAGGTGTGCTGCGTTTCATTAGGAGTTCTCTGCACCTCGTTCACTTCGCCTCAGCTCCTCCACCTGTGAAAGCCTCCTCCTTCACAAATATATCTTTGATCTGCAGTCAGAGGAGGAGGAATTACACGGATGCTGCTGCGTCACTTTTCCCTGCAACCAGATTTTCATGCATTTACACAGAGAGTCAAATTTGGTGCAGAAGAAGCTCTTAGAAACGACCTGCAGAGGAGTTTTAGTGCAGACAACAAAACTTTATTTCCCCTCGTGTCGACCTATGAAACCAAAAGATTGTCCAGAAGATGAAGTCCAGAGATTTGTGTTTAAATTCAAAGTCGTACAGTAACGAAGAGTTTGCACAAAGGTAGCTCCCACCTTTGACTGAATATCAACATGGACGACATGCCCCTGTCTTTGCTGATGAAGCCAAAATATTCACCTCTGTGTCTCAGAGCAGGACACCTGAGGGGAGGACTGAGAGGTTGAACTCTTGATGAAACGCAGCTTCACTTTAAAATTAAAGGGCTATCACTGAAAATTAGCAAAGCACTCTTTCAACCTGCCGGCTCCGAGTTTTTAAGCCTCGCATCCGAAACCACCCGACCCGGCTCAGACCCTGTCATCTGGATCTAATCAACAGATGTGGGCTCAGCTGGTCCTGGATCAGCGTCGATCTGACCCAATGCATGGCTTCATACCTGATCTCCCTCACCTGTGTAGCTACTCCACCTTCTTCCCATCATGCTCCTGTCTCAGTTCTCGTTGTATATAACTCCTTTAATTTATCTAACAGGCTCAGTTTGAGGGTCTGAAGGATGATGATGGACTTCAGACTGAAGAGGCTGTCACTTTAAATTTATATTGTGTTGTTGGAGCTCCTTTAATGTCCACACACACACACACACACATCTCTCTCTACGCTGCAGTGTAGGGACGTCTATGCAAGCTTTTGACCAGAAGCCATTGTGTTCTTCTAGATTTGATTCATGTTGTTTTTTCTCTCTGTATCTATGCTAACTGTCCAGTATTATTACTCTGCTTTATCAATCCTCTGCTAGTTTCCATGAATAAAAGCTCTTTCACGCTTTTCTGTTTGTGACGTTTATTTGAAAATCATCCAGAGAAATGGTGAAACCAAAACTTCAGAGGACTTCTACTCCTCCTGCCTCCTGGGGTAACCAGGATCTGAGGAAGTGCCAATTTTCAGAAGAAATCTTGAATGTAAACTTTACCCCTCCCAACCAGTTTTCCCCTCAAGCCCCGCCCACAAACAGACGCTCCTGCTCGCTCGTATAGTTCCAATTAAATTCAGATATAATGCAGATAAATACTTCAGATAATTACAAATGGGCAACACTAATTAACATGATTTAACTTGATTTAATTTTTTAATAATAAAATTATATTTTCTGCTGAATATTATCACGTCAAAAGATGTGGTTAAATGAAATACAATAATAGAGTGATCTGAAGGACCATGAAATACTTAAAGCTCCACAGAGGAACTCTCAGTTTGTGTAAACTTTGGCGCCCCCCTGTGGACAAAGCAGTCTTTGCTTATTTTCTCTTATTGTTACAGCTTCTGTGAGGAGTTTTTTGGCATCTATAAAATAGACTAAAATGCATAACGACGTCTTTTTATTATATCTAAATGACTTATTTGACTGTCAAAGTCTGATGTAGCAATCAAGACAACCCTGTATGTGAAACCCCCGCATTCCCCACATGAAAGTCTCCTTATCTGGTCCCAGGACACAGGATCGTATAAATCTTTCCAGAGTTGTTTGCACTTTCAGTTTACCTAACTGGCCCGACCGGAGGTTGACCAAACCTCTGACTCTTCACGATTGGTCAATTCAGAGAACAGAGACTCCATCGCTGACCATCTAAATAAACATTAACACCTTAATCCAGGTCTCCCATTAAAGATTTACCGTCTTAAACATACGGACGCCAAGATAAGGTCTGAGGAGGAGGACACTGTCCTCCAGACCTCGGTCGTAAAACCCTGCTCAACCATGTTCTGATAAAAACGGCATACCTTTGGAGAAAGAAATCAAATGACTGATCATGACATCTTATGCATTCAGCAATGTACTAATCCAGGGGTGGCCAACCATGTGCCATGGAGAGCCGAGAGGCTGCAGGTTTTCTTTCCAACCCAAAACTCCAGCAGGTGATTTCACTGATTAGTCTCTGCTCTCTGCTTGGAGGTAAGGTATAATCAGAGATCTGAGGTCTCCTCTGCAGATGGAGACCCCACCACCCCTCCTCTTTCTCCTCACACACACACACACACACACACACACACACACACACACACACACACACACACACACACCTCCCAGTGTGAAGGAGATAAAAACCAGTAAAGTGGGGTTGTTCTCTCTCTTGTCTTTTTGACTCTTACACACTCTCATTCCTCTTGTCCTCTTTACTGCCTAGCTCTCTTTCTTTGTTTTATCTTCGCTCTTACTTTTTTCTTAGTCTTCTAAGTTTTACGCCACGTGTTTATTCACGTTGATTCTTCTTTAACATCGTCTTAGTTCAAGTTTTGAAACTTCAACTTTTTGTGCGCAGAGTAGTTCAAGATTAAGCCTTGAACTGATTTTTCTTTAATTTCACAAAGCCTTTTTTAAAATACTTTCGACTGGTCATTGAGCCTCTTTTTTTCTGAGTCATCTGCATGATTCGAAAGTCACCTCTGAACACCACCCAGCAGACCCAAAGTCATCCTGTGAGCCTACGTTTTTGAGTGAGACAAGCGAGCATCCAAAGGATCCACAGCGGCGGCTTTTGCTTCGGACCCGAGTGCTGCAACTCCTGGCCCATCCTTCGGCTGACTTCGGTCGTCTTCTGAGCCGAACCTCTCGAACAGCCGGACCTTCGGAACCTGCTCCATCTTCTCCAAGGACCAGTCTCACTTAAGTATGCAAACCTCCAGAGCTCCAAACAGGGCTGATGCTGTCTCATGCGTTCATAACTCAGATATCCACTTATTCTGGTAATCCTAAATTCCTCCAAATCCACATCCAAATTCATCTTGACACCAAAGTTAGTGTAGGTTAATATGTTAGAGCATATTCACTCACTATCATTAACTTTAGTGCTCCTAGCCTGACTCAGAATCTTTAATTATTCACTTATTATTATCTATCCTCATTATCTTATCATGTATGTTGTACCGTCATTTATCCTGTAATAAACAGATCATTATTTTTCTAAGTTCCTGTCTGTTAGTGGAGTCCCTGAAATTAGAATTTTGGCTTAAGATATGAGATTGATTCATTTAAGATTGATTTAATGTTTGATTTCTTAATTGAACTTTTATTTTTATTTATTAAAGGTGGGTGGAGCCCCTTTAATCGAGTGCATAAATGTCATAATTTGAGATTATTAATCTTCAGACAATTATATTAAATTCAAATCGCTACACAGAATAATTAGATTATTCATATACAAGACAAAATAAGCAAAGACTGATGTGTCCACAGGGGGCGCCAAAATTGACACAAACTGAAAGTTCCTCACAGGAGCTTTAATAGTGACATCTGAGAGAAAAATCTCATCCTGTTGCCTTTTGAATTTACCTCCAGGAATCAATAAAGTTCTTATTTTAATCTTGGACAGTCAAATAATTGAATGTGAGTTTGTTTTAGAGCTGTTTCTGTTGTAGCTCGACTGACACCCACCCCCTCGCAGTGATTTAAGACAATATCTGTCCTTCGTGTCAGTAATGGTCTCGTTCCTTTTGGTGTCTCGTAAAACGGCATCAGTGTGAATTTTAGTCCATTTCAGTCACTTAAAAACTCTTTTATATCTGAGTTTTTACCTCTTTTATCACTCTACCTCTGCTTTCATTTTCTGCACCCTCACGAATATTCACTTTACCTGCCCCTCAGGATTTCCGTCACGTATTTTCCCAGCAGACTTCAAACTCACCGTACAGGTTTTGATAATTACATGAGGAGGTGTCCCCATGTGGGTGCAGATCTTGTTAGTCACGGTTCATCAGTCAGAGAGAGGAGAGATGACTTCTGTTCAGGAGGTGGACCCCGGGGTGCACCGGAGGATCAGGGAGTCCCCCACCCTGCAGAGTCCGGATACACCTGTCACAGCAGAGATCACACAGGTGAGTCGTAGATTTGCACATTTGCACCCTACAGGGGCATGAATAGATTTATTCACCAGGTCTCTGATTTATGCAAGGCTGGCATGACGTGATGTGAGCTGACACACATCCTGGAAGTGTTTATTTACATTATCAGTCTGTAATCAGGCAGTTGTTGTTTTACAGTTACGTAAAACACATGCAAGATTGATAAAGGTTACTGCGCTGTCACAAGGTTGATGTGCAAAACATCAAATTTCTTTCCCTGTTGAGGATAAATCTGAAGTGAAGTCTGCAGGTCAGTTTTTGAGTCGTACTCCTGACTTTCCCGAATACTTTGCAGTTCATAAACCTGTTTTTAACGATGTGTCCGACAACCCACGGATGAAAAAAGTTTACAGACAGAATTATTAGAGGAATGCATAAAGACAACACAATGAAGGTGCTGAAAATACTGCTGTTTAAGAAGAGATCTTTGCAGGAGAAGCTGAGGGTTAAAGAGCTGGGATCAGACCAGTCAAACCCCACGGATGAAAAAGTTTACAGACAGAATTATTATCAAAATGCAGAAAGACAACACAATGAAGGTGCTGAAAATACTTCAGTTTAAGAAGAGATCTTTGCAGGAGAAGCTGAGGGTTAAAGAGCTTGGATCAGACCGGTCAAACCTCAAAGTTGTACAGGTGGATAAATCAGAAAAGGTCATTTTGAAGGATCTTAATAAAACGATCTTTTCTAACCCAGATTGTGTTCCTCTCAGGTTGTGAAGAAAGTCTTCAAGCAGGTGATTGATATCAGCTCCGGTGACCCCCACAGGGCGGGGATGGCCCCTCTCTCTTTTGTCCGTCAGGTGGGTGTAATCTAAATTATTCATGTGTTTGTTTGTTTGTCGGCCTGCGTACCTGCATTCCTTAACCGACCTGTTTTGTGACTGTAACTCTGTGTTTTATCTCTTCAGGTCCTGGCGGTGTGTATTCACCCGGAGCTCCTGGAGGACCAAAGTCTGCCTCTGGATGTCCGTCAGAGAGCGCAGAAGCTGCTGGGAGTCTGTGGAGGAGGAGGAATTGGTCAGAATCTTTGATATGTTATTATATTTAGAAGATTTGAACACTTTAAGTCAAAATAATCCACCGTATTTACCTCAGTGCACTTTGTGAACGGCAGGGTCGTACTCTACCTGCTCCTGGGGTTTACCTCTGGTCCTCAAAAGTGCTGCTGAGTTCATCACACGAAGAGACGGTGGAGTAAAGTCAGACCCAGAGGACCTCATCTTCTCTACTGGCTCTCAGAAGACTTTGCAGGTATGATGAGAAGATATGTGTGCATCAAAATCACGTCCAGACTGCGTCTTTTGAAGTCTGTTATTTATCGTGTTTAGCTGGTTTTGCACCTGATGGCCAGCGGAGAGGCGGAGACTCGTACAGGTGTACTGACCCCGACTCCCTGTCCTCACACCCTGCCCGCTCTGATGGATGTGTGCGGGGTGAAGCTGGCGCCTTATCAGCTGATGGAGGAGCGAGGGTGGGCTGTATGTGTGGATGAGCTGCACCGAGCTCTTAAGGCCGCTAGGGGGCACTGTGAGCCCAGAGCCATTTACATCAGCAACCCAGGAAACCCCACAGGTAAATCTGACACAGTAACTTAAGAAACCACTTCTTAAATCTTCCATCTAAACTCTTCTTTGTCTCTTCAGGTCACGTCCAAAACAGAAAATCAATAGAGGAGGTGATTCGGTTCGCTGCAGCCGAACGTCTCGTCCTGCTGGTTGAAGAGGTGCATGAAAGTTTCAAAGCTGCACTTTTAATGACTTCTATCCACTTTTTAATATCATCTCTGTCTTTTCCATGTCCTTTTGGATCCTCCAGGTGAACCAGGACGTCGTGTTCGGACCGGACAGAGAGTTTCTCTCCTATAAGAGGGTCCTGTTCGAGATGGAGAAACAGTTCTCAGAGACAGTGGAGCTCATCTCCTTCCACTCTATATCCAGCGCCTGTATGGGAGAGTGAGTACAACAGACTGAAACCTCTCCTCAATCTAAAGTGTGACTCCTAAATTCATGATAAAAACATTCTTCTCTCGTTACGGTGTGTTTGACCCTAAATTAATTTTACGCTGGAATCTCCCTTTAAATGTACTCTGTGCCGACGCTGTGTTCAGGTGCGGGCTCAGAGGAGGATACATGGAGGTCATAAACCTGGATCCAGGGGTGAGGAAGTATTTGAAGAACTTACAGGCCACCGCCAGTCCTCCGGTGTTACCTCAGCTGGCTCTGGAGCTCATGGTCAATCCCCCCTCACCTGGAGATCCGTCCTATCAGACATACGCTCAGGTGAGAGGAACATCTCAGCGGGTCACATCATGATCAGACGAGTTCATCTGTTTTATTCACTGTGTATTTATCTTTCAATTTAAAGGAGGTTCTTCACATTAAGACAACGCTTTCCCAGAATGCTCAGCGTGCCTGCGAGTTCCTGAATGATCTCCCAGGGGTGGCATGTCAACCATCGATGGGCGGAGTCTTCCTTTATCCTCGTCTGGATTTACCGCCTCAGATGATCGAGGAGGCCAAGGTCAGGAAACCTCTGACCTCTGACCTCCTTGTTACCTCTCCTAACTCCCATCTTCATTTCTCTTAGACCTCTTCTTCTCCTCTCACTTTCAGATGTTGGGAGTGGAGGCGGATGTTCTTTACTGTCAGAAGTTTCTGGAGGAGGAAGGCGTGTGTTTGGGAGCGGGCAGCCAGAACGGACAAAAACATCCAAACTCTCACATCAGGTAAGAGAAGCAGAGACAGTTTTACAGCCGTGGTTTTGTTTTTATCACCTGAACGTAAGAGATCATGTCCTTAAACTCGTGTCGTTAAAGTGATTTACAGCCGAGAGTAAAATCTGGGTGAACCTGTATCTCCACGCCACCACAGGAGCTCCACCTCCTCTCAGCTGAGGTGTGTCTGTATGTTTGTTCTGTATGAAATCACCGTGTGTTTGTGTGTCTCTGGTTCTCTCAGGCTGTGTGTTTTGGCTCCTCCCGACATCCTGGAGGAGGTCTTGGCTCGCCTTCGCTCTTTCCACCTGCGCCTGCCGAGCAGATTTCCCTGACGGAAATGTCAAGGACACGGACAGACGGAAACAATACGAGGCCTGCTTTTCACACCGTCTTCAAAGACATCGACATTCACCACATTTCAAATCTGGTTCATTTTAATGCTGCACAATAAAACACTCTCTTTTTTTTTACTCCTGCATTAATTATTAATTACAAACATTAGTCAGTGTGCTGTCTGCGCTCCATGAAGCCGCGCTCACAGATTGCAAAACAGCAAGTAAGATTAATTAATGTTTCTCTCACTAGGGGGCGCTCAGACGTTAAAGCCTCATTTGAGTCACTGGTTTTTTTTTTCTATTACAGTGATTTTTTCGTGACTGTTTAAAGATGATTTTACTAAAATGTAAATATTTAACGGGCACCAACAATCAGACTGAAATGAGGAAATGAGAAAAGTATCATGCAGTGATGATACTGCAGTAAACACAAGGGATAATGCAATAAAAATGTACTGACAAGACCGTCTTTTTAAAGAAATATAACGCTAAAAACATGACAGAGTTTCAGAGGAATGTTTAAGAGGAAAAAAAATTTAAGATCTTGAGGAAAAAAAGTTGCATTATGAGAAAAAGGACATGAGAGAATATCAGAGATGGGGGCTTGACGACTCGACTCGAGACACGACTTGGACTTGCAACAAAGGGACTTTCCCCCACCTCATGTTGTTCTGAGAATATAGTTATGTTACTGAGATAAAGTCAAACTGTTATGAGAATAAAGTCAAAGTCAAACATTACAAGAATAAAATAAAACCTTTATGTTATGAGAATAAAGTTAAATATGACCAAAATAAATTCATATGGTTATGAGAATAAAGTCGTTATGATACAACATTAAAGTCATTAACAGCATAATACTGTTTTTTTAAGGGGGACACTGAACAAATTGGAGCTGAGGTGACAAAACATGAAGTACAAAAATGACAATTTTGAGGACTTTATTCTTAAAATCTCAAGACTTTTCTAAGACTTCAACTTTTTAATAATATGACTTTAAAACGACTCAAATCTGACTTGAATCTTGTTTAATACCAATCTAATTATTCAAATCAGACTTAATCACAACTTTTCCCTATAAGAACATGATTTAAATTGTTCAAAACTATGATTTGATTTTTTTACTCATAACAAAACTTTATTTCTTAAACTCTCAGAAAAATAAATAGATAAATGAACCTCTACTGCGGCTACAATAATTGGTCGTATCAGAACGCCGTGAGTAAAAAGTAAAATGGTCAAATCACAATAATGGAGTCGTTCAGCCCGTTGAATCACTTAATCAACACTAAAAAACCTCAAACCCGTTCAAAAATATTTCCTGGTTTGTTTTGGCCGCAGAGGTCATGTGAGGACACGGTGAAACAGATGCAGAGGAGAGCGTAGACTCTCAGGTCAGTGTTTATGTCTGATTACCGCTCAGTCCGTGAGTATAAAAACCGTCAGACACACTCAGACTGTCTGCTCTGACCAATCAGGATGAAAGTGGCTCCTGCTGTCTGCTGCCTACGGTGAGTCTCATCTGGACTCAGAGGACCCCCTAGACAGAGGGGTCAAGACACCATGGACTCCAGACTCTTAAACCGTTGCTGCATTTCCAAGTTCTTATTGGTGATGATACTGTTAATGTTTCCCAAGTGGAGTTCTGACTGTAGGTGTTTGTGTGTCCCAGCTCACGGGTGTGGAAGCCCCGCCCACGAGCCGATTGAATGTCGAATGAGAAACAGTGAAGATGCTCGACCTTACAGCTGGCCCTGGCAGGTGAGTCGACCAATGTCAGACAGGCGTCATTACAGCTGCTTTCACATGTATTTTGAAAGGACTAGGAATAATAAAAGGATTTTAACTTCAAATATTACCTGTTAACCGTTATCCTTTACTCGGTGAGGCTGAGGCTTACATAAAATCTTAAAGACAGAGAATTAACAGAATCTTTGTGTTTAAATGTATAAAAATAATGAGTTTTGTTATATCAGGATTTAAGATCAGTATCAACCCATGAAATGTCTCTTGACAGAAATCCTGATAGAGTGTTTGAGTAGAGCAGTAAGTAACAGTATTATCTATATTGGAGACATTTTAACAACAGAGGTCCCAGAACAGAACCCTGAGGCACGCCATTTCTTATTTCAAGAGGTCCAGAGGTGACGTCTTCATGTCTGATCGCTCCGACAGCCCAGTTTCACGATAACATGGTCCACGGGTCAAAGACTTCTGTGTCAATAAAACGTGCTGCCAGGAACTCACTAAAACCCCTGAATATGTGATGATTTTAAGATTAGTACTTTTGTTAATGCTAAAGAAAGCATTTCTTTATCTATGTGCCTGTGAAGTTTTAAACAAATTTGAGATTAACTAACTATAATAGTGCAGTATTACTAGAACAGTTATTATTGCACACACACATATTTCCTGTCGAGCTGAGCAGTAGTTGATAGTGAGAAAACGCGCAGATTTACGGTGCAGTTTCTTTATTTTCCAGCTTGTGACCTGATAAGTTCAGGTTGGAGGTCATGTGAGGACTCGGTGAAACAGATGCAGGGGGACTGTCGTTTCTCAGGTCAGTGTTTGTGTCTGATTACGGCTCAGACTGAGAGTATAAAAACCATCAGACACACTCAGACTGTCTGACCAATCAGGATGAAAGTGGCTCTTGTTCTGCTGTTTGCTGCCTACGGTGAGTCTCATCTAAACACGCAGGACTTTTCTGTCTGAGTTTGTCGAGACTGATCTGTTTTTTTCTTCTCTTTTTAATTTAACCTCTGTTTTCAGACTGAGGGGGAAAAATCAATTAACTGTTAATTCTCATTTTCTCACAGTTAAATAAATGGATACATTAGACATTAAAACACCAACAGTGACCTCCATGATTCATGTTAACCTACACAAACAACACAGTATGCAAAATAGTCATGACTGTCAGATAATATCAGGCTTATTTTTCTTATTATGCAGCTCGGTGAAAAACTCCTGCAAACTTATCTCAATTTTTTAATATGTTTACAAAACAAATTTGAACTAAAAAGACCAATTTAAATTTACTTAATCTGTTTTTGTGATAAAATTTTAATCGATTCTTCGCTGAAATCTGTAAAAACCAAAGAATAAATCAGATGAAGTCTTTCTCTCAAACTAGAAACTTCTTTGTACGCCATCCTCACAAGTTTTTTTTCTCAATAAAAAAATAAGTATTGATAATTAGCTAATCTAAAACAGTTGCAAAGCACTTAATTTCATGTATAATTGACATTTTTGCAAGCAGTATGGAGTAATTTGTTAAAAACAGCAGGCTAAGCAATAAAAAGAAGAGATACCAGGTCTGTAGATCGGTAAAGTGTCACTCCCAAAAAAAAAAAAAAAAAAGGGCCAGACACTTTTTGAGTCTGGGCAGGAACTAATTAAATAAGATTAACAATAAAAATAAATATTTAGAATAAAATAAAACACATAAAAATAATAAATAATAAAAAAATAAAATAATAATAAACCAGGAAATAAAAAAAAAAAAAGAAAATTTTGGACATAAATGAATTGTATTGATAAAAAAAAAAAACATTTAAAAAATAAAATAATGCCAATAATAAACAATACATTATATTAATAAATGAATACACTTGAACAATCTATAAGCCTGAACTGAAAGTCTCTTAAATACATCACATATTTTAAAAGCTTAATTTACTAAAAATCCATGTTAACTGTGAGTAAAATAAGGAGACTGTTTACCTTTGAGCTCTGACTGCTGTTTGTGTCTCAGCTCACGGGTGTGGAACCCCCACCTATGAGCCGTCTGTGGGCCGGGTCGTGAACGGAGAAGATGCTCGTTCTTACAGCTGGCCCTGGCAGGTGAGTCCCGTACACTTGTACATTACAAGTCTGGAGACCCAGACCTTTAGGACGAAAGCTGGCGAGGTACTGGACCAGCTGCATGGCAGACTCAGTCTCCCAGCACCCCCCCCTAAACTAACTCAGACCAGAAACTGACCTGAGAAAATAAAGGACTGATAACTCCCTTCACTCGTTTCATTACTCTCATGTGTTGTGTGTCTCAGATCTCTCTGCAGTACCTGAGCGGCTCCACCTACCGTCACACCTGTGGAGGAACTCTGCTGTCCCCCGACTGGGTCCTGACCGCCGGACACTGTATCGGGTTTGTCACAGATGGTCTTTCCTCATTTTCTGTCTCTGCTTTGTTTATTGAAAGGTGTCATGTGACCTGAGTGTGTGTGTGTGTGTGTGTGTGTGTGTGTGTGTGTGTGTGTGTGTGTGTGTGTGTGTGTGTGTGTGTGTGTGTGTGTGTGTGTGTCAGATCCCGTACATACCGTGTGGTCACGGGAGAGTTTGACCTCACCAGAAACGAGGGCTACGAGCAGATCAGGAGCGTGGACAAGATCGTGGTTCACCCTCAGTGGGACGATAACTGCCTGTCCTGTGGGTGAGGAAATCAAACTTACTTCTGCACAGTCATCATTTGATTTTTGAGGTTTAATTTTTGCATGAGACGCTCCTCTAAACTTCGCAGGATTTTCTGTATTGCAGAAACGACATTGCGATGATCAAACTGGCCTCTCCTGTCGTCCTGAACGATAAGGTGCAGCCGTCCTGTGTGCCAGAGAGCGGCGAGGTCTCTCCTCACAACGACCCCTGCTACATCACTGGCTGGGGGAGACTCTACAGTGAGTTTATTGTATCATATTGAATTATATCGTATCATACCGCATCATGTGATATCTTAATATATCATATCTTAATGTATTGTATTGTATCAGACCGTATAGTACCCTAACATATCATATCATATTGTATCTTAATGTGTCGTATTTTAATGTATTGTATAGTACTGTATCGTAATGTATCATATCGCATCTTAATGTATTGTAACTTCATTAATTGTGTAGTATAATATTGTACCGTATCGTATCGTAATAGTAATAGTAGTAATAGTATCTTAATGTATCATATCGTAACTTCATATATCGTAACTTAATGTATCTAAATGTATCGTATCATATCGTACCATATTGTATTTTACTGTATCGTAGTCTAATGTATAGTATAAAATGGTATCATATTGTACTGTATCTTATCATATCTTAATGTATTGTATCTTAATTCATCTAAATGTATCTTTATGTATTGTATCATATTGTATCATATTGTATCTTAATGTGTCGTCTTGTATTGTGTCGTATCGTATCGTGATTATTTGAAGCATTTCCATACTTGACTCTTTGTTTCTATTCCTGCCCGTCTTACAGGCGGGGGTCCCATCGCCTCTAGGCTCCAGCAGGCCATCCTTCCTGTAGTCGGCCACAGCGTCTGCAGCAGCAGCGGCTGGTGGGGCAGTTACGTGAAAACCACCATGATCTGTGCCGGTGGAGACATCCGCTCAGGCTGCCACGTACGAACCTTCGCCCTTCACCTGATCACCTCGACCCCAGAAAACCTGCAGGATCACTCACTCTGCATCAGTCTGAAATCTTTGTCTGTCTCTGCAGGGGGATTCAGGAGGTCCTCTGAACTGTAGGGGGAATGACGGCAGGTGGTACGTCCAGGGGGTGACCAGCTTTGTCTCTGCTCAAGGATGCAACACCCTGAAGAAGCCCACGGTGTTCACCCGCACCTCCTCCTTCACCGAGTGGATCAGCGACGTGAGTTTTTCAACAGAACAAAAACAAAAAAGCAAAAATTACAGAAAAATTAGAAAAAAAAGACAAATAACAAAATTTATTAGGATGCATTACAGCTGAAACAACCCATTTAATGTAAGAAACAGACACAGTGACCCTCCTCATACAGATTTGAGGATATAAGTAAAGGTCTAAAACTGTTAATAATAGTTCAATAATAACTTTTATCTCACAGGTCTAAATATCCAACATAAAACATTTGCTCTGTTTCAAATGTCAGTGCCATTATTTTAATGCACAATTTAAAAAGCTTCACCTAATTTCAAAACATATTAATATCATCAATTTCATATGTTTGTCTTTCAGACCATGCTGAGGAACTAAAGACATCTTTACTGTCAATAAACTCACTAATCAGCCACATGTTGTCTCAGCTGTCTTTCAATATATCTAGTCTCATGATTTCATAATCTTCATGTCAATTATTATCACATTTAATAACAGAAAACAGGAAAGGTAACAGGTTTATTTATACAGGACAATTCAGCAAAACCACCACAGCTGCAAAGATCGATCACTAATGAGGGTTTTTTTTTCACTTTAGCCACTCTGGGTGCAGGGTCAGGTGAGTGAGTCTGATTGGCCCTGATTTGGACCTGGTGTGGGGGTCTTTTAAAAACCTCCTCTAAGCTGCAGAACTTCAGGCTGATTCTCACCTTCAGAGACACTGAAGGTTTTATCTGTGTGTTGTTGTGTGTTTCGCTGTTAGTGTCTCATACAAAATGACTCTACAGGAGTTTCGGGACCACCTTCAAGGTTGAGATGGTGCTCAATTTTAATGGAAAACAATCAGACTTGTGTCAAGTCGAGTAGGGATGAAACTGTGTGATGGGAAAGCAGCCGGGCCAGAATTTAAAACCCTGAGAAACTACCTTGTGGTCTTGAACTATGGTCCAAAAGTCTTTGACAAAGAAAAGGAGGCTCCAGAGACTATTAACAAACTTTAAGCCCCCAAAAAACAAATAAAAAAACTTCTCAACATTTGCACAAACTCAGTACTTAAAGGGACAAAAGAGTCTACAGACCTTTTGTTGTGTTTGCACTGCAAATATGTCTATTTTCAAGTCTTTTTTGACTCACTTTATGATCTATTGTTTCATTTTAAGTCAAACCGGGGTGACATAAAGATCATCCAGATAGAAAAGCTGCAACCAGAGCGACCTTAAAAGTTATTTTATTGTTTTTGAGAGTATATTTTATTTCATTTATTACAATAATGGGTACACCCTGCAAACCAGGAGAGATAACATGGGTTTATTCATACAGAAAACAATTTAAAAACTTCTCAACATTAACACAAACTCAGTACTTAAAGGGACATTTCCACAATAACAGCAGCAATCCTAAAAGAATCTAGGGACCTTATTGTTGTGTTTGCACTGCATGACCATAAGGGGTCAGTGTTTGCTGTTGCAGCCTGTGAGCAGCTGTGACTTAAAGGAGAGAGGAGGAGGAGGAGGAGGTAACGTTCACATTGACCCATATAGCTTCAACACAAAGAGTAAAACCCATCTTTAATTTATTATTATGTCGTCGATTTGAAGGTTGAGTTTTCTCCAGTTTTGTGATGAACAAAGACTGACGGCGGCGAAGTGAATCTTATCCTCCATGTTTGACATTAATGGAGGCTCATTGTCAACAAACTGATAATCAGGAACACACACATGTGATTTACACCCTGGATGAGGAAATAATGGAGTGAGAAGCAGCAGTGGGAGCCGGCTTTGTCTCCATGTAGGGGGGCTCTCCTCCAGGCTTCAGCCGCCTGGACTTGAGCCCAGCGAGTGAATAAGTGAGCTCCAGATCACAGGCCATTGGCTGGCTGCTCATTACTGAACGCTGCATTAAATCCTCGCCTGTAAATAATGTGATAACCACCGTGCACGGCTCAGTGTTCCCCACAGGAACTGCAGGCCGCCATCTTTCTCTCTTTTTGTGCTTCACTTCCCTCTTTCTAACCTTTTCCCTCTCCTTTGACGACGACTGGAGCTCAGTCTGTACGCGCACATGTAATTATTCCAGCCCAGTTGCTCCAGGGAAAGGGAGAGGGCTCATTCCTCAAAAGCAGAAGCCCTCAATCCACTCCCACACCCACCTCGCCTTCCCCTCCCCCTCCTCCTCTTCCTCCTGCACGGCTCGGCTGCAGGAGGGAAACCACAGCATCGTTTAAAAGGCTTCAGAGAAACGCAGAATCAGCATCTCCACGGGAGGCTGCAAATAAACACTCATCATGACCGCAAAGACACACAGAGAGGCGGATTAGACAGGTACACAACCGAAGATACGAGGATGTCAGGGTTTCACAATCAAACTCAGGATCACATGGTCACATGGTCACATTTGTTGACGGCCTTTCCTCGATTCCTCCTGAATCTATTTTCCTTCAGGTTTCAGGATTTGTTTAACTGCACTGGGGAGTTATTGAGGCACCACAGGGCTTGACTCTAGTAATTTATTGATGGTCCCTTATTTAACACCTGACGTTGACAGCGAGAATGCCGCGTAAGTTTAACTGCGCTGCTGTTGTTATTCCCGGTTATGGTGAGTTGGAAGACACCGGTAGATCGTCAGTGAACGTCCGTCGGATAACCAACCTAAAACTAACTTCACTGCAGTATTTACATGAAAAAACATTTGTTTTCTCGGCTGATTATTTTACTGGCACATGTGCCTCTAAATACATTTTACAATTCACACACATCTATATTTTTCATTGCAAATGCGAGTGAAACGGTCCCACTGTCGAGTCCTGCACCATTAGAGCTGCTGACATTGATGGTATGAGCTGTGAAATAGTTAACTGAGTCATGAAATAGAATTATCCCTAAAACAAGTTGGTTAATGTTAAAGCTAACCTAGAATGTCAGGTTCTAGAATGTCAGGTTTTAGAATTCTGAGTTCTAGAACATCAGGTTCCGGAATGTTAAGGTCTGGAATGCTGGGCTCTAGAGTGTCAGGTTCTAGAATGTCAGGATTTAGAATGCTGGGATCTACAGTTTTGGGTTCTAGAATGTCGGGTTCCGGAATGCTGAGGTCTAGAGTGCTGAATGATCTACAGTTTTGGGTTCTAGAATGTCGGGTTGTGGAATGTTCGGTTCCAGAATACACGGTTCTAGATTTCTAGTGGTTTTGGAATGTTGAGTTCTGCAACAGCAGGTTCTAGAATTCTGGGTTCTTGAACGCTGGGTTCTACAATACTTAGTAATTAAATGTTCGGTCCTTGGATGTTGGGATTGATGTCACTGGTTCTAGATTACTGGGCTTCAGTTGTATTTATTCATAACAATAATGACCAGGAGTAAAAGGGCATTACAGAGAGGAATCCAGGAGAATTTAACGTCCTATGAGGTTAAATTTTAGTTGTAATTCTTCATTTCGACTCCGAGTTTGTGCCGTGATGTGTCTGTGTACAGTCTTATCTTCTATACAATAAGTTTGATTATTGATTGTTCACAAAGTTAATTCATGGATTAGTGTTTTTTTATGGTTGTGACATGCTGATATTAAATTTAAGAGAGTTTCAAATGTTGAGGTTTTTGCATCAGAGAGCGCTTCAGTTAATTTCCCAACCTCAAGATCAGTATATCCTACTTCTGAACCTCGGATCTGTCCATGTGTACAAATATTCTTGTTGAAATCCTGTCTTAGATCAGTAAAAATGTAGGCGGCGCTTTTTGAAAATTTTTCCACGTAAAAGTTCAGAGGGAAACCTTCCTGTTCTTCGTCATTTTACCGTGGCGTGGAGGTGAACAAATCCTCAGTTTTTTATTCACCACTCTGTACACAGTATGAAAAAACTCTGACTGCTGCCAGCTCATGAAAATGCACCATATGTTTGTGCAGTGTTTTTTTTCTGGTGTTTTGGCAAAACAGACAGATTACACATTACCACCAATCAAACGGCGCGCTTATTTGAGCGCTGTCAACCATCTCTGAGTGTCCTGAAAAACTCTAAACCCTTTTGGTATGGACAGAATTTTTTATTTTCTTCTCCAAACTGAAACTTTGAGTTGATATCGTAAATAAAACATTCATTCTTTATCCGGGGAGCTGTCAAGAAGTGATAAGATAGAGAAGTCAGCATCCATACTGGAGGACAGATTGAACAGACAGAAAACAGAAGGTGAAGAAACGATCTGAGTGACGAGAAGAAGGAAAACAAACAGCTCGTCCTGTCGAGTCTCCACACTGAGCATCCTGACAGCTTGTATCTCCTGCTGTAACTCCTCAGAGGAGGAGAGGAACACGCCTTTTCTCCCCTGACAGCAGATTTACTCTGCTCCCAGCTGACGTCTCACTCCTGCGTCCGTACGTCACCTCCTATTTGTAAAAACCTCCTTTACAGCAGGAGGAGGAGGAGGTGCATCGGATCGGCCCTACTGTACACGCCGCCATCACGTCTGTGCTGCAAATCCAGGCAGGCAGGCAGGTCAGCAGGCAGATGGCCAAACAAACAGACCAACAATCGGTGCAGAGGATTGGATTAACACGAGGATCTAATTACATTTGAGAAACCAGAGAGAGAACATAAGGACAAATTAAAAGTGGCACTGAGATGATGGCTCAGTTACGTAGCAACACGGGAACAAACAAGAACTTTAGATCCTGTTTCCTTCAAGGTTGATACTGTTATTTGGACCCGTGTGGAGCGGGCTTCTTCTGAACGGCCACAAAAATACAAATACACCCCATACCTGGGAAAAAAAACACCTAAAAGCTCCTGAAGTTTGAAGACACACATCAGGAGGAAAGGGAGGAGTATCCAAAGTAAAACTATTCAATTAAACGATTTGCTGTTGCTCCAGTGTGGTCTGAGATCATGACTCAGAGCTTCAGAGAGCTTCTTCTGTCAGATTCAGAGTTTATTTTGTGAAGTTTTTAAAGGATGACGCTGAAGAAACCTGCAGGAGTGCATGTGAAAATGTCCAGAAACAATACAAGTGCAGCCTATTCTGTTTCTGGCTAAATGCAGCAGGTTGTCATGTCTTAGGAGTTTCACTTCCTGTCTTATAATACTGTTTCCTACCACAGTTAATCCTTTAGTCGATCACAGCGGTCCATTCTTTAATTCCAAAGTCCTGCGGTGAGTTTCACACCCAGAGATAATCCTCTGTCGGCTCTTGTGATGCTGTTACCTGCTGACGTTTGTTCGATTAGCTGCACCTGTATGCTTAGCTCGAAGCCAGTCACTCCAACTCCGACTCAGAATACGACTGAATTTGACTGAAAGAGCATTTCGATTGAAGGTCAACTGAGCTGTTATGGGGCGCTCACAGCAAGCGTGAGTAAAATCATCTACTCGCTTAGATCGTGCGAATCTAGACGCGTGAATGGATAGTATTTACTCTCTTCGTTCAAAGTGC